GCATGACTAAAGACGGCTCTCAAAGGGATAAGAATAGAAGAGTAGTTGTTTCATGTGATGAACGGAGTTTGATGAGACTGACACTACAATGCCAACAAGCGAGGGAGCTTCCTGTCCGCTCCTAATTACTAATCAGATACTCCACGTGTGGAAGGGAGCGCCCAAGGACTGATGTGACAGCCATGAGATCACATTAGAACCACCTGTATCACAAACGCAGACACACAACTAGACCCACACTCACCTTCTGTTATTCCATAATTTTTTTAGATTTTTATTTTATATTCAATATAACAAATTATTTTTCATCACAATTACAAAATTCAATTAACTTTTCTGGAGGGGGGGGGGGGGTGTTACACTGCTCAAAGCTTATACTTTTGTTTGTGGTCATATTATTGGTTTTATTATCTCACAGAGACCTGTAATTGTTTTTGTTTTGTTTTTACGAATGGAAGAGAAATACAGAATCCCATAGTACTTCCATATATCTATTAAAGCTTGTGTAAAGCTTATTTTTGCCCCCTCCCCCCCAAAAAAAAAAGTTATACTAGCGTCACCAGGGTTGTGACTGAATTATGACTTCACATGAACATCCCCTCTTAGAAAGGACTTAGTTTTACCGCATAGGTCAAGAATTAGTGTCTGTCAAGCCAAGAGATAGCAAGGCTTTGTAGTGACCATACAAGAAGGTTACATGTAATTCCCAGACCATCCTGAGGGACTTATAGCCTGTTTAGACTACAATGAATTCAAATGGAACTCGTATAGAGAATCATTGTATAGTGAAAGGAGCATACAGACTAGAAAAAACCTCGTATAAAGAAATGTCATATAAAGAAACTCATTTTGAAGAGATCAGTTGACATGACAGCTGGCCAATCATCAGTGTGTGCTCATGATAAGCCCCGCCCAACTTTAGGATTTTTGTATGATAGGATGCTAATTTTCGTTCCAAGCAATGCTCAAACAGGCCTTTTGCTGATTGACGATACAATGTTTCTTTATATGATGTTTAGATTAAGACAAAATGTATTACTTGTCGTGAAACTATACAATGAAACCTGGCAGTGTGAATGCTGCTAGGGTTAGACGTGTGAAGAGAATGATTCATTGCTCATTAACACGTCCAGTGCTGGCTGTATACAGGTTGATGTTTCCTTGTCTTGGCTAGGAGATAGAGAAACACTTGTTGAGGCAAGGAAAGATTAGCTCTTCTCTTTCCCACTCCTAAATCATTCACATCCTGTGCTAATATGGCTACTGTCTTACAATGATCGCTCCCCCTTCCCCATGCTCCCCCTTCCCCATCCACCCCCTTCCCCATCCACTATTTTAACCCCCTCATTTGCAAGCACAATGAATTCCTACAAAAATCCAAGGTCTTGAAATTGATATTTTTCTGTCATCTTTCCAAGCGATAGATGCAATCTATGAAAAATGCAAGGGTCTGTTTTCATTGAAAGGTGCAAAGTTTGGAACAATTTCTATTCAGTATGTGATATTAACTACAGAACCTATTCAAATTTATTATACGGCATCCAAGAGCTCCCGAATTGCTTAAATCAGTTACAGACACTTGAATTAGAAGATGTGCTTTTAGTTTTTTTCAGTACTTGATTTCCTAATGGTTAACAGTACCAGTAAGTTATTCCATAGTTGAGGGACTGCGCATGCAAACATCTGGCAATGGATCTTGGATCAATGGGCATTCCCTGTATGTATACTTGGCCCAAGTTAGACTTTTACTTTAGATTAATGAAGAATCAATTATTAGTTTATTAGTTTGACCTTTAATTGCAATCATGTTTCTGACTGAATGAGAGGTTGACAATAATGGCAACTTCCTGATTTATGTTTGATGTGCTTTCTGTCAGAGATCCAAATCATTCATACATTTTGCATATAATTGTCTTAACATAGTCACTTAATTTACTGCGAAAAAAGCTTCTGTAAGTTCACTTGCACTTCTCTCATATTCAAATAATTTTGGTAAAAAAAAAGTATGGTCTTTCTTCATGAAAAAAGTAGACACTTTGAAAGAAAACTCCTACATGTATAAAGAAGAAATAATAAAATAACTGAGATCAAATCTCTTCTTATGAATTCATTTAATCACATGGCACTGTAATGCTGACAACATTTTAAGGTTGAGTGAGTAGTAGCTGACTAGCTGTAAACTGGGACACAAAACGTCTGAATTAGATAAGATTTTGAACCAATTATCAGTGAATTAAATCATGAATGAAAGATTGATATAGGGTGTAGGTGCTTCCAAACGGCAATGATACACCTAACAAACCCCTCTCAAACCCTCTCCATACCCCCTCCATCCTGGATCCTTCTCTCTCTCATTACCACTTTGTTCTAAATCCAGAGTTTCCACAACTCGCGGCCCACAATTAGCAGTAGTTGATGAATCATAGACCTATCGTTGTGCTGGTATGCGATGTGACTTAACTCCTACAAATTGAGTTTTCTTCCTGTTCGTATGGCGGTCAGTATGCCCCCTCTTCTTGCCGATTCATTAATTCTTTGGGGGACCGTAGTAGTACCCTTCTCTCATTAGGATGTGCTTCTTGGGAACTTGTTGGATTATTACTTGGAATTAAGTTTGGAATCAGACATTCGTTTGTGGATCAAATCGCTATCAGAACGTGAGTGGTAAGCCCAAACTTCTATTGTGGAGTGATTATTTATTTAAAGAAAAAATTAACCAATTGTAACGACCAGTTTGAAAATTTTGCTCAAATATTAGTAGCACAGGCCCATATTTGAGTATGAAGTAGAACTTAATAGCAGGACTGTATCAATTAGAATTCAGATGAGAAACAAGTTATTTTTATTTTTTCATTAACACATGTTCCTGTAATAGCAGCTTCAAATTAGGGAATGATTTGAAAATAGCTGCTTTACATTAGAAAGAGTTTCTTCAAAAATTTTATGAATTGTATTTAATATCTGACAAAAGATCCTCCATCATTAACTCCTTTAAAATAATTTCCAACTTATTTAGTCTTATTACATTGATTATAGAAAATGTGGGATTTTTTTTCTTTCTGTTGACAAATTTTTATATAATTTTCATAAAATAACATAAAATAATACAAGACCAAAGTAAGTATTTGATTTTAAGACTGTTGTGGCTTACAAATCTGCTTTCCAAAAACAAACAATATTCATTAGTTTGTATGTCCAATAGTACCTACAGTGTACATATAAATATTGTGATTATCTGTTTTCTGTGCATTTGATAATTAGTTGGCTATCCTTCACAAAAGAGTTTTGTCAACAACTAATAATTACAAACAGAATTTGATTTGTCTAATTTGTACTGCAATATATGGCATATGAAAGTAGCCTGATTGAATTTGTCTGTTTGGCCAGTATCCCACACACTAGATTGATATTATTGTCTCACCTTCAATATCTCTCTTCAGAACTTTTATCTAGGTGTGGCAGGATATTGTTGGGATTCAAATTTTAATTTATTTCTGGTGTTCCAGATTTGTCTCTTATTTGTAGCTCATTACTAAAGTTTCTTTTTCCTCACTGCAACAGTTATTTACTGTAGCATTTTGGCCGTAACTTATGGCCTAGTTTTCATGTCATTAAAAAATAAAACAATGACCAGTTTCTCTAGAATGTAGCTGCTCTTCTAATTAAACATGATAAATTCAAGCCAACATGCTTTTGCTATCAATAAACAGTGTTTCATAACTATGCAAGGGCCCCCAAGTATAACAGTATTTTAACTACTGATGGGGCTACCCTGTTGAAATAAAACAAAATAAATAAATTAATTAATTAAAAAAATACAATCCTCTTGTGAAGTCTTGTCTGCAAACATCTCCCCCTGTACAAGTTTTGAACCCCTGACCCCCTGGGCCAATGCATTTATCCTATTTCCTGAGGGTCGATCTGGTTAGAAGTAAGAGTGGACATGCAGAAGCTGGCTTTTCAGTCTGTCATAGAGGACTGCAACCAGGGGCTCCTATAAGCATTGCTTCCTCCCAGACGGTGCTGTAATTGAATCGAGTTAGTTTTAATTAGTCTGGACACACTCTCTACTTCAGCTCATCCTATCCTCTGCATGCTAACCGGCTCAATCATCCTATCCTCTGCATGTAAACCGGCTCATAAGGCGCGTCTTCATCATCTCGAGATTGTCAAATAGCCCGCTATTTCTGATTTGGGAAATAATCCTGAAGTTACAAATCGTGTCTTCATCAGCTCGAGATTCGACTTCGAAACTTAAAACTTGACCTTGAGAAATTAGCTCAAGATATTTTGCTCAGCGTTCGCGCATAGTGCGAGTCTTCGGTCTGGTGAAGACGCACCGGACAAATAGCTGGATATTTTGCAAATTATCCCAAGATATCTTGGGATGACAATCCCGACCAAATATCCTGCTATTTGCAACTTCAGGCTGATGAAGATGCAAATTAGCTGGATAGTTTGGGATCGGGATAGTTCAAATAGCGGGATATTTGGCAATCTCGAGCAAGTGAAGACAGGCCTATATAGCAAGAGCTTGAGCTAGGGCCCCCAACCTCTGCAACAGTTGAAAGTTTAGAGGTCTGTCACAAGTCATGAATTTGGTTTAAAGTCACGGAATCTGGGTAAAAGTCATCGGTTGAAGACTTCTGTCTGGTCGGTCGATTGACAAATAACCAGTCATATTATAGCCGATGGCTTGGTGCCAGGAAGGGGAACACATGTAGGGTCCAGGTATTTACAAATATACATATTATGAAAGGATCTGATTTACAGAGCCAATTTTCATCTAGGTAGAGAGGAATGAATAATGATTTTAAACTATACTTTCATATATGAAGCAGTGTAAGTGAATGAATGCAGTGTCTTTTGCTCTTACTTTTTGTCATTAATGAAAAACAGACAAAAGTATTGAAGCACATGGAAGAAGTCTTATATTCTTATTTAATTTTGTTTCCAAAATTTGCTCAAATTTCAGATTTGTGTTTATTTTGGTTCTAAAAATATAAGAAGAGTACAACAACAAGAGTACAACTACACAGTGTAGCCTGCATTATATAAAAAGTACATGAATTGTAATTACAATCCTCTTTCTCTTCCGCATGTAAGTAATGAAAAAGAAAACAACTAAGCTTTTGACTTACACATCCATATCGCCCTGCTGATAGCCAGAAGGACGTTAGCTGTTATACTTTAGTAGAGATCTGGCACCAAATAGGCCAATGTGTACAGAGAATTTAGGATTATAATTATGAGCAAATGAAGATGTAGAAGGTGCTAATTGGGATGATGCAAAGTATCTTTTAAAGAGGAAGTCCAACTTAGCACAAGATACTCTTCAACATAGAGGGAAAGGGTGTACTACAAAATCCACTTCAATCTTTTAATAAAGGTGCTCCCTCAGTGACACATGATAGTTGTTTCATTGAGTCTTTGTTTCAAAGAATTTGTCATACATAGATACCAGGCCCATGGGCCCATTGAGGACTCATGGCCGGTCATACAATTTACAACACTAAAGAAGGGGGAAAATAGAAGCAATTTAGGCCTAATGTTTAAAAATAAAATGAATATTAAAAAATTATGAATCGCTCATTTGAATATTTTGAATATTACATATATAATTGAAGTAAGAATTCATTATATTAGTGATGAAACTATAATTTAGAATGTATGTATAATTGAACAAAATGTAACATATATGGTAGGTTTAAATCATCATCTTTTTAAAGTTCTCAAATCCTGCTTGTGTGATGCAGTCCCATTCACTGTAAGTTGTGTGGTGAATCCCAGGTAAATCAGTGTACTTGGGTGTAATTATCACCTTTGTGCATGTATCGATAGGGCAGGGGGATTAGATATCTTCTTGGTATTTTGGCAAGAAGGTCACTTGATAATTGATTTAAATAATTGGGACGAATGGCCCATGGTATCAACTGTTAGCAATCATGTGTTTAACATATGATACATGCTTATCCATCTAGTTTTTTTTTTTAGATACATGTAGTTACGACAATTTAGCAAGATCCTGTTGAAAGTAATGGTTTCATCATTAAACTCAAATTGACAGTTTAAGCCATTAAATCATTATACAAATTATACACATTGTATCCAATGGATGTGATCGTTAATATGCTTTATTTTATTATAAAATGTGATAACTTTTTTTTCTCTCTCTTTCTCTCACCTTCTCCTTCTACTTACTGCAGAAACAAAATGAAGAGTATGGGTTAGACGGAGAGGAGAGTGCCTTGCGAGAGGACAACGCCGGCTCTGCCAGTTCTTCCTCCTCCAAGAACACACATATTACTCCCGTCCTCAGAAGACAGAAGAGGAACAACCTCTCCACAGAACAAAGTAAATGCAAGAAATATTTAAAGCCCCTCTGCCCTAGTTGGCCAGGAGGGATTAAACCTCCCTGTCTGGTCACTGTCAGGTGGTTATCTCATCAAACCAGCTCTCAAATAATATAAGAAAAAGAGGATCACTGGGGAACAACGATCACCGCTTAGGCATTGTTTGCTCTATAGAGGGCGCGAGTAGCTATAAGTAGTGCATTTGGTCTTTAAACTGGGTTGATGATTCATTCTATTATCAAGATGTCTATAAGGTTTATGATATAAAAGTATATCATTCGATCTCGGGAATCTCATTAAATTTTGATATAACGTCTCTACCATAAAATTGATTTCATAACAAAGACAAGATCTTAGTCTGTCTAGTGATATGTTGCTGATTCATTTACATGTGCTACTATTTATAACAGACCACCAGGGTTGTCAACAAATCTAGTCATCATCTTGTTTTACCATATAATATTTTTATTTCATTTCATGTTTTTGAGTTTCTGGTTATCTGTCCATCCGTCTGACCATCCGTCCGTTTGTTCATATGTCTCTCCTTCGTTAGCGCGATAACTTGAGAACCATTAAACAAATTTTAATCAAACTTGCATAGAGTACATGTATGTATAAACATTTATCTATGAACTGATTAGATTTTTGGGGTGAGATGTAAAAAGGTCAAAGGTCAGGTGGTCATGTAGGCATATTGGAGACACCCTCTTATAATAATGATATTTAATCGCACTTAACATTTAGAAAGTCAGAACTGGTGAGTCTCATTAAAGTGGACTTTGATTTCATTTATAGCTCTTCAAGCTATTTCTCTTTTATGGCTGCATCTTGCTTCAGTTGACTTGATAGCTCCATCACATTATAATCCTGACCTTTTGTGAAGAGAGCTATATTAATAATATTGGCAAAATATTTGTCACCAATAGCATATGTAAGAGCAATAGTAAGTGCAAGGACCATTAACATCATCAATAAGATCAAATGTAATAAATGAATATTTCTCTTTTATGGCTGCATCTTGCTTCGGTTGTCTTGATAGCTCCATCACATTATAATCCAAACCTTAAGTGAAGGGAGCTATACTAATAATATTGGCAAAATATTTGTCACCAATAGCATATGTAAGAGCAATAGTAAGTGCAAGTACCATCAACATCACCAATAAGATCAAATATTATAAATAAGACAACAGGACTTTTAAGTTCAGTTGACTTTAAATCCAGTTGACTTAGAGTTGCAAGCTATTTAGCTTACAAGTTTCAAAGTAAGTCCAGATAACTTTTTTTTTGTATTAACTTCTACCTGGATGATTGAGGACTTTAAAACAACATTTTTTCATAATTGAGATGAAATATCAATATAGTATGATATATATTCATAACAAATGTAGAACCTAAACTAAATTGAAAATTTGTATTGAAAATCTGAAAATGATTTCCCCCTGTGGTTTTGATATTGATTCAAGCAATTTAAGCTTTCAGAAGAGGAGACCCATAACTTTGAAAGTACCTTCAATCTCCATAGAGTCTGAATCACACTTAAAAGACGTTGGAAATTGGTAGCCATAATTCATATCTTGTGCACCAATAGTTTTGCAAGCCTTTCCTGTTTAGGGTATGAGTCAGAGAGACCGAACGAAAGGAAGAGTCCGTCTGAGCGGGTGAAAGCACTTCAAAACAATGTGAGAATTTTCTAATAAACAAAAAGGGGGGTAAGCTAAAAACCCGGCCAGTGCCAGATGAATTCAATTTTCAGTGGTGTGATAGTTGAAGATAACAGGTGGGGTAGCTGAAAAGGGTAAACACAACAAATCTGACTTTGCCAGGCAAAGACACAGATGCATGGCAGAGATGAGGAGTTAGTTCTTTTCGGGAAGTAAAGCTCAAGACACTTTGAAAGTTCCTTCTACTATCATGGATTCAGTGTTGCAGGATTTAGCAAATGCCCAAGCATCTCTCTTGTGGAATAACAATGGATTTCTATTTTGTTGTATCACAGGACAGCATCGGAGCGCTTCTATGTACGACACCAGACTGTAAGTAGACATACTGCTCTCCAAACTCTCTTTTAACACATGTAACATTGTATCTATCCTTTGAAACCAGCGGTGACCATGGGATCCACTCTCCTACTGATTTGGCCATACATTGGGAAAACATTCACAATTAAAAGAGCTTCATGCTTAAATCTTGTACATATGCCGCAGCTTTCTTAACATCAATATTATTGATATGCCGCTATTACACCTTTCCCTCTGTTTGGCTTCTTACTTTTTGTGAGAAGCTGAAAACACTTTTGCAGTGGGACTACCTATTCCTTGCATTACAGTAAACAGTGGTTAATGGAGGAGCAATTAGCTGTTCATAGATTTTATTTCACTTTACAATGAATTCTCATTGGTTTACAAAATGCCTTCTTTTTCTAAAGCGGTGTTTGACTCTCCAGGGACTCCAAAACTAACCAACAAATTACCCTGCCAAAATCATGATGGTGCTTCAATATATTTTGTTCCTTTACGTCTGTCTTGCATGAAGTAATAATACTCATAACACGCATGAGTCACCACTACCTTGTTCCATGAAATGTACATCCCGGGCAAAATAACACCATGTATTTTTATTATTTTATCATCTGTGACCTTGTTTCTGGTTGTTTCATGTATCCGTTAACTTTTAGTAATTAATCTTGAATATTTATGAAACTGTACATTGCTATCCTTGCTACCTATCCTAAACTATCTCTAATTCTTCACTACCTCACAATGTTTCTATCCTACTCTGTCTCTCATAACCCTAGTCTGCTGAGAGCGAGAAGGGCGTTTGACATAAAGCATAATGTCTATTGAGAGACAGAAGGGCGTTAACTCTGTGTTTCATGAGTTAATTCCCTTCTGCCTCCAGACAGACCATATGTTTTACACCCTTCTGGCTCTCAAAGGCAAAGTTATATGGACTTTTCTATACTTTTCATCAATCTATCCTGTACTTCATGTACCTTTGTTTTTCTTCCTGGTGCAATCTCTTAATGGTTCTCATCTATGATTCTATACCATGGTATCTTTGAATGTTTGTCTCGTATATCTCTCGGTGACTTGATCCTTTACTATCTCTCAGTAACTATCGTCTCTGGGGAGTGTTTCACAAAGATTTGAAGTCGAACTAACCTCTAAGTTGGACTTAAATATTATGGAGAGCCATTTGTAGCCTTATTTTGAAATATATTCAAAATCAAAATTTTTAGTATTTTAGACTTTTCATGAATCAAGAGCATGAAATCTATGATAATAAAAAATATGAATGATTTGAATCAACATTTTATGCCTTTTAAAATAACTTTTTCTAAATATTTTTTAGGCTGCTAATGGCTTTCCATAATTGTTAAGTTTGACTTAGGATCTTTGTGAAACACCCCCCTGTTCTATGATACCATGGTATCTTTGAATGTTTGTCTCGTAATATCTCTTGGTGACTTGATGCTTTACTATCTCTCAGTAACTATCATCCGTTCTTCTATTCTCTACTATCTCTGTAATAATTTGATTCCATTGTTCTATCCTGTGCTGCCTATCCTTGCATGCCATTAGTTCTGAACTCCTCGAAATGGAATTATGGGGTTTAGAAGAAGAGGATGAAAAAGATGGTGGAGGCAAAGAAGAAGAAGAAGAAGAAGAGGAGGAGGAGGATGAGGAGGATGATGGGTAAATTTCTCAAACCACCTCACTGTGTGTTGAGTACTAACACATCTGTGTAGTTTAGTCAACTAACTGTAGTCACACACTCTTGTTTTGAGTTGCGGTTAGGTTTTACAATACAAATAGCGCAATCCATGTTTGACAATGATTTCTTTATGCAATGTACATATATATCAATTCTGGTTCAAACAAAAGCAAAAGCAAAAGCAACAAAATAAAAAATATTAAAGATAAAGCATTTACAAACTTACAATGTACTGTGTGCATTTCTCTGCCAATTTATAAAAATTGAATTTCTTAATCATTTGCAGTTAAATAATTTTTTTAATGATATTAAATATTTCAGGAATTTATAATCCCCTGCTCACCAATCATTTAAGAAAGTGGTTAAATAACTCCTCCTATTCTTTATTGTTATCAACCTTGATGTATCTTGAAGAATTTTAAAGTTAATCTTATCTTTCTCTCCTTGAATCTCATGCCTGATCTGATAATTAATAATTCTTAAAGCCTTTACAAAGAATGAAATAGAATAGTCAGAATAAAATCAAGTGGTAGGTTCTTAAAGTTATCTTCATCTTCTTCCATTCTCTTGTTTGCTGCATGAATTCAAAAAAGTTTAATATGTGCAAAATATGTAGTGAGACGCAGTCTGCTAGAGCATTTGTGTATAGCTAAAATGTAATAAATAAACCTAAAAACACTTTAATCCTGACATTATGTAGGTAAACATTTAAAGAGTATGAAGAAAATATGGGATAACATTAATTCCCGTGTTTATGGCTTGCACGGGTTCCATGCCAGCCCTGTTCTATTTTAGTGCCTCATATTTTTCATATAAGCTCAGATTTTTGATACAGTATAGCGACATGGAACCCCCTTACACCCTTACTCCGTACCGGAGTGTTGGCTCAGTCAGTAGAGCGTCTGCCTCCCAACCGGGAGGTTGTGGGTTCGAACCCCAGCCGCGTCATACCAAAAGACGTTAAAAGATGGGAGTTGTTGCTACCTTGTTTGGCGTTCAACAATAAGGGATAGATCAACGTCGATCTGGCGCTGCTCAGTGGCTGCCGGGCTCACGATCAATTGGGCAAAAAGAATTTCCGTTTCGGTTTAATAAAGTTTGGAGTGGACTATCAGGCTATTATTATTATTATTATTATTATTATATTATTATGTTTTGGTGACTGGTACACATTAACAATAACCTAGCTTTAGTTTTAACATTAACTTTGGTGTTAACAAGTTAACTGTTTGTCATTAAATTGACTTGTGTAGCTTGCCAACATATTGTGCTTTGGGACTAAAGGCAGACTAAAATCACCTCGAGAGCCAGAAGGATGTTGATGTTAACTTGTTTTTAAATGAGATGTGTTAACTACCTCCTTGCTCTGAGCAGATAATATATGTTACTTTGTGTTGCTAACCTTGTTTGTGTGCTAACCTGCTTTTGTGCACCTTCTCCTCCCCCTTAACCCCCTAACCCCCTCCCAAATGCTTCTTGCTGTGGTAAAGGCACAAAGGAAAAGCCAGAGCTTCTTCTCATGAGCCACGCCTAGTAGGACTAAAACCTCAAGTAGACCCCGTTAGACCACGAGTAGATCCGCTTAGACAGATCGATTTCTTCAGAATCTTTGATTTTGAAGAAGAAGATGATGAAGATTTGTAAGTTTTTTTGCAGTGTGCACTTAATTTGCCATCCTTTATAATCTCTATCTTTTGTCACCAATATCAGTTATTTATACATGCTTTATATTCATGCATCTTAGCTGATATGCATATATCTGCATCATGTCATACAAATCAACATGAACATGTATAACATTTTCCAAAGCATGTATTCCTTATTTTTTAGTCAATCCATGACTTTAGGGCAAATGAATGCTATTGATTTTTTTGTTTGTTGATTTGTTTGTTTGTTGATTTTTTGTTAATTTTTTTTTTTTTTTTTTTTTTTTTTTGGGGGGGGGGGGTGGGGTTGCATTTTAGATATAGTTTTGATAGGTAAGAGTAAGTTTTTCATCTATCTATACTCTGTTTGAGGGTCATATTGAGAGAGGTAAGGGATATAGTCAATATCTATAAAAAGGTTTTTAAATGATTCCTTACACATTCCGCATTAGATCATTTACATACGTACATTATATTTATTCACATTCATTTAGTGCATGATACTCGATTGTAAATGGGGAAAACAAAAATTTGCATCATCTGTCATAAACAGTAGTAATTTTGCTGCAAAAAATAACAAATCGCACAAAAGCAGGATTGTAAACTAAATGATTTTGTTACACTTTTACTGATCTTGACCTCTGCCATAATTCATGTTGATTTTTTTTGTTTTCCAGCGCTCATAGAGGTCTTTCCCAGGAACCTTTCTAGCATTTTGCATTAAACAGAAACTATCCTGACTCGGGTTTACGCATTTTTTTAAACGGCCGTTGGCCAAAAAAAAAGGGTGGAAAGGTCTAGTCATCTTTCACATGGGAAAATATACTTTTGGGCTGTTTTCTCTATATTTGTATGGTATTTCCCCGAAGGCTAGACTATTTTTCTTCTATTCCTGTATGGTAAAAATGGAAAATATACATAGTTTATGTGGGTGTGGGTGTGCATTTTTGCAAACTTGTGTAAGTATTCATCCAGTAATAATTTGCATTTTTGAAAACAGTACCAAATTTGCTTATTTACAATAATTATTCTATGGATGCTCTTTATTAAACTTTCTTTCTTTTTCCTTCCATTGTTATCAAGCAATATTTCTGGACTTAATTGTCTTTTACAAGAAAAGTTGCCAAATTAGTCAGCTCCTGACGTCTTTTGTGGATCTATCTTTGGAATGGAGTCAAAAGAAATAAAAGATTATCTTACTATACCACCTTTCCAATAAATAATTGAAACCATGCAAAAAATGCTACCCCTTATATCATTTATTATTTTCCTCACTTGTTTTTTGATGATTTTTTTTACATCTGTTACAAACGGCTCTGTCTAACATGTCTTGGCTCAAATATATCTCCAGCAGCTCAGAAAACGATGAATCCGGAGGCTCAGGCTCTCTAAGTGCAGAACATAGACGCCAGGCGAGACTCTCGCTCACCGAGTTTCTTGCTGATCCACGCAACTTTGATGGTACTTCTGAAAATCAGCAATCAAGTAAGTTGGCTCAGAAGGAAAATCCAACCTACCTAGCAAGTTGCTTTGAAGTAGAGCAGAAAAATAAGACTAATAGATTGATGAAAGTTTGAACGAAATCAACATGCAGAAGAATATATAATTTTATGATTGTAATCACAATAGAAATGAAAGTTTTAAAGAATGATAATAATAATAATGGTGGCTTCTTATGAAGCGCACATGTTCGTCACGTTGTGACACTCCTGGCGCTGCCCCGATTATTACTCTCTTACTTGCTCTCTTACTTGAAGTTAACTCCTGACTCATGAATCGATATGTTCAACATATAGCGGTATTAAAGGTTGTATTAAAACAGGAGATGGGTATTCGGAAAAGATGGTAATTCCTTACTTTTATTGAATTTATGAAAAAGATCTTATTTTGAAACATCCAATGGCAATCTAGTATGTGGGCAGGTTAAAAAGGACTGTGTGTCTTACTGCATGATGGCTGTTGAGAGTAAACAGGCAACTAGAAGATGTTTATGATTACACTTGTCTTCTCTAGCAGAAATGGAAAGGGGCAACTCTGTTCTGAGGAAATTTAGCTTTCTGAAAGTTGGAGGACAGCGAAGAGAAAAGAAGGTCAGTTTTTCATCCTTTGTTCTAAATATTCTCATCAAATAGATGCCAATCGATATGTTATGAATATATGAATTATCAAATATATTTGTAGATCGTATCATACTATCTAAATATGTTGATTTATTTAACTATCATGTTGATGAAAACTTATGCCTCCATTTCTATTCCTTAAATGATATTGATGACGATGACCAGCAATCAACCTGTTCAGAACATCAAGCCTCCATCCATCTCTCTCTCTCTGCATTCATAATCTGATTCACCTGTTTATTTCAGTACTCTACTCATGAACAAATACCTCTCTTCATCTCTCAATCCCTGTCCATACACTACCAAGTAGTCCTCCATAGAACAAAACCAAAAGTATTCCTCTCTCATTCTCTTTCATCTCTTTCTTCTACATGTATATCCCCTTTCAAATCCAACAGTCCTCTTCATGACCACCATACGGTGAATTCACAAAATGTAATACCTGTCATTGACATCATTCATTTTTTCCTGTATGGAATGTATTTTATTATGTTTTGTTTGAATATGGTTGTATGCTTATGAGGTTTAATGCCAAACGATCATTAGATAATTCATTCCTGTATGTAACATTATACACTACCCTAACCTTAACCCTAAAATAAACCTAAAGCCTAATTGCAGCCCAAACCCACACCTCATATGTGTAACAAAGTAATTCCCAGAGCAAATGTTGGATCACTCCTTTGAATGTCTAAGATGGATGTACCATAAAAAGCAGAAAATGTTGTATACCTTACAGTGTGTACAGTTAAGTAAAAGTATCCCTGCATTGAGTAAAATAGTATATGATTTATATCTGTATTCTGTTCTTTGATACCTGTTCTATTTTACTAAATACAATTTTGTTTAAAATGTATTGTCATCTGCAGAAGGAGAAAGAGAAGGATAAGGAAAAGGAGAAGGATGAAAAGAAAGAGAAGGAAAAGGAGAAGGAACGAGTAAAGGATAGTTCCAAACAGCATAATTTTGTCAATTCATCATTTTCTAACTCAACGAAATGTAACTACTGTGAGAAGCCCCTGCAGAACAAGCAAGCCCTCCAGTGTCAAAGTAAGACCATTCATCAACTTCAACTTAAATTATGTATCTTCATCTTCCTCATTCATTAAAGCCCCACTGCACTACTTATAGCTACTTGCGCCCTCTATATAGTAAACAATGCCTGAGCAGTGATCATTGGTCCCCCATGATCCTCTTTTTCTTATGTTAATTGAGAGCTGATTTGATGAGATAACCACCTGTCAGTGACCATGCAGGGAGGTCTAATCCCTCCTGGCCAAACTAGTGCAGAGGGGCTTTAAAGTCAGTATTTTCCCTCTTACGAGAGGTTTTTGACTTTCATGCCATAATGACAGTTCCTCCCTCTACTTCTTCTTGTCTCAAGTATCCTCCTCATGTGGACCAATCTTACAGTGATGACCAATTAGACTGATGTCAAGCTGTAGCCCCATGTCATCGAGTACTTGCGTTACTTCCAATATTCTTACCAATTTCTTTTTCACTCGGCCTCTGTAAACTTTCAAAATTAATCAGTTATGAGAAAAGCAATGATATGAATTGTGATTTACATTATCATTTCCTTAGAGCTTTCTAATGGAATCCTTGAAAAGTCATTCGTGGAATTTCAAATTCTAGAACATTATTTTTTGTATACATAACATGAAACCATATTAAGCATGCTTGAATACAATTTTTAAACAAATACATATTCGACCTCCCTCATATATTGCTAGTTAATAATAGTTGTAACAAAGAATAACCACTAAATTGTTACTAACACTTGTGGATGTCAAAGAAATTTTGAGAGGAAAGATTTTGATTGCAGACCCTTATTTCTTTCTTTCTTTTGATTTCAGTATGTTATGCCAATGTCCACAACAGCTCATGTAAAGATAATGTTGCTCCATGTACGAGACTCACAAAACATCCCAAGTCGGTAAGTACATCAACCAATATTAATAAGTGTTTTTTTTTTGGTACTATTTTATGTGGTGTTTTGAGAAACTCTGTATGAAATACAAGTATCTAGAAATACCTGTGTTAAAGTTAAACAAAATGATGACATCACATACCTTTAAGACTATTGATCCATGTATGGTGGGGAAAACATGAACATGTATGGAGACCATTTCAAGCAATATTTGTGATGCAGCCACATCTCACCTATACAGAAAGGCCACCAGTCTACAATGAACTAGTTTTCCACTTCCCTTGAACAGCTTTACTTATTGAAACCTATAAGAATTGAAACATATCCTAAAGGACCATTTACGTAAAGATCACCTGCATATAAAAAGCATTTCTTCTTGTCTCTGTTGAGTAGTATTTAAACACAGATAGGGAATACAGTTTTGGTTTATGAAAGCTCTGTTACGGTGTGGAACCCTGACAATGTACTAATATTTCACATGAGTGGAACTGATTTTTTTCTGCTGGGATATCTATCAATAGTTTCTGCTGCTTTTGTAGCATGTGCAATCGGGCACATCTTAAACATTATCTCCATTGATGCAGGGAAACAGCTATAAGACACTTGCTTTTACATCTTCTTTCACAAGTTCTTAAAAACCCTTGACCAAACATTATGGCCTGAATTCACGAAGGAGGTTTGTCGACAAACCTAGGTTTATGTGCGTCATATGAGGCGTTTTGACGCATTTCAGACCATGGTTTGTCTGAACCTTGGTCTGAAACGCATCGAAACGTGTCATATGACGCACATAAACCTAGGTTTGTCGACAAACCTCCTTTGTGAACCCTATACCTAACCCTATTTATCATGGATGAAAAATAAAGCCTGAGGCAATAGTTGCAGGAGCACATTATTTGTCTGAGCATGAAGGAATCTCCAGTGGCATTCATGCGATCCTTGAAGGAAATCCAGCAATCATCCATCCAAGAATAATATATATTATTGTAGTCAAGGTTAGCTGATAAACACAGCTTATCTGTTATAGGTATTAAATACATTCTATAATCTGTCTCTCACAAACAAATCAGAATCAAGGTCAAAATAAGTGACGGCAAAGACTTTTAGTTTACCAACGAGAGAATTAGCTATGATCTTTCAAAAGTTATGTTTTTGTGGAAACCCTTGGAACTTCTTTACATTGAGCCAGACTGTACTCTAATGGACATACACAGTTTCCTTGTTAGGCAAATTTATTCAGTTATGGTTTTATTTTTAAATGTCTGGAAGTCTTATCTTGTTGCTTGAGTTTAATGATTGGAATCAAAGCATGCATGGCAACCTCTTTACTTTTATATATGTGATGTTTATCCTTGACATGGATTTTCTTTCTTGCAAAATACAATAACTGTCAGGCGATGTCTATTTTTTGTTGTTGCTCACCATTAACCAGTACAATGTAAAGCATACATGGATATTTTGTATGTTTTCATATTGGTTGTTTGGAGCCAGATGTATGGGCATTAACCAATAACAGAGTTAAACAGCCTCTAGTTCAGAAAACACGACATGTAACTTTTATCCTTCATTTGGATTTCCTTTCTTGTGGCACACAACTGTCAGGTGACCTACCCGGTATGCAAATTATTATGATCTCCTATTTTATCTCTCCTTTAAGTTTGATTTCTATCACATACAAGTTAACCAACCATCTAGTTTTACTCATTTTTCATAATGATGATGATGATAATGATGATATGATGGCGATGGCAAAGGCGATGGCAATGATGATGATGTACTGCAATTTGAAGGTTTATTTATAATTTTTGTTTCGTTTAATTTGTAATTGTTTATAATTGTATTTTGTTTGTTATAGCGTTCAGAGACTTGGTTGAAAAGCGCTTTATAAGCACCATTTTTATTATTATTATTAGTAGTAGTAGAAGTAGCAGAGGTAGAAGCAATAGTAGTAGTAGTAGAAGTAGTAGTGGTAATAGTAGTAGTGGTGGTGGTGGTGATAGTATTGGTGGTGGGAAATGAGGGAAGATTTTCGTTGATAGCTTGTCATTTTGATATTAAAATAAAAACGAGAAGAATATGATTTATTTTAGGCCGTTATTTAATCTGTACACAGGCTTTAATCATAAAGAAAAAGAACATGTGCTGAGGGCATATACAAATATAAAAGATCTCTGTATTCCTTTAGGATTAAAGCTTGTGTCATGATTAACAGCACACCTGCAACAAAAAGCAATTTCTTGTTAAGCCTACATGTAAATATAGGATTGTCTCTCTGGGCTGCGTGTCTATGACTAATTGTTAAACAAGCTGACCACAAGTCTGTTTGTAACTGAACCACACAAAAGAGTTTACGTCCTTTTGTTACTTATATCTGATGCTCCATGGATGGTCAGTTACAGACCTTCTAACCACTGTCTCAGTGCCTCCCCCGAGGGAGGTGTATTGTGCATTGGGTGGGAGAGATAAGGGCTTAGTGGCTTATTGTTTGGGCTTGTTGCCAAAGATGTGCCCGACTGGTCTTGCGCTTTGTTAATTTAGAGCTCATGCATATGCATGACCTTTTCTGAGGATGCAACATTATGGAGGGAGGAATGGTTGAAGGAGAGATAGCGAGGCCGACATGAATTAAGATATATATTATTCATGATACCAGTAGAGCATTGAATAGACATTGGCATCAAGTCATTCAGCTGGTCACATGTCCTAAGCATACATGATGCATATAAGCAAGAACTTAATATCTGCAGCTAATGACTATTTTAGAAAAAAACTCAAACTATTTGGGCAATTTTGAAGGCAGTACTGTGTCTATAAATAAGTGGGTTAATTACTAATCATGTCATCCAATTTATGACAGGAATACCATAAAGGTCATCTTCATCATTTGCAAATCAGTCATTGTGACTGTCGTGTCAGATGGAAAGGAAATATTCCATTTAAATGTTGGGAAAATACTCCTTAAATGTAATGTGGCAGCCACATAGATACTGAGAAACAGGTCGAGAAATAGAAGATCAAAGTTCTTAAGAAATTAAAAAATGAAATAATCCACATTTTTTGTGTAAATTGGTAATACAAAATTATAGAAGAAATACACTTGTGTGTATAAAAATATACATATCAAATGTATGTAGGAATTTGAGTGTGTTGGTCATTGAGCAAATTTCATTCCATGAGATTTTGACCCATTTGACAATGAATGTCGATGTACATGTAACGGTCAGTGTTTAGATGACCAGGTGAGTAGACAATTAATGAACAAGTCTCTGGCCCTGTATACAATGACAATGCATAACAGAGCATGAAAGGGGTCCCAGAGAAAGATCGAGAGGTAAAATCAATATCGGAGATTAACAAGTGAGTAAAGCTGTGAGGTTTAACAGTAGCAGGACGCACACTGTATTCAGCTTATAAATCAATGGCTATACTGTATCCCATAGACCCCTTATTCACTCTCTCTCGCTCTCTCTCTCATCCAGTCTATGTATCTGCCCCCTTTTTGATCACTCTCGCCCTCCGGTAGACCGCAGAGAACCACCTTAGCCTCACAATAGAAAGTGGTGGTAGTCCAATGTTTATGTTGGTGCCCCCTTAAAATAGTCGTGCGGATTTCAATACAGTCTTCCAGAATTTCTTTTCTACAAGGAACAGATTGAAATACTTCCATTTTCCAGGCTTTTGATGGATAACGCTTACTCTAGTAAGGAGATGGAGATAGCAGTCGTTCAAGGAATATAGATCATTTAGATGTCAATGAGTGTGGGCCCGATGGAAATGATACTATTGATTGGTCTTTGGACGTTTCTTTGACATCAACGTAGAGCCATGGAAGACTGCCGTTTACGACGTGTGAACTCTGTGTCGATGTAAAGGAGATATCTGAAGTATTTTAATGTCTGCTGGCGAAATTCTCTAATGGAATCCAAACTTTTATCAAAGTAGTAGTTTAATAGAAAAGGCAGCTGTCTTTGATGTTTCAGCCACAATTCAAATTCAGTATGGATAATACTAATGGGATATACCAAAGAACTTCCCATACTAAGCATATATCAAAATCAGTAAGTATTGTACCTGGTTGTTTTCATATACTTAAAGGTTTTGTCTTAGATTCCCCTTTTCCCTAATTTTTCAAGAATTTTCAACATACATGCACAGGCCTGAATGAATACATTTTTTTCTCTGTTATCTATTGCAATGAATGTTTTAGTGAAAATAAAATAGTTAAATGTACACTGTACACTCATGACTATAAGTGATTTGATCAAAGATTCATGAAACTGTTCCAACATTTCAAAGACACAGTTTGAGAAGTACAAATAGTGTTATTATGATATGACAGTACGAATGATTGCTAACATTTTTTTGTTAGTTTGTTTACCGGTATTTTACTGGTCTAAACAGCTGGCATCTGCATGATGAACGATCAAGAATTACCTTAAGTCACCAATCACCAATTTTCTTTTTGTACATCTAAAATTTACTAAATTAGCAAAAAAAAACTTACAGGCATTTTTCTATGGGAGGAGCATCAAGAAAAAAAAAATAGTATGAAACCCTGCACTCTGAACGTAAGTCAGACTTAGTTTCCTTGCCGGTCCCATTCTCAGAAAACACATAAGGTTGTGTCAAGTACAGTCGGTTAGCAATAATTTCCTCTTACATTTCAGTGAGGAAGTATTAAAACTTCCAATATTTCTTCATATAAGTAATATTCAAAGCTCCTATTATGATTGTAGTCTAGCTACATGGAAACCCTCACACAGGAAACAACATATTTTAAGGTGATTGGTTCTCTTTAGCCCATTTCTCTCAAATTGTGATTCCTTTGCCAGAACTCCAGTTTAAATACAATCCATAAAGTTACAAATCTAAAACCATTGTTAGAAAAATGTTGATTTAAATAGGTGTATTGAGTTATGTATTTTACGTTATGCAAGAAAATGCGACAAAAATAAAAATTGCGCTTGGGCGATACTTCAAAATCTTTCAACAGAGGAATCGCGTTAGTTGGAAAGATCACACATAGGTAGAGAACTGAGCCGTTTCCTAATTGATGAGGAAGTCATTTATGGGGAGGAAATGTGCAATTTATTAGCCCCTAAAATGAGCCATATTGGACAATTGGGTGAACTTCAAAAGCTCAAAATAGACGTAGATGAAGACTGCATGATGTGAAGAAATCACATTATATATGAATTTGTTTCTCATTTTTCTACTAAGATATTTATTTGGTTTCTTGCTGCTGACGACTCAATCAAATGAACTTTTGGAGATTTTGATATACGATTTAAGAGTGCGTAAGGCATTCCCACTAATGATTTTTCAGGGGTGTTCTAAGCACAGATTAAATGGGGGAGGGGTAGAAAGTCAAATTTCTTAATAAGGACAAGAGGGAAAAGGGCCTTCAGATTTGTTGATATGAAGAGTTGCTCACAAAATTTAAATAAAAAGGCACTTTTGAAAGGACAACCCCAGGCTGTCCACCATAACAAAAAAAGTATGGCACAAGCAGTTTAGTAACAAATGGTAATCTGTGTAGTATTACAGGTGACAATAGTTGTACATTATTCTGTTTTTGATGTTTTAATAAGGGAAAAATTGCTTTGTAAGTTGTTAAACAGAACTGGCAGGGGTTTTCCTATTACTGACTAACATGTGCTGTCCTCACTTCATAATTCATTACAGGTCAGCTTGTTAGACTGTATCTTGGAACATTTGAATGATGTGATGTTGCATCTTGTATCATTTGAATGATGTAATGTTGCATAATCTGTTGATACCAGCTTTAATTAACTCTTAACACTAGGGTTTATATGATTCATGTACCAGTCTATAATGCCTGGCAGCCAAACATGATCATATCAGTTTAATAGGGATGTATACGGTACCATGTAGTTATCTGGACTCACTATCCTATCCCACTACCCTATAACTGCTCTTTTTCAGAAATACTGTTATAGAAGATTTTTACCCCATCTTATCTTCACAAATGATATATAATTACTTTGAAAGGCCTTTATGATTGTATATTTTCAATGGTTACTATGCCTTTTTCATGATGACATGACAAAAATTTGAAATAGGGTACCTTTTTGTAAAGCATTACCGTTACTTGGATCTGAAATATGACTGAATATGGAGAAAATAAAGATGTTATCATACAGTAGAGGTGTCGTGGTCGAGTTGATACGTCACCAGACTGTGGATCACAAGGTCTGCGGTTCGAGTCCTGCCGCGGCACTAATGTCCTTTGCCAAGACATTAATCTACTTTTGCCACTCTCCACCCAGGTGATGCAAATGGTTACCTGGCAGGAATTAATTTTTAGAAATGTTATAGCACCGTAATGGCAGCCATTCTATTAAAAGCCTGGGTAATAATTGCAGAGCGCCTGGAGTGTCAGTCTGACAGACATGAATGCTATACAAGAACCCTCTTATTTTATTGGTATTATTATCAAAACATATTACCATGTAGCAAGCTTATGTTCTTCGTTCTTATAGGAGATTATTTATTTCAATAGTTCTTTTTTCTAGTTAATAATCACAGTATAGCTTTTGTTGGTCACCTCATGTCCTGACAGTAAGGGCATTGGTCAGGGGGGATGAATGTTAATTTGGGTCAGCAAACGGCCAATTATTGACCAAAGAATTGTAAAATGTTAAGGTGTGAGATGGAAGATGATAAAGGTATTGATTATCTCTTGTGGCAGGAGGTTATAGTCTGGGATGTCTCAATTGGTTTATGGTCCAATTGGTTTCCTAGGTGATATATCGGGCTCATTCACACAGGAGAAAACATTGTTTAATCCGTCATGTGCTTTGACCATTCACTGAAAGGCTTGCCTAGAAGCCAAGGAATTGTGGAATTTCGAGCAGGTCATGTGCATGTATATGTAGATACCGTATATATATGGAATGTCCAAAGTGTATCAACCCTCGTTCTTTACAGAGTTTTCTTTCACATGCCGTAATCTCTTATTTGCCATATTTATATACAGCATTAATAGAATCTTAGGAAACTTCAACCACTAATCATAACGCTGTGTAGTTATACAAAGTTTCTCTTGTCTGAATGGGGGTTCTTAGTACACTGTTGTCACAGCAGGCCTTTTGTTCAATAGCAAACCAATCAAATGAAATGTTATCATTCTGCTATGGAAAGGGCAAGGACTAATTGCTAAGATGTAAGTGTGATAGGTTTTAAAGGAACTATAGTTATTAAGAAAGAAAGAGATATTGCAAATTCTAAGACAAGACTAAACAGTTAAGCTACTTTGGAAATCATGCCCAAATGTTATGTAATTATGTTTAATGAAAAATTGAATGATATTTGCAAGTTATATGTATTTTAGCATCACCTGTTCCTATTACTTTAAAAAAATCACCAAGTCTGAAAAAGGAATGCATTCTATATGAATTCCTCTACCTTTAAAACAACCCTGTCAATCTAGATGAAATATTTCTACATTGATACAGTTGAGAATACTAATTGTCTGTCGATGTTATCACCTTCTAATCTTAATCAGTTCAGTGATCACCCCCAATCCTCCAAGCCTACACCTATCAAACCAAAAGGTAAATGTTTGGCTATCGATCCCTTGCATGTTATTAAAGAAGGCAACTGCCAGAGGAACGCAGACATAACGATTTGACGTCATGGCGCACCATGTCGTCCTTTATCAGATTAATCAAATTCCCAGAAGCTTTACAGAAAGGTATACAAACTCTATTCTTCTCTTATTGCCCCGTTATACGGCCCTCGTCTTATTTGCACTCCATAGAACTGCTCAGGGTCTTTGATGGGAGGGTAATTGTTTTTAATGATAGCCTGATTATGGTCTGCCATTGTTATGTCAGTACTCTGGTATGGTAAATGGATAAACGCTCTCGGCTGGAGCCTAAGCATTTCATTTTCAAACTAGACCGGGTGAGAGAGTGGCTTATATTGTTTTTGCATTATAGTTACTTGCCAATAATAAGTAACCCCAGCGACGTTTCAGCACCCCTTCTAGTGCCTTTGACACTTGCTGACACTGCAGTCGTTAAACGCTTTGGTAAGTTCCATGCCGCGGAGCAGTGAGTGTGGAGAAAGGAGTGGTGATATTTTGGAGCAAATTCTTTCCTGATATCACTTGTATAACATAGTCATAAGAAAGCAAGGCTTTAAGATTCCTCCAAGTTCTTATCCAGTTGTTCCTTCAGACAACAGCATTGAAACCTTATCATTGTCTGCAACAACAGCTTCTGCGGCAACCGTGCAACACACGCCGGAACCAGCAAAGACGTCTGTCTCCTGACCTCTCGGTGAAGGAATGACGAAGCTACCTGTAAACCTGTTGACTCCTGACTGATTCTATCACCTCTTGCCAACATATTTTAAAAGCAAAAATAGAAACCCCGGCATCTCTGATCGTTGTTCTCTCTCTCACCGAAGCAGTTGGTGCAATAATCGTATTTGACAGCCTGGATATTTGTAATATCCTCCCCTTACGCGACAAAAATTAACGGTAAACTTGACTTGAACTAATTTCTAGGACGAGTCATGCAAACAATAGCTTTGGGTTGGGGATATCATGAGATCCAGTCTGTTGTAATGGGTTCCAGCATCCAGAGCTCAGCAGGAAGTGGACGCTTTTCTCAATGGTTTACAAGTGCAACGGTATACTCTGGACAACAACGGTCGGAATTCTCGTTGTAAAAGTAGAATGCAATGGACCAACCTTGATGAAATGTGTAGGCTGCCAGCTGATTCTTGTTGTTAACATCTTGTTTTCCTGTTGATGAGAGTGGTCCTTGGTTGGTAGACATCTGTCAAGATTCAAGAAGTGTTTCCTGTACATCTTCTCTTCACCACAGACGGTGTAAAAGAAGCTTGCATCACTTTCACACTCTAGTGGATTACTTTGATTGCTTGGTTACAACTCATCTTCATTGCTATGATCTGTTTGTTACGCTATTCATGCTTTGTCTCTGTACTTCCCAAAGTGTGAACGTTTTCAGATCAACTAGAACAATTTTGTTGTCATGTTGCTGATGTCCTTAAAGAAAGATACATCTCGAAATAAAAAAACAGTTTTCTCCACCTTGGATGCTGTCAGACCAACTTGAAGTATTTGTTGACCTGCTGTTTCTCACAGCTATGAATGTTTGTAGAAGGTGAAGTAACCCACTGTATTAATATGATGACCAATACCGGCTCTGGGAGACGGAAAAAGAACAAACGGAACATGCGCGTATTGCATCATACGTGGGCCCATGATTTTCAGTTTGATGTAAGTTTCAATGCATTCCTCCCTGTTAATTACTGATGAGTTATAAGGTCAAACCTGAACATAAAGACCACTCAAGAAGAGTGGCCATTGTAGGCAGGTGGTTAATATGTACAGGTACCATTCATTTATTTGTTTCAATGAGAATCAGTAATCAGATGAAAAAATAGATGTGGTCTTTATAGACAGGTGGTCTTTCCATACAGGTGATCTTTCCATACAGGTGGTAGTAAACATATTGACATGTAACCATACATTAATCTGTAATATGATGTATAACAACGCATGCCAGGAATGAAGTATGTATGAAACAACAAGTAGAAGATTAATTATTGTCATGAATATTTTACCCAGTTTCTTCAAATACATAATGAGCTTCCCTGTATGTGTGTCCAGCAAGTTATATTAATGAATATATCTGTATTTGAAGAGTATATTCATGTTCTCTGATTCATGGTTGTTACATTATTTACATTTAATTTAATTTCTCCTGTATGTTGCGTTCTGTCCTAATTTCTATCATGAGTATTTCCTTTATAATAGATATGATTTCATGGTAAACAAAATTATGAATGCTTAACATTTTTATATATATCACAAAATATTTATACAAGTATAAATATTTCTATATCGAACTGTTTTTTATCTCTTCTTTGCAGCTATCTCGAGGGACGGGAAACGTCATGAGGGACAAACTCACTAAAACCAGCGGTGGATGTAAGTCCTTATCCTTCAGATTTCTTCAAATAGACCATGTTCATAATGATACCAAATCTAATGCATACGTTTTTGTGAAGTGCCTCAATACAAATTATTTCATTTATCTGTTACACTAATGGAAGATATAATTGTTGACAGTACATACTAACAGTGTTAACTACATAATGTTAAAAGTTTTTTAGAGCCAGAAGGGTGCTAAATCATTTCCCATACTGAGGTAATGTTCTCCTTACTCTTCAAAGATCTCTTAAAAGCTTGTCCTTGGATAACAGTTTCTTTAAAAGATTATGTACCGGTAATATAGATCCATCGTGGAACGGGTAGGAAAAATCTACCATGGACCATATCCCTGGTTGTTTTTCATTTTTGTCATTTTCATAAAAAACTGGTGTATTCCAGTCAAACCTGTCTAATATGACCACCCAAGGGAAACACACACAAAAGTGACCACTATATGCAGGTGGCCTCTTTGACAGGTTTTTCTAGAGGGAGGCAATATGATGAAGACAGGTGCCCCTTATAGAGAGGTGGCCACTAAAAAAAGGTTTGACTGTATAAGGCATTTACTTCGAAACAAGTTACAATATTGATGATCACAGCCCCTTCCAAATTAAGATAGCAGAAATTTGTTAACATTTTATGTTACAGCTTTGCCCTGGAGAGATTTCAGATGTGATTTATATTTGACTTACAAGTAATGTTTATTCTTTGTACTCCCTGTCTTACATATATAAATTCATTCATCTCTTTTTCTTCTACTTCGTCAGTGGGATATTCCCAATCCATGCGTGAGAAGACTCGACCAAACTCAATCCTAAATTCAACGAAACCATTCCAACCGGTAAGAGAATCAATTCTCCATGCATGTTCCTGTGCTTGGGACATGAAATGTAACGGTCCATTCAACATGATGATGCAGATATAACTTAGGAAAGGTCAAAATATGAATATGGAATATGTAGTGAGGGGAAAGAAATGAAGGATGATGTAATAGTGTACCTGTTCAAGTATGACTGTATGTGCTTTTGGATCAAATACCTTTCAATGATATTTCAGACTTGATTAGATAAAATAGTCAAAATGAATTTTGAGTGCTTCATAATCCTACTTCTATCAATTCCCTTCCCCAAAAAGAAAGGAAAGAACAACAACAAAAACAATGCATATTACACACATGCATCTACATCATGTACATGTATGAGTACACCAACTAATATATTTTGTAATTTGTGTCGACATTTTTAGGAGTTTTCCGTTAGAAATTGTACTGTCTATTATGATCATAAACTTGATTACTGATCTTAGTAGAAGAAAAGGTCATACATTAGTACATGTTTATTTCAAAGTTGGTCTGAACGAAAAATTAGGTAATGAATGAGGGGGACAAAAGAGAGAGGCAATTGTTTTAGAGATGAAGAGATGAAGGGAGGATAAATAAACCTGATATGTTATATTGATTTCACGCTTGGAAACTATTGATATGGTTGACGACATCTGTGTCCTATATGTATGTAGCATCGCCAAGAATAGGCGGTGACCAAATTCTCATGGCATTTAATCAATAATACATTGTAAAAATGAAAATTTTGCTCGACGTACACATCAACCAGCAAGTATCTGCATATATATGTAGCGGCGTTTACGAAGACCTCTAGTGTAATTTCTATTATGCCATGGTTAAAGTGATATGAATATGATGGCTTGTGTCTATGGATGTGTCTATGGGAGCATATTGGATGTTTTGAATGAGGGCTTATTGAATACGCTCTATTAGTCTGGATTGGATTTGATTTGATTCAGTCACGCCGGCCATGGAGCGTAGCTGGGCTTGGCATGAAGATGATGAGGCAAGAAGAGGGATCATTTAGGGGCTCGTTCACTCATGACGCGAAAAACGCTGATATTGTTTTACGTTTTACCTGTAAATGGATTGCAAGTGGGAATGAAGCAAAATGGCTGTCTGCAACAAAGGTCACACTCGATCATACTCACCATCATTGTTTTAAAGCCTATCTGCACTAGTTTGGCCAGGAGGAATTAGACCTCCATGCATGGTCACTTGCAGGTGGTTAATCTCATCAATTCAGCTCTTATTAAAATGAGAAAAAGGGACCATGGTAGATCAACGGGTACCGCTTAGGCATTGTTGGCTGTATAGAGGGCACAAGTTGCTACAAATAATGCAGTCCTGCTTTAAGATACAGTATTATGAAGTGTAATTCGCTCATCTTTGAGGAAAACAGAAATGGACGTGGTTGACCGTGTCGTATGTGAACGAACCCTGAGGGTGCTGGATATAGATTCCTCAATTACATGTCTTGCCCAACAGATTGCATGCATATTTAAAGGGAGTGATTAAAAGTTTGATTCAAAGCGGATGTCAAGAGGTGTTCTTCTAGTTCTACAGCTGACAGTTAATATATTTAGGAAATACAATGCGGAGTTCTGCTGCTGAGAGCCAGAATGGCATTAAGTCATATCATTTCACATAGAGCCCTTCTAGCTCTCTGTAGATAATTTCATTTAAACGAAGTGGTGTTGTTTTATTGTATCAACAGAGCCATCTTGATGCAGATGGCTTAAATGAGTTGTAACTTTTGTATGGTATGATGTGACATTCTTGGTCAAAGATATAGCATGACTGGATGATTATCTTTTCTGTTTGAAGCCAGAAGGACATGATCTCTCTTAATTCATCAGACTTAATATCCTTCTGCCTCTCAGCAGATGATAGTGTCTAAGCTGGTTAATTCTGATTTGTGAAAAAGATATCAAATATTGTATTTGTAAAGATTTTTCTCCTTTTTTTGATCATGTTTAGATGTCATTCCAGCCTCCGGGTAGCTCATCTGATGTCAGATCACCTGGTGGAAATGCTGGGTAAGTTAAACTATCCTATTAAAAAAAAAACATTCGTCACCATATCACAAATGTACTTGTATGAACTTTAGATTACCCGGCTACTATTAACATAGCAGCTTAACATTATTGACATGTTTGTAGTTATGTAGTTGAACTTTGACAGGTGATATACCGTAGGCTTTTCTTTTCTCACTTATGGTGGATTACTTTGCTTTGAGCAAAATGACAACTTGAATTATGTATTTCACTTCAGAGTGGAGTTGTATCTGGAATTTCTTGTGACTGTTTTTTAATATTGTTTGATCAATTTTGAATTTTATTTGGGAGGGAGATACTACCAGTACTTGTTTTTTAGTGAATAATAGTATTACATAAGAATATAGGATGCTAAAAGACGAGTGACTTGATGGGTGTGTTATGTAACTTCAAGTACCGGTATTATATTCAACTTCAGTTTATATTGATTTACTAAACTCTGAAGACATGGGTCATCATGTTTTCAGATGTACTGTACATGAGAGATGATGCTAGCTTTGTATACAACCATCAAACCAAATGCACACCTCATCTCTGTTGCTCTCACTTTGTTCTTTCTCTCTATCATTCCATCATATTTGCTAACATGCTATTTTTACAGAGAGAAAAAGAAAGAAAAGACCTTGCAGTTTTTAAATAGCTAAGACTTTAGATAGTCTCATACATTATTTTCTCATTTTCATCAATGTACATCTTTTTTCAGTATAGTAACTGATCAAATCTCTTGCTTTGATTAGGACTTTTTTTTCTTCATTTTTATCAAGTCACTTACTTGGCCAGCTATACAATTAACTTCTTATGTATTTCATTCATAACTTTCCTCAGCATCAGTTTAGAAATCTTTTCAATGAGTCAGAGACCAAATTCAGTAGGCAATATTTTATTTTAAGTTGCCAAGGCTATAACTAATATTGCCTGGCACAAGTATTTAAAAAAAAATCTATTTCTGAATTGCGGTGTGGGATGAAAAGGATGAAAACTATATTAAGGGTACTAGAAACAAAACCTCATCTCATGCCTATGCATCACACACACAAAATAAACCAAAATAAAATGAGAGGGAGGCAAGGGAAACGAGAAGAGGGGGCAAAAAGAATCTCTTAGGCGGTGATGAGCAATCAAGCAAGTAATATGTCATTGCCTGTTTCGTCGAAATGAGAGAATTCCGTCTGTGAGTTAGTCAGAATTACTTGTGATTCGTTTGCCAAACCGGTGGCAGGATAGTCGTGTTTCCCGATCGGGAAAGGCAAAACCCCTCTCCATTTAACATAGTTTGGGTACTTGCCAAGAGATTTTGAATAGTTTATGAACCATTCTTGCATTGAATGTTTTGCCATTGGCATCGATTATTGTGGAAATTCTTTGAAAATGCTCACAATAACAACATGACCTTATGAAAACGATCAAAATCAGACAATACTGTTGATAGAATCAAAAAGGAAAATGCTATAAAAAGGCAGAAATGTCTGTTTCTTGCTAAAAATGCATTTTTTAATGTTGTATTTACGTTAGGTAAATGTATGTCGACAAAGCAAAATTGCATTTTTCAAACCATTACATGATGTCATCTCATTCCCAATTGCGCATATCAACATTGAAATTCACACCGAATGAAACATGGATGCTAATTAGGAACCCCGCAGTTAACGCCTCTCTCACAAATATCACGCAGCAAGTGAATTCCACACTCCTTTCCTCAATCTTAGTCATAATTCACTTACCGCGCCTACTGGGTTTTGGCACCAGTTTGGTGTGTACATGTATTATTACATTAATTTGTCAATTGATTGAGTTGATGTGTGATGGTTAGGTTAGGTGGTGGAACAGTCGGATCATGGAACGTTGAACTTTTAGAGGCTCGTTCGTTGCTGACGACATCTGTTATAATTGTTAGTTGTGATTAATCATGCCAGTGGCTGGATTGGGGTTGTGAGTGGAATGTGGTGTTCGATAAAAGAGAATAAAAATAATGATTGGATTTTACTTAAACCGTATAAGTGCTAAGTGTGCAGAGAATAGTACCTTAGGATTAAGATGTTGATGAAGGTTAAGGTGTCACAAAATGAAGAGAAATGCTTCTGGAATTTCACACAGATGAGCTCAGTAGGCATTCAGTGTCATTTTAGTGTTTCTGTCAATATTGTTTCATCATCTCTACGATGGTACATGGTTAAAACACCGGTTAACAAGAAATGATACAACTAATGTTCCTATGAATCTAGGGTTATATGTAATGCCTTGTCACTACACATGTATGTAGCTTAAAGACATATTTGTTTCGTACATCTGCAGCCATATCTAGGCCTATTTACAGTTGACTAACCATATGCAGTAGATTACACTTTAACTGTAGTATTAACCTATTTCCGTGTATTGTCCCCACTTTTCTCCCCCTCCCATCTCCCCCTATTTCTCCACCCGCTGCCCTCAATACTACTTCTCTACACCCCCCCCCCCCCCACACAAATTGATCCAAACATTTCCACCGCTCTCACACCCCTTCAACAAAATCTCCTTCTGCTCTCTGACCATCACTCGCCACGCCCATTCTTATTTGGCTCCACCTCCATCCTCACTTGGCCCCACCCCTTTCCTCCATCCATTCCATCCCTGCCCCCTGAACCAGTATTGAGCTGGGCAAGTGGCATTGGAACAGAGTCGCCATTAAATTGGGGGTCAAGTAAGTCCTTCTAGGCATGCCTATACCTAGTCTTATATTTGAATGTGTCTCCATAGTCTGTGAATGTGCATCCCTGCATGTAAATATCAACCCCTTTTAATGTAATCTGGCTTTCGACTCTTACTGCTCCCCTTTTAATACTATTTTATATTATTTTGTTTTTATTAAGCAGATAGGAAGAGTAAACAAAGTATTACAGATGAGAATGGACACAAGGAATGTCCTTTGAAATGTTCATTGAAATTGATGATATTTAAATAAATACTGGTTGGTAGATTTAACCTGGATAGCTTGAAGATCGCTCTGGAGAGAAGAGCATCAAAAAACTTTGATTACTTAACAATGACTGGAAATAATTATAACTTTCACAACAGTAAATACTTAAAGAGATCTCATGAATGAAAACAAAAGTATTGTTCACCCTAAATAATACTGAATTCCTTGAAAGCCAGGCTACATTTCCCCAAAGTTTCTCTTAGTGCAGCTATAGTAGCCATTGTTCTCATTCATATACATATGTATTGTCATAGCAATATCAAAATGCTTAGAATATTCTTATCATGAGAAGATGTAACCTGTCTGTCAAGCATGATGATTGTCACTCATTTGTGTCGTAAATCATTGTCATTCGTTGAGAGTCAGAAGGATGCTTAAGTCTGTGTTGAAAGTATTTAGTTACTGGTAATGCCTTTCTGTCTCTCAATGTCTCTCTTGATGATACAAACAATTGTTTTTGCTCGCTGTTTGTAAGATTGTTATTTGTTGTCTGTGTGATTGTATACACTTATGAATATTCAGCAATATTGTTCACTCTTGTATTACGTGCATTTGACGTTTGTTACATTTATGAGGTTTTATTGGAAGCCACAGGTTATATTAAAATATTGCACAGAGCGGTATCATGGTTAATTATTGTTTAGGTAATAGATTTGTCTTTAGTATAATAGATATGAAGAAGAAAAAGACCTTATTAGCAATAAGTGTAAAGAAATATAAAGGTATGCAATTTGGGATGTTTAATTGTTATGTACATTTGATATGTCTTGAATCTTGAAGCTAGCTTTTTTGAACTCCCATGAAAATATCAAGGGCTAGGGGTATTATGTTAGGGGGTAGGGTGGTGGTATTGACATTATTTAGGCTAAATATGCACTAGAAAATAAGTAGAATATTACCACCTTTGTTTTAAAATGAATAGTAATAACAGTGTGTATTTTTTCTTATTAATTGCAATTTGGTTTGTTTTTGGCATGTATATTTGCTAATTATTGCATGGTTTTGCCGTTTTTAATATCAATGTCAAAAATGAAAATCCCAGTTTGTTTTTCTTAGTTATTTGCATTTTGCCAGGATTGAGGTTAATAGAAAGCTATCAAAATCCACTTGAAGTATGGGGTATTTTGTGTATTATGTCAATAGACGTTGCTTCAAGGAAATTATACTACCAAATCATTTATACTTCCAATTCATTGCAGATCTATGAATAGTAGCCCTACATACGTCACTTTATAATCAAATTATCTATACCATACATTCTTTGGCCATTCTTAATTTGCTAATTAGATTAAAAAACAAAACAAAACAACAGTTTATAAGGTATTTAGATTATTGGCAGATCACTATATTAAGATGACCTTATAATAAAGAATGCAGTTTACAAGTTTTTCCAAGTAGAACATTTAAGAATTCCAGTCATGGGGCTGACCGCATCATAATATGACCTTTAATTACCCAACTGCGATTGAACCATTGTTTTTTGTTTTTGTTTATGTCTGCTACATGGTAACCACGTTGCATTCTTGATACAGAAGTAGTTCCGATAACCAGATTAGAGCTGGGTAATTAACGATAAGATTTACCAGTCTAGAGACATTTTTGAAATTCTTTGATGAGATGTCATAGAAACCAACCCCTACCAGTCTACCTGGGTAGCTTTTGTCCAATGTTGACATTTACTTTAGATAGTATGTACCACAGTGCAGCAGGTTCAGACTCTGTCAAATCTGTAAGCCCTGTAAGGAATAGCCTACCTTCTTGAAATGGATCCAAGATATTGACCATCAAAATTCGTCCTCACTCTAAATATTTGGAATGGGTCATTGCTTTTAATAGATGGGTTATTGAGGAGATTTTGTGTCTGCCAAATTATGGCTCAGTTAAGGTGGGGGAGGGGGGGGGGGGGGGTTGCGCTAGGTCAACTTCTGACTATGTTTTGAAAAGGTTCACTTCCCGAAACTGCTTTGAGTTGTATTGAGACATGTCAAAAGGTTAAAGAAAAAATTGATAGAGTGGCAATGCCTTAATTATTATTTCCAAGAATTTTGTGACCAGATTAAGTTTGTGCTTTTGACTTATATAGTCGGTATGTCATTTTCATATCATTTTTCCAGCATTAAATATTCTAGTATATACATTCATATGAAATGTATCAACATCATATTAAAGAAAGCATTGTAGAACATGTCTTTCATAATGATATCGTACCATTAGTAAAACTTGAGCTCATATTTAAGAATTTTATATATACAATTCTTATTTTCTATATCATGCTAATGTTTTGCACATGACTGCTTTAATAGTTTGACAATGCATGCAATTTAATACTGCACATCGTTTGCTTGTGGAACAGCTTTCCTACTTTGCAGCACCACTTGTTACATTACGCCTCCATGCCCCCTTTTGATTCTTAGCAGGTCTATGATTTGGCTTTCTGCATTTTATTTTTAATCTTATTTTCGTTGTTATGTAAGAAGGGCAATGATAGTATCACCATTATTTACATTCTGTTGATACTAGATGTTTGCTATAAATGCGATGTCTCTGTTTTTATGCAATCCCATAGTGATATCAGACTGGAATCCTGTATTTGTCTCAATTTTTTTATTGGTCAATATTTGTTTGCCTTTATTCAGGGAATTTCAATATTCACTGTACAAAATAAATTATTTGTTTACATTTTATTGTACTATAGTCATGCACTATAGAATTTGTTTTTCTGCCTATGATATGAAAGGTAAAAGTTTGCCTAAAGTAAATAATGTAATACGCACCTATATGTCTATGAATTAATAGAAATGATGCCCTGTCTGATTATAATTTACTGCTTGATTGTCATTTTAATGAGGTAATAATGTGCTGCATGCTGTTTGTGAATTACGCCTTTTTTTTTGATATGTTGGTAATATTTCTATGAATAATCAAATTATTATTTATGAAAATGACCGTTTCTCAAGCCATAATGAATTGAGATGGCCAAGAAATTATCTTGTTGGTTGAAAGTCAGAAGAGTGTGAGTTGCTTCCATTCTGGCTGTCAGTAGATGATAAAAGCTCTACTCCTACATGTACTGCCTTCATTTTTCATTGAGCTACATGTATAGAATAGAATGTGTATGTGTTCATGACATGTTGCTTGACTGACTCGTTTGGTCGATGAAGTTGACTGACATTTCATTTAAACGTGTGTTAATTTCACAACTTGGATTTCATGAGACAGACACAGAAGTCTGAATGTGCTTGTAAATTATTGAGGACTATGAGCTCCATTTCAAAGTTTTTTCAAATGAATGTGAAAATAATAATTAGAATACACTACTTATTTTATACCCCCCCCCCCAACTGCTCCTTGAAAGATATTGTGTTCTGTGTTTTTGATAAGTTATAACATACAAGTATTTACAATAATATGTAAATACTTGTATGTTATAACTTATCAAAAGAGGGAATATTTCAAATTGATTACTCAGCTAAGCTCAGCCACTTAAAGTAGCAATCTGTTTTCAGTCTACACACACATATGAAAGGGACCGAAGATCCATTCTTTCCTTTTTCCAATGAATTATGTGCCTATTGCCGCAAGACTGATTGTGTTAATATGGTCGAACAACCAAACACAACTTTACTTGACCTCATCAGTCAAAAAAAATGTTTGATAAGCGGATGCCAAATCTATGAATGTTTGTTTAGACCTCTTTTCATTGAATGAAGATAAAAGGACATTTATTGGCATGATCTAGTATGTATTTATCATGCCATATCATATTTTTATCATAAAACAAACCGGAAATTAAGGGGCGTTTATTTTCTAAAGACTTTGCTCTAAGCAAAGATCAATCTCAAAAAGCAATCTCGTTAGATTTAAATATCATTTATCACTAAAAGTAAGTGAAAAATTACTCTTTTCTGAGTTTTAAAATATGTTAACCTTTGACGGCTGCTCAATCAGTGACTGAATTTCAATGAAAAGAGATGGAATATGATCGTGATTAATTGCGACAAATCCCTAAAGCTCCTGGTAGGGTTATAGCTAGTCAATGGATACAACAAGTAAAGAATAACCATGGACCAACTAGCACAGGAAAGAACAACCAACTAATGTTACATGCCTTTCACACGAAGCTGTAGCAATGGTTTGTGGTCTAGCCAGCAAGTTTATAAAAAGTGACACAGGATCCTGCAGATTGGGTTTCTTCTCTTCTGTTTTTGTTCTGAAAAGGGGAAAATTAAGGACAGCCAAATGAGCCGACGTTCCTTGAAAGTTAGCCGGACTATGGACCTACAACGAGCTAGTTCAGTAAAGTGTGCAGGTGAAAAGAGAAACAATACTCTGCCTTGCTGATTTGTCATTTTTCTCTGAGTTTTATGACAGCTCTGACGGTGGAGGCAATAGGTTGCTGACTTGCAACTCATTCTAGATGGAGCGCTTGATCTAGTCCCAGATGAAACGTAAACCTTTGTGATCCCAAGTACCTCATTCTGTATCTGATTGCAACTGCTTCATATTGTGTTTCTTTATTGAGTTATGCTCCCCATTGTGGAGTATGATGCCTATCTAAGGCACTGCCCGACCATCACTGTTGCAAAGAAGGGAATTGTAAAATTACATTTTTCTGAGGATTTTGCGAACAATGCTGCTGAATATGGTGTGGTGATAAAGACCAGAAATAATTGTGATGCTTCAGTGCCTTATTAGAATGCTGTCCCACTGTGCCATGAAAACAGTTCACAGATTTTATATTTATCAAAGAATTTATTCTATTTTGATGTAGAGGATGTGGTATTTTCAGTTTGGGAAAACTTTGGTCGTAAATCAGCAAGTTGTTTTTCTCACTATAGCTAGATATACTTGTACATGTATATCTACGGACATGTTTGGAAGAAACCTTTTGTCAATTCTTCAGCGTAATACTCAAGCTCCCTCTCACTATTGGACTATACTTGGATTATAACTCTGGATATCACTTCCATACTAGAAACAAGTGGATAAGTCTAAGCTGCATCTCACCATTGTTAATCGTCATCAATACAGGAATACCAATGAAGATCAAGACTTGTCATTAGCTGGAGTTAATGTTGATGCAAACTACACAAATCGAGCCAGAGTACAATAAACTAACACCCTCTAATCTGTGTGCGACTCACTGGATCTCAACCAATTCAATCCACATTCATCATTGTGTTGGAAAGGCTATCTACGCTCTCACAAATATTTGTTTCAAGACTCTAATTCGGAATTAAACGGCTTGCCCTGTCAACATCGCTTGGCATGAACATCTCTGATAATCAGCGTCGAAACGATCCGCAACAAACACATTGAAGTGTGCGCTTGTATTAAGGTTCACATACTTGCACTGTATCTACCAATAGCGAAAAAAACGTATATCCTTAACTTTGACAATCGTCTGTTTTTAATGAAGGACTTAATGTGTAAATTTAAAACCTACTGTGGTACCGTACTTGAATCACTGACAGTTGGATATGAATCTATCTAATGGTTTGTGGATAAGTGGCTGAGTTTACTGATCATTTTGACACCCCTCTATTTGATAGTTCTATCACATTGTTCCCCTGCCCTGTCCACCTGTATGGTATAAGTCACCACCATGTTGAGAGTGCCGAAGCTTTCACACCGTCTCTCGTTTTCTTTTGATAACATTGCTACCCTTGGTATTGGCAGGACTATTGAAGAGAATGAGGAGAATGATGGCGGACCAGGAAGCCCTCCAAAGACTGGGTAAGCTATTTAAATCTTATATTCTCTTTATAAAGGTACTGTTATTGTGATACTGATATACTAAGCAGTGTATTCAATAAATCGGTTTTTCCAGAATACATAGTTCCAATTAACCTTTGTTCAAGCCAAATATATAGAGAATGGTGAGAAAACTATACATGAATATATCTATCATTTGATATATATTTCAACAGTAATTTCAAACATACAGTAGCCTTTAAAATGAATTAAAAATAGCTTTGAAATTTAAAATTCTCTTGAAATTCTAAGCCATTATAAAACCAAAGTTGATTGATGTACTGGAATACATTCTTATAATAGATTTGTAATGACTCACAGTTATTGTACGATTTGTTTATGAATTATTTGTTATTAAAAAATTTGAATGAAAGGACAGCATAAAGCATGCCAGACATATTTTTACATTGATTCGTACACGGATGTTAATGTCTGAATAGAACCATTATACTTGCCTTATTGTGATAACAAAACAGATATGTTTCAAACTGATTCATATTTGACATTCTTTAAATTCCTTTGATCTTTGTTCCTGAAACTCCATGCAAAGATATAATGACATGTTTGACATAAGCTGTTCTGGACATACACGGTTCAGTAATTACCAATTTGAAAATGTGCTGTTTTTGTTTGAATATCCATTATACTACGTATTCCATTTCTATATCTCTCTTCAATTCTGTAATACATTTCTTCATATTGCATATATGTCTTACATCTCAGTAAATAACGTACCAAGAGTACTATCATGAAAGTTAATCCATATTGATAATACATTTTGATAATACTTTACGTTTGAGAACTTTTTTTTCAATACAAAAATTAAATCAAAGATAAATACACTATACAGTACTTATGTATTGAGATCAAAAGTTTCATTCTCAAAGAATGGAGTAACAGAATTAGAGTAAAGACATTGCCAGACAATCTGCTGAGTTGAGTTTTCTAGATTTTGGCTTTAATAGCGATTGTAAAGCAATTAATATGCAATAAACTACATCCTACAGGGGTGTGTTGGCATCAAATTATTATTATCACTTTTAAGCCTTTCCTTTACATTGTGATATTTACACAAGTGCAGCAAAGTTTGAAAGCAAACTTAATGTGGGGCCTTACAGATAGTATACTCATAAAATCATAATAATAATAAATAATAATAATACTCAGTTTTTATATAGTGCTTATTAGAATCATCTTTGGACTGTATAAAAAGCGATTAGATAGACAGAGTAAACAAGCATTAAAATGGAACATTAACACTAGAAAATGCACATTAAAAAAATTTCCTCCTTTAAAATAATGAGAGATTAATTTAATTTCCAAAGAGTAGAGTGTCAATGCTAAGAGTTTGCCTGGCATAGCATCATACATAATTAATACAAAACAAATTTAAATCAGAATGTGTGCGTACTCTACAGCACATATATTTCAACATTTGTATGAAATGATTTTCATAGGATTTGTGTTATGAAAGCTGTTATTAAAAAAGCATAATAAAACTTATTGTTTGTTTACATATAGTATTATTGATTTATCTATATGAAGGGAAGTATAGGATTATATTTAATCCAGATATTATTGAATTGTATCCGCCTGCATTGATAAAAAGTAAAAATGTGATACTTGGAAAAGATAAAATTGACATGATAAGAATTACATTGTATGGCTGTATTTATGATCTAAAAGACTCGCATGGTCATCAGATTTTGTAAACTGAATCAATATTTGCTCAGAGGGTACAGATCGACTGTAAATCTGTTTTGCCAATAAAACTCACGCAAATACAATAATCAAATCGTTGACATGCATCATTTATAACTTTGCACTGCCAGACCATTCTAATACACTGTGTAGCTCTAAGGATAGACTAAAAATGACTATTGTATACTATAAAACAGATACAAGAACGTAAGAGACGTGATTGGTAAAATGAATTTCATGTATTACTCTTGTTTTTGCCATTCCAAGAAGCTACTTTTCAAAAAACTTTCGTTATCACAAAGGATTGTAGCAATTTTTCAGTTGTTTGTTATTATATTTTTATTGGTTTTAATCCATACTATTGGTATGAGCGAAAGATTATTTTGTGAAAATGATCACTTAAATCAATTTTGTAAGTAATAATGCTTCAGAAGTAGTTGAAAGGTGCCACCTCGACTGCTCACTTGTCTGTGTGGGAGCAACTAGTAATTCACTTTGTGATTATTTAGGACATTCTTCTTTGTCCGATACTGTTCATTCTCTTTTACAATCTTCAGCCTTGTGAAGATCCACAACGTCTAATTGTTAGTAATTTAAAGAGCTACAAGCGATTCATTTTTGTGATTATTTAACTTTCTACTTGTTCTTAAAACTTTACTTCTAATTTACAATCTTCAGACTTGGAAACAACAACATCAGTTATTCGGTGGAGTCGTTGGTGGACGAGGTTTGTACGTCCACGGAGACATGGGAGTTCATGGATGATGAAGACTTGGTCACTCAGGGACCGGAACCAGAATCATGGAGTGTCATGGCAGAGAAGAAGGTAAGCGCACCTTTAATATTTGACCTTTGACCTTTGACCTTTGACCTTTGTAGTTATCCATTGGCCCTGTCTGCGATCATTGACATGATAGCTTTACAGGGATGGAATACTAAATACTAGTACGTGTTAGTCCATTTATCTCAATACTTCTACAAAAGTGTTTTCATGAAGTTTCATGATGGTAAGCTCACCTTTGACCTTCTGTAATATCATATACAGGTATCTATCTGGTTATTTATTATTTGGTTCATACTTCTTTCTTTCTACTCATTGCTGTTATCTCTGCTTATATACTTCCACTACTTGTACTACTTCTACTTCTAAATTGATGGAACACCTACAACATTTCTTTTGTAATAATATATAGTATTTCCCCTTTGAGTATATGAAACTTCCTTCATAATCTTAAAACTAGCACTGTCATTTTTGTAGTGATACAATGTATCCATTGAATTTTTAGTCAGCTATATTTTGTATTTATTTATTGCATTACTTGAAATTCATAGGTGTCTACAAAGGTAAATTCTGTGATATTGAAGAAAATAATATTGTCAGTAATATATATTTATATACATGTACGTATGTATTTTAAAAAGTCAGGCAATAATATGCCACATCCCTTCATATGGTCAATTCTGTCTTGACTGTATCCATCAGTCAGAAAGAACAAAATAAGCAAAATAGATAGATTTATATTTTAAAAAAATTGTGTAAAGGAACATAGTCGGAGGCCTTGATGCGTGCTTGAATGAGATAAGCCGTAGACCCGTCTAATGACTTGGAAACTTGGAGACTTATAAACCCCTCTCTTAATATGATAATCTAGGTCAGGGCATGAGTGAGGAAGATATGAGATCTTATGTGACTCAAACTCAAATTAGAGTCTACATTTATATCTCTCACATATGGGAGGGGAACATGTTTGGAAGGCTAGGGGAAGATTCAAAGCAGGTTTGGATATAGATACTGAGTGCCTGTAGCGTAGATAGCGGTACCTCTTTGTCATCCTAGCCATCATGCAGGTAATTTCTTGAATTATGACAAGAATGATTGTCAGTGTTTTGGTTGAGTGCACTTTTTGTGAGCTAAATGTCTCATTTTTGTTTGTGACTGAATACGTTATATTTCATTACGTGTGATTCTTTGTGTAATGTAAGGAAAGCAATATGTAAAAGTGGTAATCGGAATAGAGGATGTAGTAGTATTGGTGAAAATAATACTGGTAGCAAGGGTATTCATTTACTATTTGCCGAGAGTCAGTGGAAGAGAGTTCTGTTGTTAAATAGAGCTAACACCTTTCTGGTCTTTACCATGCTTTCTGCTAAGAGCCAGAAAGGCATAAACTCTATGTTTAAAAAAATTAAATTATAACATTGAATAATGAAACAGCCTCCTTTTCTGGTTCATGGGAGAAGAAATTAAATACATGTATGTGTACTTACATTATAGTGTACAGGAAATTCTGTGTGGAATTCCAGTGAAGTAAAGTGACAGGAGTTACCACATTCCTTGAAATTAACCTCTAATTTGATATTTGTTCTTCCTTCTATTTCTTATTATAGACGATGAGGAAGATGAGTAGCAAGGAAATTAAACGCCAAGATGTCATCTTTGGTAAGTCAACCCTAGACCCTCCCCTCCCCCCTCCTTCTCTGATCCACCTGTCATACAATTATAGGGATCTACTGAAATCATGCAGGCATTATTACTTTAAATACCACTGTTCAGCCTACCACAATTTATGGTATTGCCAGGCCAGAATTTTCTTGCTCTGAACTGACAGTATGAAATACTTTTAATGAGTATTTAACCTATAAAATCAGTAAAGTGTGACACAGACCCAAAAAATACAGCCAAACAAAACCAGACAAAGAACCTAAATGTAGCTCACAGAAATCTTGTTTTTCATAGCAGGGGTATATATCTTTTTCAAATTTTCACTCATTTGATATGGATTGTAAACTCCCTAAGATCAGAGCTAGAAATCAGATACTACATAGAACACTTGGCTGCTGTAATTTCTACTGTGTTTAAAGGTAAAGACCAGTTTTGGAAACCTCCCCCTCTCAAAAAATTAAATAGAAGCTCTTATTACCAATCATGTGAAAGAATATGTTTTGACTAATACTTGATCATACAAATTTTGCAGAGAAACCACCTACTAATTGATATATTTGGTACATTATTATATCTATTTGGACCTGATAGATATAACGCACGTGTCGCATAGTCCCATATACCTCTTTCTGTGAACAGTGCTTGTAACTTTACCAAGACTGGGCCAAATTTCTTATCATTTTGATGATTTCAGAACCTTGCAGTACACACCAATACTTATATGCTAGATGATCAACCTTTTCTGATCGATTCCACAACGTTTCTTTCACAATGCAATCGCATGACCAGAGCTGGTCTTTATCTTTAACTTCACTCGTTGAACTCTGAGAGTTCCTTTAAAAAAAAAAGTATTTTCATTCTGCATTGTCAGTGCCTGTAGCCAAACTTTAACAACTTTTTGTTGTTGAGAATTGTACAATGCATAATGCTCAGCTTGTTAGCGATTTAACTGTGCAACTGTGCATTTGTTACCCCACTGCTTATCACTGATGTTATAAGGCAAACATGTTTTCAAACTACTTGTGAATGTACAGGCCAATAGATGAAAAATGTGTGAATAAATCTAGAATTTAGATTTTTGTACAGACTTCTAGTCCAACAAAAACACTTTTTATTTTGTAAACTAAAAAAATTAATGTGACGCTGAAGATCAAAGGAAGTATGTAATTCTTTTTGCTTTTAAATTAATTTTTATTAATGCTGCGCTCGTTTAATCAATCAAGCTTTGAGATTTAATTTTATTCTTATATACAAAATTGGAACATTGGTACTGTTTGTGGTACAACAAACAATTTCTTGCTATTCATTCTTTCTTTAATAGGTGTAATTATTTTCTTTATGGGATTGCTTATGATTTAACCACAATTGAGCCTTTATAAAGATATTTCTGTTTGCCATTTCATGCCCCCATAATTTACAGAGTATTTGTTTTGTTTTTGTCAAATCACATCAACTCATTTCTTTTTCTTTTGAATACTAAGTAAAGGCCTTGTTAATAAGTAACCACGTAAATTGAATTGCCAAGTTTAATTGCTTTCCCTTAAAAAAAATTGTACATATTTGAATGCTTTCCCATTTCCCCACATACACATATTTATTAGACCATTGGGAATATACAGCCCTGCATATGTGACCCCACAAGGTCAAGACAAGGTCAAACAAAAGCTAGCATTTCAGCTACTCAGTTTTCAGCATTGACAAAGAACATGACTTTACTCTTGAAATCTGATATTTGTTATTTTATAGACTTTTATGAGGAGAAAATAGTGATTGATTAACTTGCCTCCCACCTCTAGCTTGTTGGTGCACCTAGCCATATTTTAGTTTGTTAGAAATAGACAGATATTTTAATATTATGAAGGAATTATATATGTCCATTTGACAAAATCATATATTTTAATCATTTTATTCTGAAAGGGACATATTTCTTGTGCCCCCTTTTGTTTGGTGTGCTTATAATTTTGAATACATTCCAGTTGTGTTTCATTACTTAGTAATAGTAATATATCATAACCTTTTTGTTATTTTATTATGTCTTTAAAAGAATTTTTTTTCTATCTCTTCCACTTTCAGTCACTTGGCATTCCTACTAAAAAGCTGCTTATAAAATTACTTTTCCTCACTTTTCAGCGTAGATTAAGGGTTAAATCTTTGTTTTGTATATGTAATTAAAATAAGTTTACAAATAAATTGAACAACAGGCAGGTAGCTTTAGCCTGGATGAAAACGAATGGACTGGGAGATGGCAGTATTATGCAGTACTTGTAGAAGTTGACATTGTGATACTGTAGACAAATTTCTAGAACTTTTGGTTGATAGTGTATATCTCTTATTCCTTTGAAACAGAATTCATCAAGACGGAAAAACATCATCTAAGAACACTGAAGATCATGCAGAAGGTTTGTTAAAATTTAATCATACATTTTTCAATTTCAAAAGAACAAGTCCATATTCATGTTGTGCTATAGTGTTTTATGCATTCAAATTCTAAGCATCGATAAGATAAGAAGTAGCGCGAACCATAATCATGGGATGAAATTAATTGTATGAAACGTAAACCAAATTAAATTATTATCATTTAAATTCTCGTTGGTTCAGGTTTTCAGAGAAAACGCCAAAGAAAATATTTGTGAAGAAGGCTGCATAAGATTACCGTACAAGCAATATTGGAAAGATCTCTTTAGATTGATATAATACATAGCCTTGTTTTTATTCCTATACCATGAGTATTGAGTATTGAGTGTAGGCATTACTCTAAGATGTTTACCTCTCTCTCTCTTGCTGTCTTCAGATCTTCAGCTATGGGATGCAGAACGAGCTCCACATGGATCATGGCCTCATCAAGAAGGTCTTCCCCATGCTAGACGAGATCGTCGACATCGCTTCCAAGTTCTACGACAAGCTACAGAAGAGACAGAAGGAGGCTGAGGTCATTGAGAGGATAGGTGATATCCTCGTTGATCAGGTCAGTCAAATAACCGTCTTATTGTTTCATCTTCAAATTGGCAATATTAAGTATGTTTCGCTCACAAAATGTTGTTCATGTAAAACTTATTTTAAAGAAATAATAGGTTTGAAATATATCTACCAAATTGGGAAAGGGAATTTTCAATCGCTTTTATAAATCTGTGTTTCCTCTTATTCTGGAAATTTTTTCTTATTCTTTGATGTGAAGTTCTTCCAATAAAATATTGTGCTTCTAAATTGAATGTTTGTGAATTAATATATAATGTAGGAAAATCATTGCCAATTTGTATATGAATACGCAGTCATTACTGAGCTGCCAATTCGATACTTCATTGCTTGCAATACTATTGCCTTAAAAACTCTGTATGTCATGTAACATTCATCATGGAATAATGGACTATCAGAAGACTTCAAATTGATGTAAACATTTACTGTTCCTCGGTTGGATTTTCAGCAAAATGTGGCAGTGCATTCCACACACACATTAGGGAGAGGCTTGTCATTGAAAACCCTCAATTTAACTTGGGAAACTTTTATGAATACTCACATTATTTGTGTGTTGAATAGCTGACACGAGAGTGAACTTCCTCCTAACAAGCGAGGAATGCCATGCTTAGCTGAATAAGACACGATACTTTATATTTATCCTCTAAAACCCCCGCATGAAATGAGTTGATTCTATATATAGCCCTCATAGAAATCTCCCTGTAAAATGTGATTCTGACTAAATGCTGTATTCAGAAACATGTGATAATGTGGATGATTCACTTGTATTACTTTACTTGCATTACAATATTTAGTGTACAAAAGTAGAAAACTGACCATCGCTTCATAATTGATGTACATGTCTCCTTGAGTGCCACCATTTTGATTATCCCCAAATTCAAATTTCATATTCCCTTTCTTTCTCATGTATTTCTATGTTTATATGTACATGTATTGTTTTACAAAATTAAAATTTTGAGCGAACTTCAGCTCCGTAATTTATAAACAGCGTCAGTTTATGGCTTTTGACAAGATTGGATTACATGAATCATGTTTAATAGTTATGATTCACATTCACCTTGCCAAATTGTATATCATTCTTTTATTCCTTATGATATGTTGGTATAGTATTTACATTTTGTTTTTATTTGTAAAAAAATGCAAGTATAATAAATTTAGGATTGGTTTAGTTTGGTTTTATTTTCCGTATCAAAAACATATATATATATATATATACATAATATAGACCATTTTCTTCACGCCTACATATTCTGGAACTTTCGTTGTCATGTCAGAGTTGAGACTTCTCACACTTTAATATACATAATATATATATATATATATATATATATATATATATATATATATATATATATATAAACCGGTATATATATATATATATATATAAACATATCTGATTATATAGTTTATCTTGACTTTAATACCGGTACATATTCTTTTTTTCTTCTTTAGTTTGATGGTGAGAATGGTGACAGGATGATGATGGCTTATGGATGTCTGTGTAGTCAACAGAATGAAGCTAAAGCAGTCTACAAAGATCTCACCAAGACAGACAAGAGGTTTCAAGCATTCATCAAGGTAGCAACAATTCTACTTTTACATTTCATTCTGCCTCTTAGCTTTGCTTCTGTTTGTATGTTTGACACTCTGTCTGTCTCTCTCTCTCTCTCTCTCCCTCCCTTTCTATCCTTGGTCTATGTCTATACTACCTTTGATTTTCATTCTCTTTTCAATGATATCTATGTATAGTTTTATTTTGCCAATACTATTTAGTTTTTCTTTCTTTTTTAAAGACATTTTCCTTGATAATTTGTTAATGGAATTCTCACATTAGGAAAATATGCTTCATCAGTTTTATTTTTGGAGTGGAATGCATGAAGGTATCTAACAGCTCATCTGGAAACATTCAAATCTGAATTGCATCTTGTAAGTTGTTGAGCAATAACTGTGTACTAATGTTTTTTATTAATATTATTGTTGTCACTATTATTTTGTTTGTCATTAACAGAAATGCAGCACCAATGCACTATGCAGAAGATGGACGATACCTGAATGTATCTTGAGTGTGAGCTCCAGACTTACCAAGTATCAGCTTCTTATAGAAGCCATCATGAAACCAACCAAAGGTGAGCATTAGTCAGTTGTATTTCATACAATCTTAGGAAATCAGAAAAAGAATATGCTGTGTCTAAGGGCATAGAATGGACAATTTCATTTTTGAAAGTTAAGTGATTCTGTGGGGTATACATTATGAAATTATTGTTAAACATCTCCACCCAGGTGTTAGAGGGGTGCCCAGTAGGATGTGACCGTCATTGTTGGTCAAGTAACGCCTGGCTGGAATGCTCCCCAGGGAGTGGAGATTGTGCACACAGTGCGTGTGGGCAAGTATTGTATCCAATGACCAGGGTAATAGTATATCTGTAACATGCTTAGAGACATTTGTATTAAGCGCTATATAAAAGCGGAATATTATTATTATTATCATATGAAGGAACGAGTCTTTCATATTTAGGGCAATTCTATGTAAGAAAAAAAATCCGAAAGGGCGGCCCTGAAGATGTAGGATACCAAACTATTCAGAAGAGCCCTTTGAATTCTCTTCTCAGGTCCTGACAGGTCCTGCAATGCTCATGATACAGTGGATTCAATTGCAAATTTTTCTCGTAAATATATAACATGAGCTTCATTTTCTCCATCTTCCTTTCTCCTTTTTATGCTTCCTCTTTACAGCAATCAAAGCCACAGACAAAATAGACACACAGGACCTTACGAGAGCACTGGAACTAGTCAAGGTAAATGTACATCTTGCAAATTAGTAGTTTTGTGTTTTTATTATTGATTTACAAGTATTATTCTCTTCATAAGATTTCCTATATAGTCATTTAAGTAAGAATATAGTTAAAGCTTTTGTTCCTAGGTCAATTGAAATATGGTAAGGATGCTCTTGTTCCTCACCTTAAAGAACAAAAAAGTCTTTCTATTTGTTGTAGTAATTATGTATGTCTTGTACTTCCATTTTATATGATAAAGGAAGGAAGGAAAGGGTATTCAACAATGATTCAATATATTTTTGTTAGATTATAGCTTTTAAAATAAGGTTTTTAAAATAATTCTCTGAGAACTATTCCTTTGCAATGTATTTATGTATTCTCATTTCTGCCCTGTAGACAATATGTCATGATGTGAACATGCAAGTACAAGAGAGAGAACGATGGCAACGGCTGATGGCGATCTATAACAAGACAGAAGCTCGGTCCACAGGCACACTCAAAAGTGGAAAGAAATTCAAGGTAAATTTGTAATAATTCTTGAAACTATTTTGATCTGATTTTATTAGATTTGATTTCTATTAACAGAATAAAATGTAGATATGCAAAACAAAACATGTATCTATACATAGACATGACATGATCTACATAATGAATTATCATATAATGTCAAGTGCTTAAATATGTTTTAAAAAACAGGAAAAAGAGATGGAGGGGGAGCTCCCAGAAAGAATGGAATTGAAGTCTTTCCTCAGAAGGAAATGGTTATACTGATATGATATAACCATACCCATCAGACTGGACCTTCATTATTCACATCATCACTGTTGTTACTGCAGTTAATAGTGTTGTCATGGTTATGTTATTTTATTTGTTACCCACAGAAATCTGACTTGCTATCGAATCGCAAGCTAAGACACGAGGGTGAGCTTTTCTGGAAGAATGCTAGAGCCAAACTGACAGAGGTCCATGGGGTGCTTCTTACAGACGTTCTTCTGCTACTCACTGAGAATAATGGCAAATATACCTTTGCATCACAGGATAACAAGGTATGAAAATCACATCAATTTGCCCCTTTGTCCATAGAAATCTCCTAAATCACACAAAATCATGCTCACAACTGTCATGAATTTAATATGATGCAATTTTGTAAAATATGGCAATGTTTATCTCAGCAAAATCTAATTTTAAGAAATAGTACTGTGGTTGTATTCTGTATGTTGCTATAGTGAATGCTCTATTCTTTTAAAGCTAAGGGAAAAAAGAGGGTTTTATCATTAAGGAAGAGGTTAGTGAGAACATGATTTTGCAGCTTCCCTTGACTTGTAACATATATCTACAAAAGCTCAGGTGCTAGAGATCTTCTCAAACTGATTTGAAAATATATTATTAAATTCCAGCACTTTGACAATTGTTACTAGTAACCGCAAAGTCTATCAAATCTGTAAACATCTTTAGGTGTACCGTAAAGCTTCTATGATAAAAATATCTTTGTTTTTTTGTTTTTCTTCTGCCAGCCTCCTGTTATCCCTCTGTTCAAGCTGATGGTCCGAGATGTAGCCATCGATCCGAAGAGCGTTTACCTGATCAGTCAGAACAAGGCTGGTCCTGAGATGTACGAGGTCATGTGTACGTCTGAACACACCCGACGGGAATGGAAGAAGAGATTATTAGAAGCCATCGAACAATGTCCTCCTGATGGTAAGACTGTTAAAGATGTGAATGGAAATACACCCCTTCACAGTGAAGGCCGCCATTTTAATTTGCGAGTAAACATTGCGTCATCAATGTTTACAGATGTGCATGTATTGTTGCGTCACTGCCTGCGCTGTGTGCTCACATCATATTGACATGGGTGCCATTTTAAATTACAACTAAACAACTTTGTTAATTCGTAATTTAAAATGGTGCCAATGTCAGCGCATGTGTACTCTTGTAACCGTGAAAGGGTGTATTACAATGTTACTAGAGAATTCAAATGGGACAGTTTAGGGGAAGTGGAAAATTAAATCAATTTATGAGTTCCGAAACAGGCAAATTTCCATACCGAGGTTGCAAGTTACTTAACATAAACATATGCAACATTTGATACTTCACATGATATGTTTACAGACAACATCAAATTGGAGAATTGTTACACTGGTTTTTACAAAATGTGAAGATGATAATAATACATCTCTCTTATCTAACGCTTCACATACAAATTTATTTATAATAACGAGTGACAATGGTATTTGTGTATTGATATAAACTAACACTGGAATGTCAAATTTCTGTCTCAAAATGTCTCTATGTTAGATGATATAGGTAGTCACAACAGTATCGGGACACTAATTCTCAAAGTTTAATAGCTAACGTAACGTCCTGTATCAAAGTAGTGAATTATCTACTTATCCTCTTTTCAATCTTTAGTTCCACTGGACACGGGAATAGATAATAACAACGAGGAGGAAGAGAGAAAGAAAGCTGAGGAGAGAGCACTCAGGATCAAGAACCTTCTAGGTGAGTATAAAGAAGTTTTCTGACTTGAAACTATAAGTCCAAAGTCAATGTCTTTCAAACAAGTACAGAAATAGGAACCCTAAACAGCAGTTAATACAACACTGCAAAACAGAAGATAATCAAGAAGTAACCCATGTTATATAATTCAGAATGAATGTAGGTGGACATTTCTTTTGACTAGCGAATATAGTTTTTATTGTATTGGTATGTTGAGGGATAAAAGGTAAAGCCATTCTGGTCCATATTTATCATGAATAACAAACAGGTCAAACAAGCTGTGATTCTCCGCGATTGAAAAAGTGCATGCCCCTCCCATCACAGTGATTATGCCTCTTTAATTTGTTTTCCTATGCTCAAATATTGCATAATACATACACAGAGATGCCAACCAGAATGATTTTATTGTATTTAGAACGATAAGAAGAGTGAAATACAATAATACAATATCGCTTTTACGATTTTTCATCTTTCAAAAAAATATTTTAAAAACCCATAAAAACAGCGGAACATGTACAAGTAAACTCCTGCAACCCTGACAAAAACTTAACTTTACAATTTTCATCTTTAAAAAAAAAAAAAAAGAATGAAAGAGCAAACATTTTACTTGACCGTACTAACCAGTAAAACAATTTTCGTGTAAATCCAATAATTTTTTTTTTTTATTTTTTTTTTTTTTTGTGTGTCAAGAGGTTGGCATCTCTGCATATATTTATGTATATTAATTGTTTGGATTTGAATTGATCTTTACTTTTACCAGAAATGATGCATGCTAAGGACCGAGAGCTGAATGGCATCATCTCAGACAAAATGAGATTGGTGGGAGAGCTCAAGGATCTCATCGTCAAAGAAGACTCCCTAGGAACGGTGAGTCGATCTTGAGTTTAGACTTAGAACTCAATTAAAGGGATCGTTTAACAATGTTAAATCTGAGATGCATGGCCCTACATGTGCTATCAGTGTCTGTGATATCGTTAAACATTGAAGCCCTAAACAAAATTGCGCTTCAAAATGATCATGAAGGGCCTCAAAAAAGTAAAAATCTTTGAGTGACCGGTTTTAACATACTCACTTTTCGAATAGACTGTAGTGTTATCAAAATCGTTAGGAAAATGAGAAATTAAATTTGGATTTCAATTCATAATAATCAGACAGGCGTTCGGCTTGTAAAAGTCATAGGATTCATGTATGACCTAAAGGTTTATAATTATGATTGCAGCATGAGCTAAATCCAAGATTTTTTTTAGAATCTGAGGAAAAGTTACCCAATCCCTTTAAGGAATGGGAAGGATGAAAGAGACTTTAAGATAAAAAGAAACAATATGGGCAGATAGAGAGCTGGTCGAAGAAAAGGAGAACAAATGATTGAGATGATGAATGAAAGATATGTTATTTGTAAAGAAGAGATGAAAGAATGGTGTAAACACTAAAAGGGAAGGGTGAAGGAAGAAAGCGAAATAATTTAGGAGAAATAAAGAGAGTGTGTGGAATATGTAGGATGTTGGCGAAGATGAAAGATTTTTTTAATGATACCTAATCTTACTTTAAGAGGAAGAAAGTTGAAAATTAAGGGGGAAGGGAAAAGGCTCCTGAAACAAGAAGCAAATACATTAGAAGAAGATACTTCCAGACTGGGATGGGGCCAAGATATTTTCTTCTAGAAAATTAATATTTTTGCTTTGTAGATGCATAAACATTGCTTCATAGTGGTGGGATCGTCACATTGAGTCCATGTTGTTCCATAGTTTCCTGCAAATGTTAGAGTTGTTGTTGGGGGAGGGGGGAGGGGGTGAGAGAAAGGGATGCTAGTCTACAGCATGACTACTGTTAGAGACCTTTGTGGATGATATTAATATGGAAAGTTTTGTTTTCTATACAGCTTAAGATGCCAATCATCTCTCAACACGAGATTCAGATGGAACAGACGAGAGATATTATCCTTGCTGCAATGAAGGAAGGTATGTGGAGGAATATATTTTTTTTCTATCGCTCTCCCTCCATCTCCCCAACTCTCCACTTCTCTCTCTCTCTGTCTGTCTGTCTCTCTCTCTCCCTCTCTCTTTCCCTTTCTCCCTCCCTCTCTCCCTCCGTCCCTCTCTCCCTCCCTCTCTCTATCTGTTCTCTCTGCCCTTTTCCTGCTTTTTATCCTTTCTCTGCCTGTCTCTCTCCGTTACATTTGTCTTCACTCAGTATTTTCTCTTTCATCCTCTCCTTCTGTCTTCTTATCTCTCTTTCGATCTTTCTATCCTGCTCATTCCTCCCCATTCTCTTTCACTATCTTTCTCCAATATAAAATTGCTTGCATGGCAGCATGAAATCACTTTCAAATACATAATTCTTCTTACAGCTTGTATTTAGTAATATTTCAAGAGAAACTTGTTTCATATGTAAAGTATTGTCACCTGATCATCAAAATCCATTTACTTTTGCATGTGTTTCAAAAAAAGCAATTCTTATTTTATTTTTTAAAGTTTTGAAATTAATTGGCAAAGTGTTTATCCCATAAGAAGACTTTCAAATTCATTTAATCACTTTTAACAATGTAAAATTTCCCTCTAATCTATTAATTGCACAGAAATCACATTATAAGTATTAAAACATGAATACTTTTTTTGCAAATGGCATTGAAACATCACTCACTTTGCTAATTGTTAGAATGACCTATCATGCAAACTTTTTTATATCAAGTTTTGTTTTCTTTTTAATTTTGGTGGGCAGAATGGTAATGATGTTTTGATTTGGTATAAAAAGGTTTAATGACTTTGACTATTGCATGGGTGAATTTTTCGTAAAAATATATATCTCTCCCTCTCCTCTCCTCCTGTTGTCTTGTAACCATGGTGATGGTTCTAGCTGACCTACTGACCCGGTCAGTCTACAGTGGTGGTAATGTCCGAGTGAGTCGGAGTGCGAGTAGCGTAGGTGAGATGGTGAGCAGTACTAATGCTCCCTCATCACTCCCTAGGAGAGCAGAGACATTCAGCGGCTTTGACAGTGCACAGAATGGTGAGACGACTGTCCTATCGTTGCGTGTCCGGCAAAAGGATTTTAGCAAGGGAATCCCTACGACACTGAACTATAATCAATTCCCTGTTAATGCCCTTTTGTCGGGCACAGCGGTATGTGTTACCCCAAGAATTGTACCCTTGTGGAATGTCTGTATAGATCTGTATCACACGCACAAACATAAATTTACTTTAGGAAGTTGGAAGCCTGCAAAAATGGAAAGGTATGGACATTCTATTGGCAAGACACCAATTAGATAAGATTGGAGTGTTAAAGGCAGTGTTGAGATCTGTGGAAGAAACATTTTTTAAAGAGAAACTGTTATTCAAAATCATACATTTTTTAAATACTGACACTTTTAATTTATTTGCAAAATGTAAATAGGCGTAAAAAGCACATTTTATGATAACCCTGACACAAGAAAGCACTGCACAAATATGCACGGAGAGAACAGAGTAGTATCATGACAGCCAAATGTCCGTAAAAATGCTTTACGGTAAATTCATTTCTCAGCTACCGGTATTATCATTTTTCCATAATCCTAGATGACTTTTATTTTTAGAAAATCTACTTTCCATTATTTCCAAAAACCCAAAGTTACCTATGATTTGTTGTTGTTTCAGCCTATGTTTTTACTATACAAGAATTAAATGTTGGGATATAGTAAGTTTTTTGTGGGGATTTTTGGCTTGCATGAAATTTTATGGGGACAGATTATTTATAGTAAGGTTGTGGGCGGTTTGCATGCAATTGTATTTTTTTTTCTCAGCCATTCCATGATTACCGTATTGACAGGAATGTCTTTTAATTAGGTGGTCTGTCATCGACAGAATTTTCTTTGTTATTATTATTATTCTTTATTTATTTTTATTTATTTCTCCACACTTTTTTGTGCAGACGATTTCTCATAATCCATCCATCCAATTTCTTTCAATTTTGACAGTCATAGGTCATCATCATAAGACGTGACAGAAACATTTTCAAGTTCAACAAATTATTGTGACGTCATCCAGGCGCCATTTCGTAAAATTTTTCGAAAATCAACTCATGATCATATATTCATAACAGAAAATCAATTGTCATTCATATTCATCAAGATTCTAAGGTCAATGGCCGTCCGGTCAATTTCAGGTCATAAACGCGCACATTTTAAAATGCTCAAAATTATCTCAAATTCATTTTGCATACATTTCAGGCCATTCTGAGCATTTGTCAAAAAATCGCTCACACGCTCATACACGTGCATTTTTGTTCGTCCTGGCCATATGCAACATCAAATAGCCATTTTTTTTCTTTCATGATAATCCCCATTTTTTCCAAACAATTTGATACTATATTTATCTCTGTATGACAATTAATAACTGAATGAGCGTCCATTAAAATTTAATGTCAGTACGTGCAAGCTATTGTAATACATAGCATATATTGGTCAAAACATGCCTATACAAAATCCATCAAAGCTCTTTAGGAAGTCTACAGACCCCCAATTTTTTTTTCATATTTGGAAAGAATATGAATCTTGGATATGATTTCAGGTCTCATTTGGCCATTATATATATCTTGACATCACCATAATGGCCTTGGAACACAAAAAGTGAATTTGCATATTTTGATGTGAGCATATTTATGGAAAATTTACTGTATCTCTGTTAATATTGATCGATTTTCTTCCAAATTTTGATGAGTTGTAGCTCTGACAGTTCTTTACAAGATCAGCGTCTAGCAGATTTAATAACAGACCACCTAATTTGTCCTCAGTGACGAATTAAATTTCTTGTTTTTTTAATTGTTTCATTTGATTTATCAGTGTAAATGGTTTTTTGGACCCTGTTCAGCTATTCTGACTTTTTTTTTGGAGGGGGGAGGGGAGGGGGCATAGAAACCTTTCTTTTGTTAATATGTTCAATGAATGCAGATGTTTTAACAGGGTGGGGGGGAATATTTTTATTCTAGATATTACGCAACAACAGTTCTGAAATTCCATGTTTTCTATCAACAAAATCATTTTAAAGTCTAGTAGTTATAAGCATGAGTGGGTAAATCATGTTTGATATTAGAAAATTTAAATTTAAGTGAACGGAGCTACAAGTAGATCCAATGATAACATTATTTTTGGACTGTTTTCTTTTCCTAGGCAACTCGAGCAAGAAACGTCTAGCTGTGATCCCATCTGAAGCCACTACGCGGAGCAGTAGCTTCCCTAACCTGACTGGGACCGCCTCGGAGCAGCTGGCTAAATTCAGCTCGCCGTCAGAGGCCGAGGAGACAGAGCAGGAAGATGAGAAGGAGGAGAGTTCTGTTTATCAGTACCCAGCTGACATTGTATCACCCCTTCCCAGTCCGTCTCATAGACCTATGAGGGATGTCTCTCTGCCGGTAGCAAGGAATAGAGGCAATGATATCAATAGGAGGAGAGCGTTCACACTCACAGGTGGAGTGGTGAGTACTCTGGGTTCCAATCAACATTGTTTTCTGCATTGAGCTTGACAGAGTAAAATGGATCAAGTCATATTGACCTCACCTCAAAGTTCTTCATACTAGCAAGATGACTTTCACCAAAATGCTTACATATATCTACTGTTATGTCACGTATGTACCATTATCTACCTGTTTTCATAGTCTCGGCTCTGATCAAATTGAGCCCATTAGAAGTGTTCTATTTTGTAAATTTTGCTTGTGAGCAGCTTATCATCTTTGAGTATTTTATGTCATGATTCGTTTTGGGACTCTGCAAGGCCTCCAAAATTCATCTTCAGTCTATTAATCATAGCTTTTTTGAAACTTAGATAAATTAATAAACTGAAAGGTTCAGCCGAATATTGTATTTAAAGCTGCATACTCTATAAAATACTAATATTAGATGTTGCTTTTATCCATGTCCACACAGGAGCTGCCCTCAGCCATTCTAGAAAAGGAGAAGGCCAATTTACCGGAGGGTCCAATACCAGCAGAAGTTATTGAGAAAAGTGAGTGAACATTCCTTGACATAGAATTAAAGGCTGAAATAAGTCTTGGTTTGGAGTTGGCATTGTAGAGAGTGGTTAGTGGGGATTCAACAACAAAAATAATGTGATAAAACAGCTGTTGTGATGTTACCTCCTATTTATACCAAAAAATGGTTATCATCGATTTGAAGAATCAATCGTCAGTAAAAAAATTAAAATAAAAAGTGAAAAATCATACAATCCGTTCAATCTTGTTAATGTAATTTTGATGGTTTTTCATGTATCCTGTTAAAAGTAAAGATCAGTTTTGGAAACGCCCCCCTCTCAAAAAATGAAATGAAACCTCTTATTACCAATCATGTGAAAGAATATGTTTTGACGAGAAAACGCCTACTAATTGATATATGTGGTAAATTATTATATCTATTTGGACCTGATAGATATCGCGCACATGTCGGGGCACATGTTGGGCACGTGCCGCGTAGTCCCATATACATCTTTCTGTGTATGGTGCTTGTAACTTTACCAAGACTGGGCCAAATTTCTTATCATTTTGATGATTCCAGAAACTTGAAGTACACACCAATACTTATATGCTAGATGATCAACCTTTTCTGATCGATTCCAAAACGTTTCTTTCACAATGCAATCGCATTACCATAACTGGTCTTTATCTTTAAAGTGGAAAGTGTACATTTTAAGAGCAGACTGTTTGTCATTCTCAAAACTGTTAGTCAAGCTTGATTACAAGTAATATGTATATTGTTGTTGTTTAGTTGCATCATAATAATCTGTATTCTTCAAAGCCATTACACATGTTTATTAACTCTGCATGTAAAGATCAAAAGGTTTGCAACATTGATTACTTTTTTTGTAAGTTCAACCATTTAAAGTTTATATAATTTCATTTTTATGTTTGTAGTCTCTGAGGACCCTTCTGCCTTAGAGCATGTGGATGCTGCCACTCAGATCCATGAGCATCTCAACTCTCTACTGGTACGTTCAGCCAACTCTTAAACTTCAGGGAGGGATTGTGGGTTAATAGTAGCATAGGAGAAGATAAATTTTTGGATAATAATAATAATAATAATAATGTGTCTTGTTCACCCAGGGCAGCCTCATCAGTATTCATACTGTTCCCCCTGAGGGCCTTGCAATTATAGCATTACCACGGCCTTAACTGAGCTACCATTAAAAGGTGCTCAAGCATTCAAGGAATTTCTTCCATACCGGGTACCCATTTACCTCACGTGGGTAGATGAAATCATGTGACACTATCCATGAACAGAAATGGGAACATCTTCAATTATCGTAATTAGAATTGAATTAATTATTTAATGAGAATGAACAGTAGTTATTTTACTCTTCTCAAACAAGAAACAACAATAATTAACATTTATTGCCTTTGTTTTAGATTTAAATCTATGTTAATATGTACTAAATCCATGCAATAATAATAATTACATTTTACTTTGTTTTCTTCAACAGAAAATCACAGTCAATCAGGACACTGCCTTCCAAACGTAAGTCAACAAAATCTCTTATTCGTTGTTCCTATTCTAATGGGCTCTCACCACCATTTAGAAATGTCTTCTATACCTCTAGTATTAATTATGATATACTGAACCTGTATCTCTTTTATTTAATTTTTAGGGATGTTGACATTAATATTCAGTTTCATAGGCTATTTTCACATACTGACAAGTGATATTTTTAATTAAAGATTAAAAGAATGTTTTAGCAGCTTGTAATTAAATGGTAAAAAGAAAACATTGTAATTTGAAATCAATTCCAGTGTGATTTTTATTTCAACCATGACCTATCCTTTCCCTCCCCAGCTTGAAGACTCAACTACTTGAAGCTCAGCATAAGATTGAGGCATTCAGCAACACCTCCCCTACCACTACAACCAGCCCCTCTCCCAAGGAGAAAAGGCGTGACAGTCCACCCCAAATCAAATTGGAACCTGCAGGACAGGATTCAAGGGGGTCAATCAACCGAGGAGGGGTCAATATCACCAATGATAGAGTTACAGAGGTAGCCGCTACAGAGAAGGCAAAGGTCAGTGGGCACAAAAGCATTTTATTGTTGTTGTTGTTGTTTTGTTGTTTTGTAATGTTTTGTAAAGATAGCAATATATACCTAACGGTACATATAATTTACATATCATAAATATAAAAATCATTGTACACTAAGATACACACGTATAGGAGAGAATGCCCTGATGGTTAAATAACAAAAGGCTAAGATAACCTCAATGTTCCTTAATCTTTTCAATCGTTATTTTGGTTTAGGTCATGATCAACTTGTCAACTTTATAGGGATTGTGTGTATACTTTTTTTGTGTCTCATTTAACACAATACAAATACCTTCTTTGAATATTTTCAAAACAGATGTAGAAAATAAAGAGACCTGTATCTTATCAAATACACTATTACCTCAGTTGTTTAACTAGATGATGATGACTCTACTCGTCTTGCTTTTTTCTTTAGGCAAACGGTGAAAAGCCAGGAAGATCTTCACCGTCGCAATCATCAGTGAGGACAAACAATGCTCAGATGAGACATTCCGAGAGCAGTCCAAAGGTCAATGATCATAACTTAACAAGGATAGCATACGGGGACATGATACCTTCAAACAACCTCTTATACATTTCACCAGAATTAGAGAAAAGCAGAGACATTGGTAGGAAGAACTCCGCCCCATCACCACTCCTCCAAGAGAAGATGAATGCTTATAACTCCTCGCCCAAGTCTAGCCCCAGGAGGACTGAAGAGGGCGATAGAACACTGACGCATTCATCGTCGGTTATTCGTAGGAATGTGCCGCAGCACCTGCTAAGTACCACCAATCAGATCAGCTCAGCAGGTCAGGTCAGGCAGAAACTGCCCTTAAAACTCTCCAACAGCCTGGCTACTACCAATAGCGCCGCTGTGCATCAAATGCTGCCAAAGAAACTAGAGTCCCTCGCGGCAACGTCCTCCAAACCGAACAAAAATACCAACGCACAACCGCAACCGACGTCAGATTCAGACGTGATCTTCTTTTGATGTCGATGGAATGGATAATGTATGCATTCATAATCCAAAGTATTGGTCAGTGGAAACTTGTGAAAGTCTTGCTGAGATAAAACTGAGAGGATTAAACTGTTTTGTAAGTTATTCTGGACTCTCTTGGACCTCATTTTTGGAAGTACTTCAAACTTTATTTACTGCAGAGCAGTAAACAGTTTATACATAGAAATCAGTTGCAAGCAACAGCGTTGATTACTACAATGTCATCATGTTTTATTAGAGGCATACAAATTTGAGCTACATGAATGTCAAGTGCACAGGAGTATACTATGGAGGGTTTCTTTTCTATTTTTGGAATGCAATCATTCCCTTATCCTGTCATCTCTACCAATTTGGATGTTGATAATTTTGTGTCGCACATGAAATACAAATACAATCTTTAAATTAAGCCTCATTTTTTTCATTTTCCTATCCTGGGTTATTCCATTTCATACTGATATTCCTAATTGATGTCACAAATACACTCAGTTATGCTTTTTTCCATCACCTAAGCTATACTCTTCAATATTTCATCCTGTTAAATATAATCTAATGGTAGTTGTGTTTTCTTATACAAACGAAATAGTTAAAAGTTAAATTCAAAAGAGGTTTTGGTAAAGCTTGTGGGTTTAGAGACTTTCACGAAGCTCATTCTCTTTCTATCAAACTCATGTAATCTGCTTCTGTTCATCTTGCAATAAACTTCAAAACATTTTGAAAATTCCAATTTGTATACGCCATTCCAAACATTTCAACAGGGTCAAATTCTTTGTATGAACTTGAAATGAAAGGACCACATGTGTTTGTGCAGTTGTTGGTATCATGTATTTAAACTAATCCAAGGATCAGATTGTTACCTCATCCATCTGATTAGCTGTCTTAATTTCTGAAATTTTTGAAGTTTTTGTCTGATTTCCAGTGAAATGAGATCCCAACATGATTTCACTCATTTGAACTGCAAACATTTATTTACATTAAAAAAATAAATTATGACCACATTACTGAATGCTCACCACGATGGTCAGATACTGTATGAATAAGCTGTTATTTTCACAAGCATTATATTTTTGCAAAATTTTGAACTGATGTAGAGTTATGATGAATTTAACAGACAGAGAAGATTAATGAGCTGGCAAAGGTACAAATGGTGTATTGTGAATAGCCTTGGTTAACTACCATGGAACAACAAATCATGAAAATGTCTGTCATTTGCAAAAATATTGCTTTATACGGTATATTTCCATTTTCATATAATAGGTGAAAGATTGATTGATTTGTTAACAATTCTGGTCTAATAAAAGGCATAGTGCTAGATACTTTGCACTAAATAGTAACACAAAAATTGGAGATAAGTTCTGAATAATTTTATTGCGGAAAAATGAAAAAGGGTGTAGAGCACAAATGAGTGGTTCCAATTGATGGGCATCTAAGAACTAGGACTATGTACATTATTAGTACATGTAGTATTTGCTCATTTATCCATATTCCTTTGTCTCTCTATCTCCCCCTTTTGATATCTCTCTCCCTCTCTCTCCCCTCTCTTTCTTTCCCTCTCTCTCTCTGGCTCTTTCTTTCTCTCTCTCTAGCTCTTTTCATCTTCTTTTTTTCTCTTCCTCTCTCTCTCTCTCTCTACTAGAATGCCAAATGAAACTGAATAGCCACACAATTCATTATTTTTCAAGCCACTGTATCATACACATTGTGAATTTATAGTAGAAAAAAAAGTCATCAGCTATATATCAATTTACAAATCTTTTCGTATTCTCTGTGACATCTCTTATGCTTTTGTATTCTTTGATTCTCATAAGCGCTCTTGTACAGCAGAACACACTGTGCCATACACACCATTTCACATATGCAATATTTATTCGGTGATGTCTGATTAATGAAATTTCATGAAATCATTTTCATAATTATTGACATTATAATCCAGAGGTATGTCAACAGATATAATAATGCATCATTAATGTATCACGTGACAAACGCATGTATGACTTATTTTTGTAATATTTACGAACATGTTTGGAGCGGAATAATTTCTAACAATCAAGTGCACCACAAGAGATTGTATCTTTTATCATTGATAATATTGTGAAGAGTTTTGTACAATGATCAGCAAGCTTGATTGAGGTAATACTGACATATCATTCACCAGAAGCAGATTGGAAATACATATTTTTGAATTGATGGCCATTTGCCTTGCAGATATGGTTCTAGTACAAAATCATGGTTCATAGCAAAGATGTAATATGTACTCTAAATCAATCACATTAATGGACTCATCGATCGGGAATGATGAGTGAGTGCTATTCTGTGGATTAAACTCATGACTCGTGATTGTGTCAAGCGCAATCCTCGTGCACTGCGGAATATTATTTTCTTTTTATATTGATGTTGTAAAAACTACAAGGCACTCTTGAAATGTGTATGATCATGTTAAGAAATTCCACAAGCCATATGAATTGCCAACATCACTTTCTTTGTAAATGGATCACTTCACGTATGTATGCGTAAGAAATGTACATTATTCCAGTCTAGTATGTGTCTAGTATGTTGTGCATACTAGTCATTCCTTTGGTGTTTACAGGGAAGAGGTGTAGATCTATTGATATTTTGTATAAAAATTTACTATCACTTTGTGAATATTGCACTTTTTCTCCAAATTGTATAGTGTAAAGTTATTTAAAAGATGCAACCTGATTATAATCCTTAAAAAATTGTAGAGTGATTATTTTATTAGAGAGCTGGCTTATTGCCAAAAATGAAGATATCTATCGGTTTGAAGAGGAACTAAATATGTGAACGAAGAATGTGTGCTCGTCCTGCTTAGCATTCACACATACCCTACAATGGCATCAGAAATATATTCTATTCTAATTTCTGATTTGTAGCAAGAATATTCCACTAAGTTATATACGAATACCAGCAATCCTGACTTGTTTTGGCTTCATGCCATTTCTTGTATTCTTAATATTTTCTTCTCTTCTTGTTTGATTCCTTTATGTCTTGATGATTTTGGATAACTGAAATTGCAAGCATTCCATGTATGTCAGGTCCTAATATTGAAATCCATCAATATAGTCTTATTTTTGTGTATTCTTTGATAATAACCAATATGTCCATTGCAGCATATGCTTTAAAACCAGAAATGAATTCTATGTTGTTATAATACACTGATATTCGATACATCATGAGTGAATTTCGGCATGGCCATTCAGCTTATTTCATCATTTTCCCATTATTAAATCAACTTCTGTAAAAATAACTTCATATCAGGAAAGAGAGTATTTCATGAGAAATACAATATACCATTTTGATCTTGAATTTATCAAGTTAACCCACTTACATTTTACCTGGAAACTGCTACATTGTAATGCAAATTCCTAAAAATACATTCAAAGATAAGCTGGCCAAAAAATTAATTATGGAGAACATCTAATCTTTATTGAAATACCCTGTCAAAATCTACAACTTCAATTGAATTGATATTCAAGAGAAAAAAGACTTTATTCTACAAATTCAGATTTAGATTCACAATACCTTGAATACATTTTACCAACTCTCATAACAAGCCCTTGATTGTCTGTGTATTCTCTTTGGTATAATTTAATCTTAATCTAACTAGATATTTATTTGATCTTATACTTCATCTCCTGATTCCTGAAGTCCGGGTAACCAAGGAAACCAGGGATCAGAGAGATGAAGCTCTATACTCTTCTCATTTCTCCCAGGTATTGTTTGTGTGTGCATAACATGTTTATCATCAGTACAAAACACTCCCAGGATGTTGGATATTTGAGTTTGCCATTGTATGTATTCTGTTTATATTTTTTGTGTGTAAATTATTACCTGTTTCTTAATAACTTCTTGCTCATACTTCCCTTTATTGTTCTGGTATCGTTAGCCTCAATCAAGATGTTTTATTTTATCTCCTATAAAGTTCTCCCACACAGAATGCCACCTGAGCAATAAAATCAGATAGATAAGAAAAAAAAGCGATTCATGAGTTCTTTGTTTAGAATTGGACTTTATTCGTGAGATGTAAATCTCAGATGTAAAGCCCTCAATGATGCCATGTTAATAAGGATGATGGTGGTGATGTCATAATGATGGTGTCATGATGGTGATGATGGTGGTGGTGATGATGATGGTGGTGGTGGTGATGGTGATAGTGGTAACGATGATGATGATGATGATAATAGTGGTGAAGATGATGATGATGGTGATGATGATGACGATGATGGTGGTGGTGATGATGATGGTTATAAACCTGATAATGAAGAATGTGATGGTGATGGTGAAGTCTGAATTCTTTATTGAGAAGTTGATTTTATTTGTGAGATGTACATCTCAGGTGTAAAACTCTTGATGACAAAAATATTGATAATATTGATGATGATAGTAATGATGATTGTAATGATGGTCATCAGATGAATAATGATAAAACAATTAAAAATGATGATCATGATGACACAGGAATGATCTACTTTCATCACTAAACACAACAATTGGTTTCTTCTCTTGCCTTTATTTCTTCATAAATTCAAAATATAATAGTGATAAACATTTACTTAAATGCCAAAATCACCATGTTTTGCGCAACTGGTGTGAATTACGGCTGGATTTTAAAAATTAGGATTATCTCCTAAAACACTGCCCCTGCTTGGTAAAGATGCTACATGAACATTTATTGCTACTATTAAATATAAAAAAAAGACTTTCAACTCCAAATTGACTTGACATTAACTTAACTTCCAAGATTAGTTAAAAACTATTCAGTGTAGAAAAATCATTGTTGGAAGTTAATTCAAACAACAATAAAATACTAGATAGGATGTGAGCATGCAAGTATCAAACAGAAATAGATGTGGGAAAATTAAACGAAACAACTTTAATCAGCGATATGGAAAGATTGCTTACATAAATATGAACTGCTTAACAAGGAATATCATATTGATACAATCCAGAGTTCTAGAGGTTCAGAGTCTGATTGTCTAATCAGTGGCACTGGGATTCTGCAGAAATTAGATATTTACACAGTCAATGTTTGATGAGGGAATATTACCAGAATTAAAATGGACCATATAAAAAGTCAAAGTGTGTTAATGACACAATATTTCGCATTCAAAAACACATCTATAGACTACTATAGAGTTGAGTTGTAAATAGAGATTGTTTCATAATTTGCTTTAATAGTTTTTGTAATTTGTATTGACTCTTTGTCAAATACATGTATTTGGCAGAATAGGAATGTTCTATCTTACTTCTGTTCCTTTGTTCATTAAATATGTAGATGCTTTTTAATATGTGATCTATTCACAAGCATTTTATTACAACTAACTATTTGTAAACATTCGAAACCACTTGTACTTTGCTCCTGTAAATCATCAGAAGGATCGACATTACGGTGGACTAATCTATTCCTCCCGCTTCCGAAGTTCAAGTATCGATACAAGCTGTTACCAAAGACCAGCTTCATTGCCAGATCCGTTATTTGAAACTGCCAAGAGTGTATATTATATTGGTTAGTAAACTTGTTTTCTGATCTTTTTAACATTTAATTTTGCACTAAGTTAACATTCTTTACACACAAAAAGACGTTAGAAGCAGACACTTTCAGACTCGGATGGGGCCAGGATATTTTCTTCAAGAAAATTAATAGTTTTGCTTTGTGGTTGCGTAAACATTCATATGAAGCATTAGTGCTTCATAGTGATGCGATCATCAAATTTAGTCCCCATTGTTCCGTACTAGTTTTCTGAGAAGTTCAGAGCCGACGGATTGGGTGGAGCAATAGGATTTTTTTTTTTGGGGGGGGGGGGGAGGGAGACACCACTCTATAGCTTGATTGCTGTTAGAGACCTTTGTGGATGATATTAATATGGAAAGTTTTGTTTCCTATACAGCTGCAGATCATCTCTTAACACGAGATTCAGATGGATCAGATGAGAGATATCATCCTTGCTGCAAAGGAGGAAGGTATGTGGAGGAATATATTTTCTCAAGCTCTCTTGATCTCTCTATTCATCTATCTCTCTCTTTCTCCTCAACTCTCCACTCCCCCTCTCTCTCTTTTGTCTCTCTCTCTCTCTCCCTCCCTCTCTCGCTCCCTCCCTCCATCTCTTCTGTCTTTTCTTTTCCTGCTTTTTCTCTGCCTGTCTCTCTCTGTTACATTTGTCTTCACTCTGTATTTTCTCTTTCATCCTCTCCTTCTGTCTTCTAATCTTTCTTTAAATATTTTTGTCCTGCTCTTTTCTCCCCTTTCTCTCTATCTTTATAAGTAACGTTTTTATTATTATTATGATTAATATCAAAATGCTTGCATGGCAGCATAAAACCACTTTCAAATACATAACCTCTTTGGAATTCACGATGGGTTATAGTGAATTCTTCTTATGGTTTTCACTTACCGGTAGTAATAATTCAAGGGCAAACTTGTTTCATAGGTAAATTAGATTTATCAACTGATTATCAAAATGTTATTTCTATTTGCATGTGTTTTAAACAAAGCATTTATTTATCTTTAAGAGTTTTGAAATTAGTTGGCAAAGTGTTTATCACAAAGACTTTCAAATTTATTTATCACTTTTAACAATGTATAAGTTCCCTCAAATCTATTAATCACATTATAAGTATCAAAACATTAATACCTTTTTTGCAGATGGCATTTATACATCACTCACTTTGCTAACTGTTAGAATTACCTATTATTTGAGCAACTTTTACTTTGGTGCAAACTTTTTAATATTGATGTTTTTTTCTTTTAAATTTTGGTGGGCAAAGTAGTGGTAATGTTTTGATTCGGTATGAAAAGGTTTAATGACTTTGACTATTGCATGGATGAATTTTTTGTAAACATATATATCTCTCCCTCTCCTCTCCTCTCCTCCTGTTGTCTTGTTACCATGGTGATGGTTCTAGCTGACCTACTGACCCGGTCAGTCTACAGCGGCTCTGACAGTGCGAATGGTGAGACGACTGTCCTATCCTATCGTTGCGTGTCCGTCAAAAGGATTTTAGCATGGGAATCCCTACAACACTTAACTATAATCAATTTCCCTGTTAATGCCCTTTTGTCGGGCACAGCGGTATGTGTTACCCCAAGAATCGTACCCGCGTAGAATGGTCTGGATATATCTGTATCACACGCACAAACATATAAATTGACTTTAGGAAGTTAGAACTCTGCAAAAATGGAAAGGTATGGACATTTTTTTGGCAAGATACCAAGTAGACCAGTTTGGAGTGTTAAAGGCAATGTTGAGATCTGGTGATGAAGCAATATTTCTTAGAGAAACTGTTATTGAAAACCTAAGTTTTGGAGATACTGCCACCTTTAATTCATTTGCGAAATGTAAATAGGCATAAAAAGCACATTTTAAGATAACCCTGACACAAGAAAGCACTGCACAAATATGCACAGAGAGAACAGAGCAGTGGTTTGACAGCCTAGGCTTACTGATGTCTGTATCACATGTTATAAATTTGTTTGCAACTTTGATTACTTTCTTGAATATGGATGGATTGAAATCACAGTTCATTAAAGTGAATATAATTTCATTTTTATGTTTGTAGTCTCTGAGGACCCAGCTGCCTTTGAGCATGTGAATGCTGTCACCAAGCTCCATGAGCATCTCAACTCTCTACTGGTATGTTTACCCAACTAACTTGAAGGAGGGATTGAGGGTTTAATAGTGGCATAAGAAAAGATAAATTTGTGGATGAATTCACATTACCTTATCCATGAACAGAAAAGGGAACATATTCAATTATCGTAATGAGAATTGAAGTAATTATTTTATAAGAATGAAAAATAGTTATTTTACTCTCCTCAAACAAACAAAAACAAGTCTTTACGTTTATTGCCTTCATTTTAGACTCAAATCTATATTAATAAACTACTAAATCCATGCAATATCGGAGAATGTGAAATAATAATTACATTTTACTTTGTTTTCTTCAACAGACAATCACAGCCAATCAGGACACTGCCTTCAAAACGTAAATAAACAAAATCTCTTATTTATTGCTCCTAATATTTAAATGGGCTCTCACCACCATTCAGAAATGTCTTTTATACCTTTGGTATTACTTATGAAATACTGAACCTGCAGCTCTTTAATATCATTTTTAGGGATATTAAAATTAAGTTTTTTAGGCTATTTTTACATACTGATAAGTGATAATTTGTCAAAAAATTAAAGAATGTAAGCAGCTTGTAATTTCCTGAAAGGCAAAAAAGTTATCTTTTGAATTTTTCATTGTAATTTTGAATCAATTCCAGCATGAGTTTTATTTCAACCATGACCTGGCTATCGATTCCCTCCCTCCCCCCTCCCCCCCCCCATCCAGTTTGAAGACTCAACTACTTGAAGCCCAGCGTAAGATTGAGGCATTCAGCAACACCTTCCCTACCACTGCAAGTATCCCCTCCCCCAAGGAGAAAAGGTGTGACAGTCTGCCCCTTATCACAGTTGAACCTGCAGAACAGGATTCTAGGGGGTCAATCAACCGAGGGGTCAATATCACCGATGATACAGAGTCAGAGGTAGCCGCTATATTAGAAAAGACAAAGGTCAGTTGGCACAAAATCATTTTGTTGTTGTGTAATGATAGAGTATGTTTTACTTTGTCTTACATGTAGTGAAAATGTAAATAATAAGCATCATATAATATAAAGATAGAAATATATACCTCCATGTAATTCATATAAATCATTTAAGACTACGATATACATGTAGAGGAAAGAACTCCGTGATATTTAAATAGCAAAAGGCCAAGATATCCTCAATGTTCCTTAAACTTTCTAATCATTATTTTGGTTTGTAAATTTTAAAGGGATTGCTTGTATAAAATGTTCTGTCTCATCTAGCACTATACAAATACTTAATTACCAATTAGTGCAAGACCTTCCTTGAATATTTGCAAAACAGATGTAGAAAATAAAGAGACTTGTAATACAGTAGGTATCAGTACTTCAGTTGGTTAACTAGATGATGATGTCTCTACTTGTATTGCTTTGTTCTTTAGACAAACAGTGAAAACCGCGGAAGATCTTCATCATCAGTGAGTACAAATGATGCTCAGATGAGACATGTCGAGAGCAGTCCAAAGGTCAATGATCAAAACTTAAACAGAAAAGCATACGGCGGGGAGCTACCTTCAGACAAACTCTTATCCAATTCACAAGAAGAACAGAAAAGCCGAGACCGTGCTCCATCACCACTCCCAGGAGATAAGACGAATGCTTATCACTCCTCGCCCAAGGCTAGCCCCAGGACATCTTCATCGCCGGTTATTCGTAGGAATGTGCCGCAGCACCTGCTAAGTACAACCAATCAGAGCAAAACGTCAGGTCAGGTCGGGCTGAAAGAACCCATAAGACTCCCCAACAAACAGGCTTCTACGAACAGCGCTGGTGTGCAAGAAATTCAGCCAAAGAAACTGGAATCCCTCATGGCAACGTCCTCAAAACCAAACAAAAATACCAACGCACAGCCGCAGCCAGGCTCAAACGTGAGCTTCTATTTATAAAAGCCACTCAAACAATGAAACAAGGTCAAATTCTATGTATGAACTTGAAATGAAACGACCACATGTTTTTGTGCAGTTGCTGGTATCATGTAAGGATTGGATTGTTACCTCTTACAATCTGATTAGCTATCTTAATTTCTGCAGTTGTCTGATTTCCAGTGAAATGAAATCCCAACATGATTTCACTTATATGAGCTGCAAACATATCTCTACATAATAGTAGTATTATTATTTTTTGTTTGTTTAATTATCACCACATTACTGAATGCTCACCATGGTCAGATACTGTATGAATAAGCTGTTATTTTCACAAGCAATATATTTTTGCAAAATTTTGAACTGTTGTAGAGTTATGATGAATTCAACAGACAGATAAAATCATATATCCCCACAATGGCATCAGAGATATATTCTATTCTAATTTTTGTTTTGTTGCAAGAATATTCCCCTAAGTTATAAGAATTCCAGCAATCTTGACTTATATTGGCTTCACGCCCTTTCTTGTATTCTTTACATTTTTCTTTTCATGGGTTATTCCTTTACGTCTTGATGATTTTGGAGAACTGAAATTGCAAGCATTCCATGTATTATATATCAGGTCCTAATATTGAAATCTTATTTCTGTGTATTCTTTGATAATAACCAATATATCCATTGCAGCATAGGCTTTTAAACCAGAAATAAATTTCTCCCCAGGTATTGTTTGTGTGTGCATAATATGTATATCATCAGTACAAAACACTCTTCAACCAGGAATATCATATTCACATCCCGAGATGTTGGATATTTTAGTTCGCCATTGTGTGTATTGTTTTTATTCTTTGCGTGTAAATTATTACCTGTTGTTTAATAACTTCTTGCTCATACTCCCCTTAATGTTTGTTGTTGTTGTTTTAGTCTTAAAGGCGTGTGTCATTCAATTATGAATATTTACGCCTTAATTGTTCTGGTATCGTTAGCCTCAATCAAGATGTTTTATTTTATCTCCTTTAAAGTTATCCCACACAGAATGCCACCTGAGCAATAAAATCAAATAGATAAGAAAATTAATTGAATTATGAGTTCTTTGTCTAGAAGTGGATTTTATTATTGAGATGTACTGGTACATCTCAGATAAGGCCCTTGATGCAATGATGATGATGATGATGATGATGATGATGATGGTGAGGTTAATGATGATAAATCAGTAGTCTGAAAAAAAACGGCAAATAGTGTCTTATGTTTTGATTTATTCATAAATTCTTTAATGTAATTTGTCTATAATGTACAGTACATACATCTTTTGAAAATATAATTCATATAAAATGAATACATACTAGAGTTTAAAACTTTCTTAATTATTTCCATTTATCCAACAATACGCACATACTGCAAGTCATACTCTTTGGTAGTTTTTAGTAATCAATTATTTTGACAAAAAAAGTGTGCCTGCCACTGAAGCTGAGAATGACCTCAATTCTTATAAAATATGAGAAATGTATATTTCATATAAATTTAATACAGTTCCTTTTTTCTTTTCGAGCATCTGATATTGGATTGAACATAGTGAATATTATACAACGCCTACTAAGATTCTTGCAACCTCATTGGTCAATTCTTGATCACATGACATGCGCTAAAAGTACTGTTGAACGGCAACATTCTCCACCCGTGCAATTCAGTTTGAATATTTTGCACCATTGCACACTGACGTCACTAACGATGTACAAAGTATATGGTGAGGTAAGTAACGTCACCGTGCAATGGTGCGATTGGATCAAACGAAATTGCACTCCGCGTCAAACATAATGCTTAGTACGCGCATGGTTTATTGCCTGTTTAATAGCGTGCGCTCACTATCGGCAATTTCATTATAAAAAAAAAAAACGCTGAGATTTAGGCCTAGGAAAAACTGTTCTTTAAAAAAATAACTTGTTTTAAGCCCGTTAATTAACGTCCGAGGTGTTGTATAAAACAAATAGTGAATGGCCTTTATTCGTGCAATGGAACAATATTTTGCATTCGGTGAAAGATGAGACGTTCTATTCAACTCGGCCGCGCCTCGTTGGATAGAGCGTCTCTTATCTTTCACCTCGTGCAAAATCTTTTACCATTGCACTCATGGCCATTCACCATTTGTATACCATCTACAGGTAGGCATGAACATTACGCAAGCCATCCTACTCTGGACTATACGGGACAATGTGAAAAAGTGTAACACTTGTCCTAGTTTTGATATGAAAGATCGCAGAAATCAAGTATAGGTCCTGCTCCGATCAAAGTATAGGAGCAGGACCTATACTACTATTTTGTATCATGCGATTATCTAAGATTATTTACGATCCTGAAAATGCAAAACTATTTCAAATGCCTTTCCTTATAGTTATGATCAGTCTATTGTAGTCATATAGGGACAGGCTAATTCATTTTCAGACTACTACTTGTTAAATACTAAAGAACTGCTGTCATCTGAGGCTACACATAGTGAGGAGGTTATTGGCCTTGTTTACAATATCTGAAAGAAGTTTTCTTTTTCACCAAATACTGGATATTTTTTTTTCTTTTCCATATGACATATTGAATACAGAAACTGCTATTTATTAATATGTCGCTCTATATGATAAAGTATTTTGTAGAAACATATAATTCTGATAAAGAACTATGGCAGCATAAAACCATCATCTTAACTGAATACCTCTTACACAAGTACTGGTGCATATTTCACATTGTACATGAGCGATTCACATCTTTGCACTAAATCAACAATGTACTGGGTGTGAAATAAGCATTGCAGTTGCCTTATGGGCTAAGCATTATGTGATCTTCTTGATGACCTTTTGAGTTCATCTGGTGACCTCCTCACAGCAGAGTACCAGGCCAGCAGGCCAGGCAGTCTTCTCACTCTCAGGTGACCTGCTGATGACCTGCTGATGACCTGGTGATGACCTGATGATGACCTGGTGATGACCTGCTGATGGCCTGCTGATTTCATTTGGAGACCTCCTCACACCAGAGTACCAGGCCAGCAGGCCAGGCTGACTTCTCACTCTCAGGTGACCTGATGATGACCTGCTGATGACCTGCTGATTTCATCTGGAGACCTCCTCACAGCAGAGTACCAGGCCAGCAGGCCAGGCAGACTTCTCACTCTCAGGTGACACATCCTTGGTAGATTCTGGAAGAGAAAATTAAATTCAATTCAAATCACTTATTTAAAATGCATGGAATTAATGATTTAATTTGCTAGAAACAAATAGGGTTCACAGATGTGCATAAATTATAAGTACATTCAGTGCATACTTCTTTCATAATATCAACACATCTTGAAAACCCATGAGCAGAAAGAATGCTTGCCTGGCATAGCAACAAGTAATGTTTGCCACCTGCATTCTGACTTCTGAATAACAATGACCCTGTATTGCAGGTGAATACAACCATTGATAAGAATAGTACATAGGAAGAAATATTCATGGAATTGAATCCTTTGAAAATTGATCTATTCTCCTTGCAACACCTGACTGGTCCTAACACTAACAGATGCACATTTTAGAGAAAGGAAAGACTCACCTCTGAATCTCCTAGTCTTGAACCACAGTGAGTGCTGTATACAGTAATGATGACACAGCTTAGATACAGCTAAGGCAAGTCTGGATTGCCTAGGACCCGAGCCAGTGGCTGCTTCCCAGTCATACTATACAGGTAAGGAATATTAGGGGGTCAGGATTTAGAAAACATCAGAAGATGAATAAGAAATAAAGAGAAGGGCCCGTATTCTGAAGTCGTGTCTAACTCCTGTTTAACTAAACAGTTGTCTAAGTCTTGTCTAAGTCCCGTCTAACTTTAGACACGAAGTCGTGTCTAACTTTTTTGGTATTCTGAAGTCGTGTTTAAATAAAGTTAAACACGAAGTCCTGTCTAAGTCCTGTTTAACTTTAGACAACTGCGAGGGGTTGTTTAAGTCCTTTTTAAGGGCGCGATTCTGCTGCTTTTCAACGTCGACGGTACACTGTACTTGCTGACCCCGAACTTGCGGGGGAGAACGATGGTACGTGCATTCTCCAAAATTTCAAATACGTTTTGCAGGATTTTTTCTCGTGTAGCCTAATTTTTTTTCTCGATAATATTAACTATTCTTATCTACTGGTGACATCTTGGAAATTCCATAATCTATAATAAACTAACCATTCTGTTGGAGAAGTTTCTTTTGTGGTTCTTCCGAGCACTGAAGCACCGATAAGTAGTGTGTTTGTCAATCTCAGTGTACAGTACGTGTACTACGTACGTACGTACACAAAGTACATGCAGTCTAGTCATTACGTCACGATCACATCACCATGGTACCAGCACGCGCACAGCTAGCTGTGCGCGTTAATTTATTTATCCGGTGTGCGCACGCATGCGCATTGGGTCTTTCGTCAGAATTAACGCCTACTGGGCATGCCCAGAAGTCGTGACTAAGAGTTAAACACGACTTGCGCAGAACTTAAACAGTTGTCTAGTTAAACACCACTTAGACAGGACTTAAACAGTTGTTTAGTTAGACGAGACTTAGACACGACTTCAGAATACGAAATTTAGTTAAACAGGTTTTTAGACACGACCTCGCGTCTAAGTCCTGTCTAAGTCGTGTCTAACTAAACAGTTGTTTAACTTTAGACGTGGCTAAGTTAGACACGACTTCAGAATACGGGCCAAGAACTTTATTGTATAAAACAACTGTGCTAGGCACATTCATGGGGCACTAGAGGGCGCTTTGCGCCCGTACGAAAATCTGAATGGCCTTGCTGCGGTGGGTCGGCAATAATCAACCCAAAACTTGGATATGGGAGGGTGGAAGGATATATCTTTTTTATAATGTTATCCGGTCTTACCCTTAACCATCCTATGTTTAATCTATGTAGAAATAACATGCGAGTATGATAAGAGAAACATCGGGACCATTACTGAAGTAACTTTTTAAATATTAGCCTAGAAATGACCACCAAACGGAAAAAATTGACATTTTTTCCCGACAAATCTTCATAAAATCTGAGTTATAAACAAGTCACATCTAGGTACACTAATACAAGTACGATTTTCTGAAAATTCAGGTATGATTTTTTAAGTTTCTTTCAAGTATATTTCTGCGCATTGCAGCGCCAATATTCTTCACTGCTTCAAAATCACCCTTGAATTTTTTTTTTGCAACAAATTTGATACGAGGTCCGCGAGTGTTCCCCGTTCCTTGCGTGTTGAAAGTTTGGTAATACATAGTTTGCATTGACTATTGCATTGAAAACGAAATGTCAAATGAAGAAATAAACAAGCTTTTGTATAGTTATAAGAGTTCTACCGAGGTTTCTTTGTCGATTTAATTTATTATATAGTCTCAATTAGAATTCAGAATTATCTCACTGAAAAGTTAAGAAACCGACGATGTTCTCGATCGTAGTTATTTTCATTTTGCCAGCAGCCGATCTAGCGTTGTTTGGGCAAAAAGCTAGGCCGCTGCCTTCCCACCTCGAACCTTTCCGAGTCCCGCTAAAATGGCGCTCTGCGGAGCTCCGAAGCTGCGTTGGTATCGCTGCAAACTCTCAGCCGGCCAGCTCCCCACGACGGACCATTCGCGGTATGGCGAGAGTGTGTGTGTGAGGTATGATTTTGGATTCGAGAACGCACGTAATGCAACCGTGCGCGTCATTTTCAGCTGTCGAATGTATACGACCAATTTTACATGTACGATTTTTAGTACAGATACTTGGTCAGTTTTCTTCTTATATCTTTGGTTTTACAACATTTAAAAATATAATTTCTTCAAATTTGCTCCTTACTCGGTTCAGACTAATTGTCTGATGTGTTTTCAAGTCAATTTTTTGAATATATTTTTTTGCATGAATTTGCCTAACTGTGCTTAATCGAACAATATCCACACTTTGCAGTCCACTTGCTTTATTCTCTGAAAACAGAGTGGTGCTCTAAAAACAGGATTCTTCATCATGGTTATTGTCGGTCAGAGCAGTGACACGAAAGCCTCGACAATTATAATTGCAGTGAGTTTCCATGATAGAAGGCTTGCATACATTTATCTTGTAGAGCTATCAAGAAATGAGGATTTACTGGTATATACCTTTAAGCATTGCCTGTTCATATTATTGTTGTAATTTTCTTAAAGTCACTGTACATGAATGTACCTCTTCCTTTCGCCCCTTGGCCCACTTGTGATAGACCAGTTCCTTGTTAGGTCCTGAACAGCAGTCCTCCAACATGGTCCATTCCCTTGGGGTTAGACCCAATGCAGCAGAGAGTACATTAGGTTGGTTACTCCATATCAAACATTCTCCTGTACCATCATCTACTGCTAGCCTAAAGGATATAAGAGACAGAAATTAGATAAATTGGTATTGTGGAAGCTGAACTATATTAATGTGAAAGTGATTGATAATCTTTTTTAATATTCTTCTTTCTATGTATTTATAATGTCTGTCTTTCTCTCCTCTTCCCATCTCTCTCTCCTCTCTCTCTCTCTCTCTCTCTCTCTCTCTTTCCATCTTTTTCTCCCTCTCTCATGTCTTCTCTCCTCAACTCTCTCTCTCTCTCTCTTTACTTCTATCCTCTGTCTCTCTCTTTACTTCTATCCTCTGTCTCTCTCCTCTCCCCATCTATCTTTCCTTCAACTCCCCCCCCCCCCTCTCTCTCTCTCTCTCTCTCTCTCTTCCCATCTCTCTCTGTCTCTCTTTCTTCCTCTCTCTGAATTTACTTACAAAGTCGTCATAATGTTAACTATTACAGTGTCCCTATTTCACACAAAAACTTTTGAAGAAATTTAAATGCTTTCTAGCGTTCTTGAATATAATGAATTTTTACTTATTTTATGTCACTTGACACTAATAAGCAGTGTATAAAAATGAGATCAACTTACAAAATTTGAGTGATAATCTTGCCACCCTGTCTTCTTGTGTTGGGACACTTGCAATCATTTCTACCACAATGGTTACATATCCATCTGAAGAAAAAAATTAGTGTCACATGGTCAATATGGTACATTTAGATAGGGTGGTATTCACATTTTTTTCCTGCACTTGCATGCTAAAAACCTTGACAGTACCTATCTCCCACTTTTAGAAGAAAGACTAATTGCAGCACACAACTAATAGTGCTTTCCAAGCTTCTAGTCAATATTTTGTCCTCTACATTAAAACTGTATAATTTTTAGTTTATGATGACACAAAAAAGGAGTTTACCATTATCAGCACATAGTCACTTTCCATAAAACTATCATTGCATTTATGATTAAAATCATTGCTTATCCAACATTCTCTCGATCGACGATAGATCTTGTTTTTTTTCATTTGGTCTGTGGTATAGGGTTTCAGGTTAGGTGTATAGTTGGGGCTAGGGTTAGGTGTAGTGTGTGGGTTGAATTTAGGAATTTGGTTACCGGTATGTAAAAATGAACTGCAGAGCAACTATCATAGGAGCATGTGTCATACAACTAAAGCATCATCCTCATTATAAAACAAACGCACCGACAACATAGTCCGACCATTCTAAGAGCAAAACAGTCCTACCTTAAAACCAGTTTAGTAATGAGAGTGATATGAGCATAGATCCAGTTGAACGTAGTAGAATCCCTGGTTGTATCTTGTATCATATGATACAGGAATGATCTCTGTCTCATTGTAGGTAGGATTCTAGTCTGGTGACTGCTGTGATAAGTATCTGGACTAGTAGCACTGCAAAACAGAAGAAAAATGAATATTGCACAATTTTATCAATAGAGATTAATGAAAAAATATAGTTCTGCCCAAAACGACTGTATCTATTTCCTATTCACTTTAGTTAAACATGAGTTAAGAGAAACCTTAATATTGCCTATAAACATGTTACAAGAAACCAATAAAATCTCATAACCTATCGGTACCTGACGATAAAAGTTTTTCTTTAAATGGGCAATGGGCATGCCCAAATATGGACTATTTGTCTCAGTATGGTTTTAAAATTTCAAATAATTAATCATGTTTTAAATAATTTCTTATAAAAGGAATGCAATAAATATAACTCATGTTTGATAATGACCATGTTTAGTATCTTTTTGAATCACTGCATGTTCATAATTAATCTTTACAAACTCAAAAACTGAACACTTACATTTCTTTGAAGCTTTTGGTGCAGAAACTATCCACTTGGATAGAGGTCAAAGGTCCAATGTCATAGGTCACAGCAATTCCTGGATCTACTTTCTTGAGACAGTTCCTTTAATAAAAATTTTTAAAATACCAAAAAATAATATTAAAAACAGCATATGAAGTGTTTTTTTACCACGCAGTGGCAGTGTTTTAGAAGATAATCCTTTTTTTTATCCAACCATAATGCACGCAATTGGGCAAAACACAGTGATTTTGGCATTAAAAGAGATCTCTAATTAGTCCATACCTGATAGATAGAGTAGTCCCAGGCAGTAGTCCAAGCGTATCATCATGTATGTGAGTTGGTACAGACACACTGACAGTGGTCTGGGCAGTGATGTCATCTGTCTCTAGCTGAATGGATGATCTCTGCCCAGTGGCCTCCTCTTTGCTGGTATGAGCCTCTGTAAGGTGGATGCATGAATACATGGTATATTATGTGGTTCATTCACTTGAGGATTCAGATCCCTTGGGTTAGAGTTAAATTTATGTGCAGTCTTGGGTCCAGGATTGAAGCTAGGAATTGTTTTTATGTTACATTTGCCAGAGCATTTTTTGTATTATCAAAATTCCTATATATATGTGTTTAACCATTATCTTGACTTTTTGTCTTAGACACAAATGGCTAGAAGTTACTTAATTACCTTCCATGGATGACTCTGTGACTGTTTTTCTTGTGATCATACCAGATATAGATGATAAGATATGATGATGTCTACAAGAAGAAGAAAACAAATGGAAAGGTGTCTCTTATTGTCTATTCCGACTCAAAATTCTAAACTCTTAATGCATTAAATGCTGTGGTGAAGAAAACAATACCTTGAAGTATTAAGGGAGACAACATTCCATCTACTGTGAAGCTTTTACTTTTAAAGTGCACACCCTAATACAACCAAAGGACAGTCATGCATCTTTATGATCTTCTATAACATTTGGTCTATAATACACAATAGGAAGCAAAACAAGCACTATACTGGAAACATAAATATTTCACATGGCATATTCTTTTTCTTTAATGAAAAGATAAGATATTTACCTTTGCTTTCCCTTGTTTGGCTGACCTGATTCAGATGATGAAGTTCTGTTCATTGCCTGAAGTAAGTTCTGAGGTGCAGAATCCTGGACGATGAAAAGAAGATAGATCCGATGGCTTTAAATTACAATGGTCAAGTTCCATATAACCAAGCTTCTTGCAAGAACTTTATTCAAGCTGTACTCTTTGGTAAATACTCGTTGAAGGTGACCTCAGTTTCTACCACTCTCAATCATTTAAACCCTTTTCTTTTCCATACTGTCACAAGTATATTCATTCCATATCATTCTATACTCTTAACGCTCAATATAGACTTGTATATCCTGAAATTTTAATTTTAAACTGGGGTGTATAAAACAACAAAACCCTTGTCGATCAACAGACACCTTCTAATTTAACCCCATCAAGCACCTATCTGGAGCCATGAATTTCTAGATATCTAGAAGCATAAAATCTCAAGGCCAGATCTTGTATTCTGCACTGGAGCGGTGGCATGTAGTAATCCACAAGAAAAACTTTGATACACACCTCTTGAATTAAAATCAAATACTGTAAAAATTCAAACTATTGATTGCTACAACATAAGTAGATATTAGGTACTGGTTTATATAATATTGAATCACACCTTTCTCCAATTCATTGTAAATCCTAGCTCACCTGTAATGCCTGTAGCTGTGAAAAGGCTGTTATAATGTAGATAGGCTGTGTCATTCTTTTCTTGGATAACTTCATTACTGATGGCACAACATGAGTCTATCAAAAAACAAGATAGATAATTATACTTATTATAGATAATTCTACATATAGCAAACATTACGCAAGCATAAATGTAAGTCTCCATATCCAACCATTACAGACTCTTACCTCCATGTCTTCATTCTTGCAATCCATTCTGTACATCTGTCCTTCTCTCAGAAAGTTATACCACCTGACAGCATCACCATGGAAACACAGCAGAGCTGCTCTACCATCATCTATCCTCTCCTGCTTCTTCCCAACCCTCCCATCCACATCCATCTCTCCATCTCTATCCCCTTCTCCTGGTCTTGGGACCGCATCTTTCTTAGCCCTCTTAGGATGGTTAGAGTCCAGGATGAGGATGTCACTGTAGAAAGAGGGTGTGGCTGACCCCGCCCTGCTCTCATCTCTCTGCTCCCGGTGGAGAAACTGTCTTCTACTTCTTAGCAGGAATTTTTCGGAGATGATAGATTCTAAAGGTGATCCTTCTGCATAAAAACATAGTGATTAAAACTAAATTGAAGTTATCATGAAGTACTGCTCACTAATCCTATCTATTTAGATTCTACAAGGAAAAGCTTTCCAAAACCTCACTTACTGTTGTTTAACCTAGATAGACTATTATTTGGGATACTGTTCAAGAGAGGGAGTTTTTAAGGGGTCAGTCATTCAATATTCGTCATTTCCCACAAAACTTTTGATACCATTAAATATATCAAAGATCATTGGGTACAAAATTAAAATTTGAAAGATTGCCATCAACATTTCTTTTCCTTTTTTTCTCCATAGTACCACATATACCTGACTTTGATGACCTCCTTTTCCTCCTTCTAGGTCTGATGCACCCTGGTGATGCTGCCCTCTCTGTTCCGCGATTAAGACATACAGCCTTTCTTGGACTGAACATCACATAAACATTGACCTTTGACCTTGAACTGTCCTTGACCCCTCCTTCAATATCCATCTCAGATTCACTCCTATCTTCATTCCTGTTGTGAGAGTTTGAGGAAGTTCTGCTCTCCCGAATCACTACAAAGTCATCGATTCTGAGCAGATGATTGAGGCAAGGCTGGGGGAAGCAACTGCTGGTTGAAGATCTTGGTTCCTTATCAGTTTTTTCTGTTTTGTCTCCCCTGTTAGATTCATTGCAAGATTTGGTGCGTTCTTTTAGAGGCAAGATTTTGGCAAGAGTACATGGAATGGATCCGGTAGAATCTGAGAGAAATAGTCTTCCATCTGTTCCTTTACAACATAGTTTAGCAACTAGAGCCTGAAAGATAACCAAAAACATTTCGAAATCTACATTCTCTCTTAAGACATTCAGTGTATGTAATGTTTATCAAAAAGTTGCTTTATGTGACTTCGCTAGCAAACAAAAATCTAATAATAATTCAAGCATATCCTAAAACAAGAATATTTCATAAAACCTGATTTTTTTTTTAACAATACAGATGACTTTCAACAAACATGGTTCTTAATTCTTGTTGACACACAGCCTCTAAATAAAGACCATGCCGACAGGTTTCAGCCAGGAAACTAATGAGTTTATATTTAGGGCATGGACTGGTTTTTTATTTTTTATAAGTGCACTATTAAACAAGTATATTAATACAGTACTATTAATTGACATCTATGTCTAATGGCTGGACAGGATTCGAAGCCAGGACCCATATAGAAGAAAACCAAATTATCACAAACTATATATGCCTAACAATTGAGCAATTATCATTTCCCTTTCTTAAAGTGAATAAAAGCTATGTCCCTATTGCTAATCATTATGTTCTAGCAATTCAACCATATGCCATCTCATATCTGTTCTTACCATGTGTGTTGGCATATCACATGATCTCAGCACACTACACGTCCAGCCTGACTGGTTCAGTGATGTGATATGACTGCTCCCATCAGTAGGGGGAGACTCAAAGCAGTCTGCTAGTTCTATTGCTTTGGGGAAGGTACATGGCACAGTCTGAGAAAAAGAGTGAAATACAATAATAAAAGCAAGTAATATCAACCATCCCTACCCCTTGCATTAAATATACCTGGACATAAAGCATCACCAATAGTGTCATGTATCATGTATAGTATAAATAGCTGTGAAATTTTTGCTACCGTTACAAAGTTAATCACTGTATTAAGGACCCCTCACATCCTCTTAACCAAGTAGTGATTTTTAACGAGTCTGGTAGGGCACGTCAGATACGTGTAAGAACAGAAAGATTTCGTAGAACATTCGTACCCTATGCAATACGTCTGTTCAACACCACCCAACGACGCTGAACAAGATAACAATTGATTTTAAATTTAAATTTAAATGAATCAGCCATTTTTTTTTTTTTTTTTTTTTCCCCTTTCTTTTTAGCATGGGATCATCGACGGGCGCATGCCGGGTTGTTGAACGCGTTACCAAGTAAACAATGGTTGGCATTGTAGCCACCTGGCATGCGCCCGCCGAATTTTCCATGCATTTCAACACGTGGCTTTTTTTTATTTCAGTAATTTTTTTTTTTTTTGTATTTGGTTTTAAACGAATCAGCCCTTTATTTCTAGCTCGGGATCTCGACGGGCGTGTGCCGGGTTGTTGAACATGATATCCATATTAACATTGGATGTCATGGTAGTCACCTGGCATGCGCCCGCCGACTTTTCCATGCTTTTCAATATGTATAATTATATTCTTGTGATTTTTCGTACCCATTGATGGTGATTTATTATCTCTTGTTATAACTCTTGTATTTTGGTCTTAATGAATCAACCTCTTGTTCTAAGCTCGGGATCCTCGACGGGCGCGTGCCAGGTTGCTGAACATGTTTTCCAAGTTAACAACAATGGTTGGCATGGTGGCCACCTGACATGCGCCCACCGCTATTTCCATGCCTGCATTCAATACACAACACGTACTAGCTAGTGCCCATTGAATATGTGGTGATTTCTGATTTAGTAGTTCTTGTAACAGGTCTTGAATGAATCCGCCCTTTATTGTTTAGCTTTTTAGCTCGGGATTCTCGATGGGCGCGTGCAGGGTTGCTGAACTTGTCTCCTAGCTAACAACAATGGTTGGCATGGTGGCCAACTTGCATGCGCCCACCGACTTTACCGACTTTATCTTGCATTTCAACTTGTACTTAGGAGTTGGTTTTTTTTTTTTCGGTTTTTTGTGTGTTATTTTCCTCTGAGCAGCAGCAGTGCAGCTGCCCTCCCACTACACCTTAATATACCATGTACTTTCTCCCTCTTTCCTTTCTTTTCTAACTTTCGCTTACCTTCCTCTAATTCACCTCCTTCTCTCCTTCTCTCTCCTTTTCTTTCTGTTACTCTCCTTTCTTTCCCCCTTCTTTCTTTTCACTTTCTCTATCTCTTTCTCTATCTCTTCCTTATGTCTTCTTCCATTTATCCTTATGTTTTATGTAATTCGTATTCTATGTATACATGTTATTCATTTCATACTTGTGTATTCTGTATGCATTTGAATATTTTGGTATGATTGTACTTATATTGTAAATTTGTTATAAGTTATGTAATGTTTATGCAAATGTTTGATTATGTATATGTACCACCTGGAAGGCAAGTTTCTTCATTCTTCGGAAGAAGACAATAAAATTCTATACTATACTATACTATACTGTATTGATACATGTACATAAATTGAATATCAAGTATTCCTCACACACAGGATTTTTAAAGAAAGCTGTCCTTCTGATTCTATTGTTCTTACTACAAGTTTGTATCATTGTTCTTCCCATTTGCAGCTCTCCTGAAAAACAATCCTCCGTTTCTGCCCTTTCTCCAGAAACTTTGTTGTAATGCCTCAATGTAACAGAATAAACCAAAGCCAGTTTTATAGAGCTTCATTTTTTCATATACATTAGAGCTGGTCGAAAATTGCATTTCATTTGGAATATATGGGATGACATCTAAAAATAATGAACAAACAAACCTTTGGAATATCATTCATGGGCTGAGAGAAGAAGCAAGCTGTATCATGAGATAAGAAGTCCTCATACGGATTTCTTTTCCTCTCTTTGATAATTGGCAGGTCGTTTGAGGTCATCTTGGTGGTCAGTAGCTGGACTAAAACTGGAAGCATCTCCTTCAATCTGTTCAAAAGAATGATTTTTTTTTTATTGGATACATTTTCAAGGACTAGCAATTATTTTAAGGTTTAAGATTTAGTGAAAACTTATTACTTGGTAAATCTCAAAGACCACAATGATAATTTTATTTCTTTGAAATCCATAAACCCTTCCAATAGAAGTACAATGGAAACTGTCATCTTGCTTCAACTACCGTACTTCATTTTTCTCACAAAAATGAAGAGACTTTTCTGACTGGATATCTACAGTTTATTTAACTATTAGGGAAATTGCTCACTTTGTATTTCATCACATCAGATCTTCTATGCTATAAATATCTATATAATAATAATAGTGGCTACTTGTATAGCGTACAGGTCCACAATTGCCACAAAGTACCAAATAATCGAAGAGCCTTTCCTATATCTCTCAAAGTATTATCAGAGTGCAAATGAAGATTACTGCAGATAAGTGCAATTTCAAATGGAAATTTAATTATTATATTGTACACATTAAGTATGTGTAAATGTAAACATGTCATAAGATTACACAGCTCTATAACAGGCTACTTACTTCAAAATATCAGGGACCAGTTTCTGAAGCAATGTTGGGATTGCCTGGTGCTGTAACCATACCAGAACAGTCAGACTTGGAAACAACTTTCCACACAGCGGTAACAGAACCCGCTGAACATTGCTACTTTTCTCCTGAAAGATAAAATATGATTTCATGGAGATCAAATGGAATAAATCACTATTGTGGTTTTCATGTTTCATACCAACTTTACCGACTATTCAATGTTTGCTAAACTTCATGTGTAGGTCCATTCTTGAATCGAAATTGTTGACAAATATATTTCCCATTAAACAATGGAATGTATTGTAATGCAGTAGGTCTACATTATTTGGCAAAGTGCACATAATTGAAAATGAAATATCAGTGACATTACAAGTATTACCTGTACCGGTATGCTAAATATTATACAGTACAGTCTTAAATACTTTTGATTTTAACACACAAGACACATTTTTGACAAAATAGTAAATTTTGACTATTCTCAAAACAATCTGGAGGAATAACAATAACAATACATTATATTAAACATATCAATCAGTTTGCGTTGTATTTGCCATATACAGTGAAACCTGTCTATAAAGACCACACAAGGAAGACATGAAAAGTGGTCTTTATGGGCAGGTGGTCTTTCTATATAGGTGGTCGCTAAAGCAGATTTGACTGTACCTTGGTTGGTTGTTGTTGCTTTAATTTCCCCTCTATCTTGACTGATGATCTCATGCAACAAACGATATTCTCACAATCCCTGATCAGCTCACTCTCTCTGTCTGATGCATGGATCCTATGAGCATTGTGAATCGTGACCTCTGACCCTAAAGGAATGCTGGGAAGGTGTGACTTCCCATCATACTGGTAGGTCAGATAAAGCCTGCAGAGAAAGTTCATAAACACCCATTAGATTCAAGCAGTTTTCATATATTCAAGGTCTATCATAGGTGAGGTCCTAAACAGAATGGATATTAGATAAAGTTTTGATATCATAATATTTCCGAGTAAATGTACCAAAAAATGATACGGTGAAACTGAATTTAAAAACAAAAAAAAGTCAAAGAAATGCATAAAGATCTGAATAAAAGTGTGTGCAGAACATATCTATAATTTATGAAATAGAACAAAAATAAGCACTCTTCAATGTACATGTAATCAAACTGCAATAATAAATAAGTTGATTTGAAATACCTATATAGAAAACATTATTGAAATAGAAAAGAAAAAAAATGAAATGTAGCGGAATTATCATAAAAACAATAAAACTTGAGGATTTGGGGCACTTTTGGCGGTAAGAATTCTGTCAATCTATAAGTTATTTTGAGATAAACTGTTTTATATAAGAAAGAATATTTATGTACCTACCTGTTGTTGGAACTGAGCTCATAAATCCCAAGTGTCTGGTCAATGCACTTGGTAATTATTCCCTAATATAAAAAAAAATGAAATGTACATTTGCTATCTGATTAAGATGTTGGAGTATAAATCAAAGTACAGTGATTAATATTGTAAAAGTCAAAGGATTATATTATCAACATCATTTTGATAAGGTAAACACATTCTTCAAAACATAAAGCAATAAAGTTACATAATATGAGCAAAGATAAAAACAGTGCATATTAACTATACACTGATATCATGATCCATATTTTAATTCATATGTTATCAGGAATACAATGAAACCTTATAGTGTTATTATAAGTATGCCTCCATATATTGTACTATAAGATTCACACAACTTTCATATACAAGTTAAATGCTGGCATTTTATCACTTTATATTTTCTCTCAATCATTATATGCTATATCACGCAAAGTGCACAAAATAATATTTCCTTAGGAGACATCATCTACCTTTCAGATAAAATGCAATTGAAAGTGACCCTCTCTGGACTTACCTGGCATGTAGGAATGTTTGTTTCCATGGTGATGTCATCTTTATTGCAAGCAGTTATTTTTGAGAAAGCAGACAGGAGCAAGATCTTTCTGGGTCTGTCAGTTCCCTATGATGACAATGAGAAAATTTGCAAAGTGATTTTGGTAAATGAATTAAGAAAATATTTTGCAACCCTTTATTCATTCACATCATATTATGGATGCCTTTTCTACAGACAAAACCTTCCAACAGGTAACAATGTTTAAAACTTTTCTTCTATTGCACCATGTTCCGCACAGGAAATATGTTACACTCTTTTCACATCCCCCTTTTTATGATGTATTTAATGTTAAGGTTACAGTAATTTTCTACAACATCTAACTTTTGTTATACAGAGGCTCGAAACAGAACTCGAAACTGTAAATTTATATCTACAGCTATGTATATGAATAATATAAGCTGTTGACATACATACTTGTACTTTATAAATATTTGATGGTACAAGAATTATAATTGCACATTACCTTTCTTAGTTGTTCAGGTTCATATATAACATTTGCTATCTAACTAAGATGTTGACTTATAAAAACATTACACAATGAGTACCTTGGTTATAGTAGTTGGAGTCACATTATTAAGGTCATAGAATGATCCAACATGAATACCACCGTAGAATGAAGTAGCTTCATCTCCCTGTAAAGGGGATAAACAACATGATTTCATATTTAGTAAATATCAAGAAATAATCACATTCTGTATGACTGGTAGTGAATCAGCTGATTATTATTGCTAAACAACACTTATGCTATTAGGCACCACAGATTTATTCGACTGGCATTTGGAATGCCGCCAGAATGCCCCCCTCAGAATTGTTCTGTTAATCCCCATTCCAGCCGTGAACTAGAATGCGGTACTTAACGCCTCGCAACTTCTGGAATGGTGTTGGAATGGGTAGCATTCTGTGAAAACTCTGGAATGCTCTTTGAATGTGCCATCCAAACAAAGGCGAGATCGGCAGCGCGACTATTTTCTTAATATCGAGTGCCGGAATGGTTTACAGAATGTACTTTGAGAATTAATAGAAATCAAGAGATATTTAATTGTTTTCACTTTTCTCTCTCTCTCTCTACCACCAGTCTCCACCATCGCTGACCAACAACCAATCCACATTGCTATGTACCAAGCGACCTAGAAGACGACAAGCCCGAGGACCAAACTTTCCGTCTCCAGTAGACCCAGCCCCCTCGCCCTGACCAGTACCAGCCGCGCATAGGGGATGCCAATCTATGTTGAACTCGAAGACTGGAAGGTTCTCATCGGCATTGAAAACACAAATAACATCATCAATAGGGAGGTTTTCGAGAGGGCATGCAGTGGACCACAGGATCTAGTCATTTGACTAATGGACAAGGTGATCTGACCAGAGGACCTAGCCATTTCAACGGGGGGAACGTCTACAGCACCGCGGAGTGGAAGATAATAATAATAAGATGAGGACAACTAACGGATAAAACCTGCCTTCCGAGCCCTGGCAGTGAACAACAAGTGCAGGAAGACGGCGCATAGTTAGCAGTAGGACATAGTAGGTAATGTTTTAAAAATGATACTTATTCATGTTCTAACATTATGATGGCAAAAATTTGAAAAAATATATTTCATCAAAATGGGAGAGAGTGACGCCGATATCCCTACATAGGCGCCGATACCATAAACCAACCCCTATTGTATTTTAGGGAAAATAAAAATGACACTTATTCTTATTCCAACATTATACAGCAGAAATTTGTAAATATGAAAAATGTATTTTATATAAATGTAATATGTTATATAATGTAAAATGCTAGTATTGAAACCCGTTCGTAGCGTCAAAATTCCTTTTTCCGGTTAAGAAATATAGCGACCGCAACTTTTTTTCATAAAAAGTGGAAATGTAACGCCAAGATAGATTTTTCTTCTTCAAGTAGGACAACGTCTTTTCACTGTTTTCAACTTCGGAAGATGAGACGTTGAGAGAAAAATGTTAACCAAACGCTGTTATATCTTGTTTAAAAAGACAAATAAAAATAGCTATTACTCCTTCTAAAAATGCGCTGCGCTGTCGGACCTTAGGACTGCATGGTCACGTTCACAGAAATTTGAAACCACATCAATTGCACATATCTAAGTAATCGCCTGCAGTCTCAGGCTTGTTTTTTTAATCGCCGCATTCTGAAACAATTCCAGAATGCCCCCCATGCCATGTCATTTTGGGTGCATTCTGGAATGCCCCTTTGTTCTCTAGACAAAAGGCGCCGATCACATTGATATTTTAAGAATGCTTGTAGAATGGAGGCATTCCAGAACCATTCTAGAAAGCTTAATGAGGGCATCCTGGCGGCATTCAGAATGCCAGTTGAATGATTCTGTAGCGCTTAAATGTTAAAAAAAAAAAGTTTTTTATTAAAACCTTGTAACAAGATATTAGGGACTTTTAGATTGAGTGGACGAGAACACGACGAACGCCGACTGATCATGCGTGTCAACGTACTTAACTGCCCATGTTGACTACAATTAGAAATCTTTTAGATTGCACTCGACGGTAAACATGCATGCAGGAAGTAACACTATGAACATCACGGACAAAGAAAGAGGACAAAATATACAGTTCCTCATTCTACCCTCAACAAAAGAACACCCCTTCATTGCTATTATGTAAAAATGTGTGAAACAGGTGAATATGCATGTGACACCTGTTCTACACATTTTTACATAATAGCAGGGAAGGGATGTTCCTTTGTCTACCTGAGGAACTGTATATTTTATGCGCATGGGGCATACTAGTACCTTGAGCATGTAAAGGCGCTATATAAATATAAATATGTATGTATGTACATGTATTTTACACAGAGTTAGAAGCTCTAACAGACAATATACAGAAAGGGCTTTTTCTTTGTTTTGACACTACTTCATGGTTTGATATTAGGATTACAGCAGGGCTTAAATTAATCCAAGGCCACCAAGGCCATGGCCTTGGATGCCCCTTTGATTGGCCTCAATGCCCCTCTCATTGGCCTTGGAGATTTTTTGTGCCCTTTCCAATTCTTCCTATTTGTGCTGTAATATAGGAATGTGCACTACAGAAAAGTGGCCTTGCCCTAAAAATATCGAAATTTAAGGCCTGTTACAGTATGTAATGATCAAAATACACTGATAATAGCTTCCAAACATTCACTCCTGACCCTCTAAATGCAAATTTTAACTGAGATCTCATTCATACTGAACTCTCAAATTTGTATCTGGAACCCCAGAAAAAAGGTTTCAACCATGTGAACATACTAAACAATAAAACAGCATGTTCACATGGCTCCAATCTAACACATGGACCTGTATTCTAAAGATCCCTTTCATACTCACCCTAGCAAGGATAAATTGTTTAGATCCTGGGCTTGATCCTGTCTGGATCTCTGTCAGAAAAAGAGCATTGCCATGGATCCTGCAAAACATTACCAAACAATGTGAAATTTGAGGGGTCAGTGACATGACACAAAGACGTAACTCCATTTTGGCCATTTTGAGAAAAAGTGGTTTATGTGTCCCTGAGCACTTGAGCCTTAAGGAGTTAAGTCTATGTTTCACTAGTCATTGACTTGAATGGGGTGTTGGGTGGAGTTAAGTCTTTGAGTTTCCTGGAAGGCCCAGATTTTTCTGAACATTTTGATATCAAGTACTCATTTTGGAAAAATATGGAGTTACATTTCTGTGTCACTGATCACTCAAATTCCTATCTTTAAAAAAAATGAGGTGTAATTTTGAGGTGTCATGGTATATATAGTGGCTCATTCAATTGACTTTCAGTACAAGGGTTGAGGGCTTGATTCCGGCCAAGCACTTATGTCCTTTGACAAGACGTTAAACCACATTTGTCACTTTCCACCAAAGTTTAAATTAGGTATCTGGCAATGCATACAAGGGTAATAATAGTTGCAAGGCTTGTAGGAAGAGCAGTACTGATACTGACGGTGCAACTATGGATATATAAAATTCAATCACTTATAGCAAAGAGTAATTCGGGGTTTCCACAAACTCAAACTTTGTTGTTATATTGTTCACAATAGTGCTAATAAGCCGTTGAAATACTACACGAACAGACATTTCTTGCAAAATAATACTGTATGATTCTTTTTTGGGGGTAAAATCAACAATGATAACTGCTCTCTTTTATATCTTAAATATATTTAAAAAATTCACAATGAAATAAATGCCTTTTTATTATAACATTGTCCTAGAGGAGTAAATGATGCAAATCGCATTTAAAGTATAACAATAACTAAAATCATTGTTGATTTAATCTGAAAAGTTCCTTACCTAAGCAGAGGACTTTTAGCAATCACACAAACCCCTCTCACATCCATTTGGACCAAGGTATCGTACTCTACTGCTAGAGGCACAGCAGGAATGTTTGAAATTAAAAATGGAAGATAAACGTCAAGCAATGGGGCTGGAGCCGGAGATCAAATCATCATTTCCATCATACCTGTAGATAAATGAAAAAACATGAGCAGTTAGCATACATTATGAGAAACCTGGTTCAAATGCATATTTGGAAACATACATAGGTTATCCATATAATTCATAGGATATCATCACAGTCAGAGAAGTGAGAAGAAGGTAACACATTTTGTAAAACAATTTCTTTTGATCAATATCTTGTTCCACTCATTCACTCAGAAGTTATCAAGTAATGTCATGCTATAGCAGTACACTGTGTATCCGAGTGGCCTAGATTCTAAGGGTTGATAAGCTCACTCAACTGCTCAATGTACGCAGCAGGTTTGACTGGGACGATACATCCCACCACTCGGCAGTGGACCAGGCCAGCGATGCACAGCTGAGTGACAGGCCCACAGCCCAGGCAGAGTTTCCAAACTAGGAACTAGTATTACGACTTGACGACCTCAACTGATTAAACTAAAGAACCAGACTAGGCGTAAATAGTCGAATTTGACTGTACGCCAAAAATACAACCAACAACACAGTCACACATATGAATGGACTTTTCACAGTCATCATAGTGATTATTCATACCCCCTCCTCCTCCCCATGTACCTAACAAGTAAAGGAATACGTGGGACTACACAATGTCAATGACGAACATCTTTCTTACTCACGTCTTGATTTCCTTTACGAACTGCCCATCTTCTTATATCGGAGTGAGAGTATCAATTAAATGATCACGTCTTGATCCTCTAGAACGTTGATCAATATGTTATAGTATCTTGATATCTAAAACTAGGGCCACTCTTTTCAAATCACCGCGGTGCAGTCGACACACCGGAAGTGGATTAACGCCAAAGAAGATCTAACGCGAGAATTTTATCTCACACACTCTCGCCCGATCGATGAATGAAAACCACGGCCGGTTATCTTATCTTTTACTAGACTGAATTTGGCCTTTGGTAAGAATTTACTTCGTTTTTTGCGTATAGTTTTGTAAATGTTAATATTTTCAGTGATTAACATGGAGCATATTGCCTTGGGTGTGTTACTGTTATAAAATAGTCTAAGTCGAGTGTTAGTGTGTGCATCCCACCTTGTGCAAATTATGTAGTGTCTCCAGTTTGAAAATATTAGTGTGTTTGATTTTGAAGTTTCTAGGCAATATCGTGAAATAATCCACCAGTCCTTCACTATGCACAGAAGAGCTTCGTCATGTTTATTGCTTGCAATTAGTAGGGATGCTGGTCCGAGAATAAGGATCGTCCGCATAATTAAGGAGGATCATTCTTCGTAAACGCGGACAGAGCGTCCTAAAAAATGAGGCAGTACGCATTTTCCCAGAGGATTCTTATTTCTGATCTGCGCGTTGGCGATGCGAAAAAACAGATTAACTCCACGATAATGATAGATCCTTGATGGATAATTTGCACAGAGACTTTCACGTTATGAACGATAAGTCCTCAGGAAAACAGACAACCCGTAAAAGTAGACAGTGAAATGAAAGGGGGGTGAACCGCGGATCGGATTATGAGGATATCCTCTTTCTTGGACCAGCACCCCTACTGGCAATTAAGCTACATAAGTATAACATAGATAGTCATTGTGGTCTGCAACACCTTTTTTTAATGCAATTTAAGTAATAAGATTTAAAGTTTTGCGTTAACCCAACCCCAAATTCATCACAGCAGATTATTTTTGCAACACTCTGGCTCTCGCCAAGTGCCCATGACCATATACACACGTAGGCTACGGCACATAAGTTTCTAAAATTTTGCAAGCGAGCGATCAAAAAAGAAGACATGGTAAAGATTTTAAGTTAATATCATCACAGTAGACCTTGGCTCTAGTCATGGATACAAAAATTATATATTTGGGCATCTCGTTGCACAGAAGTATGCTGTTTCTAAATTTTGTGAGCGATTGAAGTGAAAGAGTGTGGTAAATATGTAATTTGGATATTATCGGGCTCCTCGCTGCGCGTTGTCAAATAGAAAGCCTAATCCGGCACTTCATTGTCCAAATATGGAGGTATTCAGGCATTTACTTGCCTGAAAGAAGCCTGTTTCTAAAACTTGTGAGATTGCGAAGCAAACCCTGAAGAAATACTCTTTATTACGTACATTTAAATACTTTTTCCTCGTGAATTTCCAAAATATATTCTTTATAAAAATATATGACTAAACTTCTCTTGTGGCACCCTTTGAAATGTCTTGTGGCACCCTGATTGAAAAATGCTGATGTGGCCTCTTATGGATTACAACCTGTCTCAAATACACAGTGTGTTAGTATAATAGGATCAATTGAAATCGCCAATGCATTGCCCAATAAGTAACGGAATGAGGGTTTATTTCATGAAAATGCACAAAGATGTTTTAATGTTTCTAAAAGTTGCTTATAAACAAAGAAGATAAGGTAATGAAGTCTTGTAGTCTACAGAAAACCTCTGAGAATCATTAATTAACTATTTAACTTCTAGCTTCTAGGAGCTGCTGTAAAGATTATCGTTTCAATTTTCAACAAAAAATTACTATTCTTTTCAATTGAAATCAGAATGGGTTTGTTCCTTCAGCTCCAGACACTTCACAAAAGTTGATCTGTCATATTTTGCATATGTTTTAAATGATTAATCAACACTTGCTTCCAAAATTGTTCTATTTTCTGTTTGAAATGATACCCCAGACTCAAACATATTAGTAAATATGATTTAATGTATCCAATATCCATTTATGCTTTTCTTAACTATTTTTTCTTTCCTTTCTTTCTTTTTTCCCTTTTTTCTCTCTCCAGGGATTCCCAGAATCTACTCAGCCAGCTCTGTTACTTCATGATAAAGGGTTGCTCTTTACTCTGATTACTTGGGAAGGAGACTGTTCTAAAAACATGTGGCTGAACTTTGTGTTATGCCAGTATTTGAAAGATGCCGAATGCTACCAATTTGACTAGACAAGTTCTGTAAGAGCACGATATTCAGACAAGTGTTCATTGGAGCTTGACCTAGAGGTCAAGATGGATGAAAGAAGAAGACATGAGGTCAGAGGTCAGAACCATCCTGGAACGGGGTATGATGCCAATCATCAGTTCCAGCATCAAGACACAAGTTACAGTGATCAGATAACGCAAAGGGACAGATATGAACAGTACATGGACAGGACCACCCAACCTTCATCGGCATATCACGGCGGTGCAGCACACTTTGGTAACCATGGTGATCAAGGTCAACCTTACTCACATTGGCAAAGCCAGCCCCAGTATCCATCCCATGCACCAAATATGTACATCCCTCAGGCATATCCTAATTACTATGACCAAAGTAGATTCCAAAGTGGCCAAACTACAGGACATTTACCATACTCTGGATTCAACAGGTTTGGTAATGCTGTTGATAGGATTCCTAACCCTCCTGTATCACAGTCATTACCATGTGATAGAAATACTGTTGACAGAAGACAACATTCTTGGAATAATGAGATGTATAGCTCAAGACAGACAATGGCTCAAGACTCCAGAGGCTACCCACTGAGTTATGGTGCTACACATGGAAGCGAAACAGATGCTGTCCCTCCCCAAATTCCTCAGGGTAATTCACCAAACAACTACTATACCAACCCTGAGATGCCTGTCAAAGATGGAAGCATCAAGGACCCATACAATGCAGCAATAGACAGGAGAAGTTTACCAATGCACTATGATGCTGCTAATGTAACTCCTGGATTGGAGCCACGATTGAACAGTAGCAAGTCTGAGGTGCCCATTCCACCTACATCTTTGCAGAATTATTCAGGGGAAGTTCATCAATCAAAGTTTGAACCTCCTGCTAATGTTCCTTTGCCAATTTGCACTGGAGGCGTGTGTCCATTACCTGCAAGCACTCAACAGAACAAGGACATGTCTGATGTTAACTGTAAACAGTATTACCGAACAGAAGACTCTCATAACACTAGACAAAAGGCAGAAGAATCGCATTGTAGTAGTGGACATTCCTCTTTCTCTGAAAATGAAAAGCTGCCATCATCATCAAGCAAATCTAAGGTACCAGTTCCACCTACATTTTTGCAGAATTATACAGCGGAAGTTCATCAATCAAAGTTTGAACCTTCTGCTACTGTTCCTTTGCCAATTTTAACAAGCAATAGCACTGAAGGCGCGTGTCCATTATCTGCAAGCACTCAACAGGACAAGGACATGTCTGATGTCCGAACAAAAAACTCTCATAACACTAGACAAAAGGCAGAAGAATCACATAGTAGTAGTGGACAATCCTCTTTCTCTGTAAATGAAAAGCTGCCGTCATCATCATCATCAAGACAAGATAATGTAAAAATCTGGAATTCTATCTTTGATAAAGTGGAAGGTATTGTTGACCAGGACACTCTCAACAACGAGAGTGTTGTTACAGGAGATGAGAGAAAAGAGCTATCTTTTGTTTGTCAGGAATCCTTAGACCATCTTGCCAAGACGACAGAAGAAGAAAAGAACTGTAAAATTCCTGCTGATTCTAGAAAATTTGAAGATAGAACTATCGAATCTGAGAAAACGTTTACTGCATCTGAAAGTAAAAACAATACGAAGGAGGAAATATCAGAGAACAACGTCAAGAAGGTCTCTGAAACGATTAGTGTCAGTAACACTGGGTGTGATTTGCCAGTATCTTCACCCTGTCATTCTGGAGATACCTGTTTAGATCTGGCTGATACCACACTTGATATTAATGAGGAGAAGGAATCACTGCAAAAGAGAAATGTTATACCCACTAAGATCTGTGATGGTCATTCACCAGTGAAAGAAAGAAATATATCCACGAATACCCATGCAATATCAGTTCGGACAACAGTAGATCTGAGTGCTTCAGAAGTAGGCTGTAGCACTGTGGTGAAGTTTAAAGAAGGCACATGCAAGTATGTCAAGGGAGAGCCTACAAGTGACAAAGAGGAAGAAACATTCTACTGCAGTAGTCAACAAGATGGTGGTCCAGTATCAGAGCCAGAAAACGAGTCCTCTGAAGAGGACAACCGTCCAGGAGTTCCAGGAGAGGACAGTCTACCAATAGTCAAGCAGGAACCGCAAGATGAGCAATATCATCTACAGGTTGGTCACTCTGAAGAGGACAACCGTCCAGGGGTTCAAGGGGAGGACAGTCTACCAATAGTCAAGCAGGAACCGCAAGACGAGCAATATCATCCACAGGTTGGTCACTCCATTACAGAGCTCCAAGTTAAGGATGAAGTGAAACTTGAAGTAGGGGATAAGATTGGAAGTCAAAGTCCAACAGAACTCAGCAGAGGTGGTTCTGATACTTCAAGAGACGATGCTGTTCCTGTGATCGTTCAAGGGAATATACTCATGGATATGGACTGCAACTATGACAGTGACACCTACGAAGTCAGTGGAGACAAACAGGTACCTATACACAAGTTAATCCTGTTTGTTTTTTGACAGGGCTACAATACCCTCATTAAAGCCCCATGCACACATGAATTTGTAAACTGCCTTATTGAAATTGAACAAAAGTGTAGCGCGTTTCACATTTCTATATCTTATAATACACGGATAAGAGATACATGTACATAGTTCAAAATATCATGTATGAGAAATCTTTATTAGTTCTTTGTTTGGTCTTTGCTGCATGTGCTCAGCCCATTCACCACATTTTCCACATAAAATATATATTTTTGTACTACTGCAGCAGTTTTTTTTTAGGCAGTTTACCTTGCCAGGACGGGGCTTAACAGTGTAATGTGTTTAGAACCTTGTTTCACTTTTTTTTGTTAATGTTACACCTTTCAAAGTTTTATTCATTCATTCATTCATATTGACAATCTCTCTGGTTCGTACAGGGTACTCATGTGAAAAACATATATATTCATTGAAATGAACTGATGAATTTAAATTTAACATTTCAAGGCAATTGTATTTCATCATTTGATTGTAAAAAAAAAAAAATTTAGGCTGAATATTATACATTCTGTTGTATTATTTTCGTCTATTTTCAAAACGGTAGCAAACTTCCAAGTAATGATTTTATTTCTTTGTGTTTCCTTCTTTCACCATCTACTCTTTTTCTAGGATGTCAACAATTCCTTCAGCACAGGACATGGAGTCGATGATGATGGTTAGTAAACTGTTTTCTTTATCTAATTATTTAGGAACAATTCTGGGGGAAACGGGAGCCACAATGAGTTCTATGAAAGTGTTAAAGGGAACCAACCACACTAAAAAAATGATGTCTTGCTCTGTCTTTGTAGTTCATTACTCGTATTACATCTTCAACTACCTGGTGAGACAACATGTTGCATGACTTGCTATTTATAATAAGTAGCCCCCAATATTTATTTAATGGAGACAAATGGGGGGATTTTATAAAAGGGGTTTAAACAATTTGAATGTTTCGAAAATAATATCGCTAGTGATATTCTTTTCGATACTACATGTATATCCGCAATGAGTAATATATTTAGCAATTTGACTGTAAGCCCTACTGGTTTTGGTAACTTTTAATTTCAATTTTTCATATTCAATTTATAATTTATTAGGATAGAGAAGAAAATGCCAATATCCTAATTATTTTCTTAATTAACTGATACAAAATTTCTCTGTAACAATTTTCTTCTTACTCAAAATATACACTCTAATTCTTAGCAAAGGGATGCACCATTGAATTATAACTCGAATTTTAACTTCAAATTGTCTGCTGCAATTGTCATGAAAGTGTATTAACCAAAATTCTTGTCTTATTTTTGACAGGGATGTTTGACAGATGTACCTCATGCAATGAACTGGTTGCCTGTGGTGACATGATAGAGCATCCATTCAAATGCAAGGCGAAACCAAACCCACCTGAATCTCCAGTCAATCTCCCAACCGATCAACAACCACCTAATGACGACGAGGCAGAGATGAACTGTCCAGAATGCGGTGTTGGCTTTGAGACGACAGACTTTCTTGTCATCCACCTACAAATTCACGAGATGTTGGCCAAGAATGCCAAGAAGATGCAGGAAGAGAACCAGATGATGGTGATGACTACTGAGGAGATGGAGAAACAAATGACACACATCGCGGCAGACATCACAGAGGAACAGCCCGAAGAGTGCGAGGTTTGTTTTGAGTCCTTTACTGACCCTACAATGATCCCATACCACACCATGATGCATCAACAGTTTCCCTTCCACTGCAGGAAGTGCAATCTCTTTTTCAACACACTAACCGAACTCCACAAAGCACGCTGCAGCGACCACAAGCGCCACAAGGTCTTCAAGTATAGGTGTAAGAAGTGCAAGCGCACCATCCTGGACTCGTACAAAATGCGCAAGCATCGGAAGAGATGTGAAGGGAATATGGAAACATGCAGGTTGTGCAAAAAGAAATTCCCATCCTTCCGGCAGTTAGCACACCATGCAGAGATTTGTAACGAAGATCAGATGAAGAAAATTGGGGAGGATGGCAGAGAAATTAATGAAAAAGATATTGTTTTGGAAGAGACCCTTTCGGAAAATGAAGATGCAGATCTTGAAGCTGTAGATCGTGATGCCTTAGATCACAGAGTAGACCGTAAAGCTGCTGATTCTAAACCTGCAGGACAGGATGTAATATATCATGATACCAGTCTAGAAATGAAATTGGACAGCAGACCTGCCGAGGCTGAAATCAAAGAAGCAAATGAAACAACACAACTTTCAGAAGGAGATGGCGGTGTGGTTCGATGTAAGGTTTGTGAAAGGGAACTACATATATCTCTTAGATATCCCAGAAGAGCATGCATGGAAACTCCAGAGTATTGCAAGGCGTGTCTTCACATGGTAAGATCAAAGAATCTGTCCTCTTATGACAAGAGTTCAGCATCTAAGAAAGGTTCACACCATAAAAGAATGTTGCCCCTTGAGGGCAGCTCATCAAATGAAGAAACTTGTGAGAATGCCATCACAGAACCTTCAACAAAGAAGCACAAGAATGAGCCAACAGATGGTGAAACGTGTGGCGCTTGTGGAAGATGGTTCAAGAACTTCGAGAAATTGGAAAAGCATGCTGGAAAATGTGATGGTGTCATGAATAAACATTCATGTCTAGAGTCAACAAAACAAGATGATGATCTCAACTTGGACTGGAAGTATCCTACAGTGCATCGGTGTCCTAAATGTGACAGGAAGTTTTTCAAAGAGAAGAAGTTAAAGAAGCATGTGAAATCATGTCTGTGGATTCAAGATAGCACTTCTGCAGAGTCATGTGTAGACTCAAGTGCACTTGTGGATGATGCATCGGATCAGGAGGATGAACTTCCGTTGTCTGCCTTGAAAAATACTAATGGTACAGGTGTCAGAGATTCAGTTGGAGTAGATACATCAGATAATGATGACCATACACCTGTTACCTTGCCAGATGAAACCTTGGAATCATCTAATGAGAGCAGCAGGATAGAGTCCATGTCTGGAACAGAAGATAACCAGAGGAAAGAGGACAAAGGAGAGTTTGATCAGAATACCGGTGACATTCCCAAGGAGTGTGCCACCAATGGAAGCGTGCTATCACACCAGAACAAGACATCCTTCATAGAGAATAGTATAATCCTTGATAATGCAACTCATGTACAAAGTAATACTAGAACGTCCTGCAACCCTGTCAGTGCATCAGGATTATTGGAGGAAAATTTGCCTGTGGAATTAAAATGCGACACTGATACATACAATGCAAAATCAAAAGGGCAAGTTCATGGGATGGAAATATCCCCTAAATCAAACTTTGAGGAAGGCTCAGAGAAGGACACTGATCCTTCAATTGCATCAACACAACAAGTAACGTTAGGTGAAAGAGAGACTGTGAGCTCTACATCTGAACCTACTATGGCAGTTCCTGCTCCAGACGAAACAAGTCCAACAGACATTTCATCAGATGATATGCCACAGCAACACTTGTCACAAGGAAATGGGTCACAGACATCACTTGGAGAAACGATGACACCATCCTACTCATCATGTGATAATTATCCAAGGACAAATGTACCTTCGTTTACCCAGGCTGAAGAAAAAATGGAGAGGGTCTCTATGGATTCTGCACATTCTGCACCTAAAGATATAGGAAATGCAGAGACTAGTTCATCATCACCATCAGCATTGTCTCTCCCAGTCAATGTGAAAGAAGAGCAGCATATGGTAGAGGAGTCTGAATCTTGTTGTCCAGAGGTTAACAAGGAAGAGATGGAAGGAATGGTGTATAACAATGGTGATGAAGACACCGAGTCATGTCCTATGGATGAAGGAGTCACTAAATCATCAAAACCTGAGCTGGCATCAGGAGTTGCTGATAATGCTAAGTCAATTTCTTTTGTTGATGAAGCTGCTTGGCAGTTTCCTGGACAATCTACAGATGATGAAGACACAAGAGGGTCCATGTCTCAGACATCTTCAAACTTGCTGGACATCCACACTCAAGGAACGTCAACAACTGCCCCTCCACATCAAGAGTCTGCCCAGACAGGATTATCCCAAGACAGTTCATTGAATGCTAACCAGGCATCAGTTGAGATGATGTCTGGTATTAAAGAGAAGGGCCACTTCTCTGGGCTAAAGGATGAGAGCAGTATGGGTTCATCATTGGACGTTGAGTACACTATGGGTTTAGGAGCTGTCAAAACTATTTCCCTTGAATGTGAAGTAATCCCAGGTCATCACTGTGTCTACTGCGCTGCAGAATTCCCTTCCAAAACCAGTCTGTGGAAGCATGCCAGAGGGTGCCGTGACAACCATCTAAAGGTGATAGCCAATCGGGTTGCGGGAGATAAGGAATACCAGCAGGTGAATAAACCAGGAAGTATGGGAAATGTCCCGTGGCAGGTGCTAAATGATTACACCAAAAAGGAGGCTATGATCATGAAAACTGAGATCGGAATAGATCTGAATTGCGTCATACCCGCTGTGGGTTACAGAGCTCCACCCAACAGACCTCCAGACCCAGACACTGTCAGGAGCAGGAGAAGGAAGAAGAAAAAGAAAAGTAAGGTTAAAGAAGATGTTGAGGTAGAGAAAAAGAGGAAGATTGAGAGAAAGAAGAGAAGGGTAAGGGAGATACAACGAGAGAAGCTCCGTGTACACGCCAAACTGCAACAACTCGAACAAAACAATGTGAATAAGTTCAGAAATAAGGAACAACAGACAACATTCACATGTGAACTGTGTGATCGATCATTCCACTCGACAGAGAAATTTGAAAAGCACAAAGTAAGTCATGTGTCTCCCCCACATAAGAAGACTCTCGCGGTATATGTGGAGAAACTAAATGTGGAAGAAATTGAAGATGGCAAAAAGTCAACCACAAAACCTTCAGGCTCTGCTAAGTTAAAAGATAAAGAATCCTCAAAAAAGAAACATTCTAAACTTGCTGAAAATAAGTCAGTAGCCAAGAAGACAATAACGACTACTAAGCAAAGACTACCACAGAAGAAAGATGATAAACATGTTTATGTGCATGTTTATGTGGATGTAGAAAGTGTAGTGGGAAGTGATACAGAGCAAGCATCTAGCAAGAAAAACACTTCTAGAGAAATACAGCAGAGTGCTGTAAAACCTGATGTTTCTGTACCCATAGTGGGATCCATTGGTACTGCCCCTGTGAGTGTGGAAGACCTTCAGCAGGCTGATGCAGGGATCTTACATGGGAAAGCTAAAGGGGTTACCTGGAAGAAAAATGAATTTGGTGTACAGTTTCCAGTGGTTATTGAGGTAGAGTGTCCAGATTGTCAGATGAAGTTCAGTCACCAATCCACATTAGATAGACATAGGAGGCTACACAGAAAGTAACTCATTTGATGTAATTTGAGGGGTCAGCGACAAAAAGACGTAACTCCATTTAGGCCATTTTGAGAAAAGGTTGTTTATGTGTCACTGAGCACTTAGGTCTTAAGGAGTTAAGTCTATTAGATGTTTCATTAGCCATTGACTTCGATGGGGTGTTGGGTGGAGCTGAGTCTTTGTGTTTCCTGGAAAGCCCACATTTTTCTGAACATTATGATATCAAATACTCATTTTGGCATAATATGGAGTTACGTCTTTGTGCCACTGAACCCTTGAATTGGTGTCTCAATGTGATTTAGTATCAAGGGCTTGAAAGGAGGCTGTTTTATGCAATAATTTCTGTATTAATGCCATTCCGAGAAATGTGTCTCCTACGTGTAGTCTTTTTACGAAATTTTCAACCAAAAATGAATTGATTGATCTGACTATTGAATGGTGCTTTCTTGCATCACTACCATTAATCATAGTTATATCAAAATATTTTTCATTCATGATTGAAAACGTTTGAAACGTTTTGATGAAGGTCATATGTCATCTGGGACACTTTGCACGGAATCTCACAATATCACCAATATTTGTATTGTCATCATTATTGTCATCGTTGTCATTAATTTTATAATCACGACCATCATCATTACCTTCACCTCTTCCCTTTATCACATCATCATCGTCATCGTCATCATCATCATCATCATCATCATCGTCATCATCACCATCATCATCATCATCACCATCACCACCACCACCACCACCACCAAAACCATTTATTGTCTTTGCGATCAGTATAATCCTCATCATCATTTACATCATCAATGGTATTTTGAAGGACCAACCTAGTCACCTTGTATAATATTCTAATATAAATACCAATACCACATCATTATCAAATCAAAAATTCAATTATAATTTTTAATGTCACTGCTTCACAAAAGTGGTGTGAAATGCCTTCCATTTACTTCTATGTCTTTTAAAGGGGAAGTGTCCTCTGACATTAAATTGGCTTTAATCAAAGCAGTAAATGAGTGAAACAAATCAGTGAAAGTTTGAGCAGAATCTGGTTAAAAGTAGGAAAGTTATGATTTTTTTAAAGTTGTCATCAGTGAAACACAAATTGGCGACACTAATTTATCTTGCAAGCTCCTCTCCGATTTGCTCTGTACAGAAAATGTCTTGAACTTTCATTTTCTTAGTTATTGATGATGGAAGAGAAAAATGTGAAATTTAATTACATACTGTTGGATAACAAATGTGTGCATCATACATGAGAATGAAACTTACTTATATTTGTCTTCTGTTCTTCCATCTTTCTTAACCCATGCTCTTTCTCTTTTTTTGTTTCCTTTCAATTTTTCTTTTGAGATCATGTCCCTTACTGAAATCCTTTTTTCTTCTTTTCTTTGATTTCCACGTACTGAATTAAAAATGAATGCAATGTAATTGTAAAAGATTGTTTTGCTTAGAATCCCATAACACAATACCATTGTTTAAGTGTTAAAGTATTGATTCTAGATGTCATTTTCTGTTTTCATGCAATTGAATCATTCATGAATGTTTCTTGATTTACTTGTCAGTACATGTATTACAAAAATATCTGAATGTTATCAACAGATTGGTGTTATTTTCTGTGGTAATTTTATTGAGCCACTACTTTGAAATTAACTTTCAAAAGAAAAGTATCATCTCAAGAGCCTTTCCCATTGATTTGTAAAAAATAATCTTCTACTGTTCATAAATTTATGTAAATATGTAGATTATTGACAAACTTCTCTAAATTGGGGACACAATGTAATCTCTGTGGTCATTAACCTGAATTGAAAGATATGTTACGTACATGCACAACAGTATCCCTGATGCTAGTACACAGTGATCATAATAATAATACCAGGAATATACAGCTATACACTGCCAGTGTTGATGTAAATGTTTTTGTATGTGTACATGAAACCATGTGTAATCAAAGAAAATGTGTGTTCTGTGAATGAGTTGGGAAAAATAATTCATATTGCTTCAAATAGCTCAATCTGTTCTCTAAAGAAACGAGAGTAATATGAGTATTTTGGTACATATGCAACATTCAATGATGTAATGGCTTGATAAATATATCAGCAATACGTGTTCTGGAAGCTCAGTGTGGAAATTAAATGATATCATAGCTTATGAATGTGCTTATGAATGTTGATTGTTTATTTGTTTGCTTGTTATTATTTTTTTGTCTTAGATAATATAAGACAAACAGATAATTAGAACAAAGCTATTACATTGGTGGTTTATTTCTTCATGTTAAACTGATGTCACATATGATTTATTCATACTTGTATTTTTTAATTTTTGTCCCCCCAAATTGTTTCATTTGAAGTCTCAAATTATGTTTGTAATATTAAGGAAGTCTGCTGTTTCCATGTCGATACTGATAGTTATCTTTATGTTTCAAAGATTACATGATTCAACTATTTTTCTGTATTTTTTCTTTAAAACATTTGTACATTTTGCTCATTTCATATTGAAAGACGATGGCTGAAGTACATGTAATGTAAATTGAGTGAATCATAAAATACTAAAAAGATATCCAGATTTGTTAATTTGTTTTTTATTGTGTTGATACATGTAATTCATTGAGTCTGCTCAGAGCCTGGAAGGTGTTTACAGCAAGGAAAGCACACTTTCACAAGAAAATCCAAAATTACATGTTTTTGAAAAAAGAAAAAGAATGAGAGCGGAGAAGAAAAAGAGGGTGCATTGGATTACATTCATATTAATAAATATTATATGGAATAGAAAGAGAGAGAGATTGAGAAATAGTCAAAGAAAATTTTTGAATGAGTATGATACCAGGGGGTGTTTCACAAAGATCCTACTGAACTTATCTCTAAGTTTGACTTACAAATTATGAAAGCTGTTGGCATCTATGAAAATATTTTTTAAAATTTATTTTAAAAGGCATGAAATGTTGATTCAAATCATTCATATTTTCTTTTATCAAGGAGATTTTATGTCCTTGATGTGGAATTTATGAAAAGTCAAAAATTATTGCATTTTTGCTTTTAATTTGTTTAATTTTCAGGCTACAAATGGCTCTCCATAATTTGTATTATAAGTCCAACTTTGGATCTTTGTGACCCCCCCCCCCCCCCCCCCCCTCCAGGGCACTGACAGTATAGGTGGGCCTGGGTATTTTAAGGGGGGGGGGGGCATTGGGGCAAGTATGTGTCAAAAATCTGTGATGAGCAAGCAAAGAATTAAGGACCCCCCCCTTTTGTATTAATGACTCTGACTGGTTAAAAAGGGAAGGGAGATCGAATACTGAATAGCACTGGACAGTGATATTTTAGGAGAGTGGTCAAATATGTAAGAAAGAATGACACATGATAAAGTGAGATAAACTTCTCTCAAAATTTATATAGTCGGCACTTGTTGCCTTAATTTGCAACACAGAGACAGCTTTGAAATAGTATTTCCCAAAGATTGCTTTTCAAATCAGTAGGCCTTATGAATATATTTATGGATGTTTCGTAAGATTGTGTCAAACTGAATTTATAAATCCTATTAATAGTTTGATCATTGGGGAATAATGTGGATGAAAACTGTGTGATGAACAGTTGTATCAGAATAAGGAATGAGATGGGTAATTTTGAAAAAGCGAGAGGAGGAAGCAGGAGTTGAAAGGGAGAGAGAGAGAGAGAGAGAGAGAGAGAGAGAGAGAGAGAGAGAGAGAGAGAGAGGGAAGAAAAAAACCGGGGGTTGGGGGTAGCATTAAGAAATGCTGCTCCAGAAGTAGACCTACATTTAAATCACATTTCAACCCGATTTTATAATCATCATTTCCCTTCTTCCCTTGGTATCTTTGACCGTATCATCGAATTTAAGTAAATAGCGCCATCTCTTTAAATTAATGTATGTCCATCCAATAAAAATGTAAACTTGACATGCCCTAACATTCTAATGTTCAACTCGCCTATACCCCCTCCCCTTCCACATGTTTGTTAATCCTCTATTTCTTGTTTCAGAACGGTAGAAAAAATGTGATGCACATGTAAGACCACGAATATGAAATGGAAATGGGATAACACAGGATCTAACTGTATGTGTTATAGCGCTATATTTGGTACTTGGTTGTTGTTCCTCCAAAAGATTCCTAGTGGAATTTAAACTGGAGGTCGTGGTGGCAGAGGGTGGACTTATTTCGGAAATGGGCCCAAACGACCATCGATCTAATGATGAAACTTTTTCTAAGAGAAGGCCCACAGAGTGATTATAAAAATGGCAACATACTCTCATATCTTTCTAATGGCTTTCATCGAAAGGGAAAGCTCTTAATGGGCATATTTACTATGCCAAGGGTATACGGATTTTTTTTGTTTTTTTTTGTTGGGGGAAACATGTTTTAACTTTTTGAGAGAAAACTAACCTCATTAAGGGCTAAAATATATATTTGACAAAATAATTATTTCGCGATCAAAGTGAGCTTGAATGTAAATACTACAAAAATACCATTATTCTTCAATAATTACAAATGTATGCCTGTAGACATGTGTAAATTATCATATCGTTATACTTTACTTCTTGTCAGATATATTCAAAGTTTGTCTAATAAACTATTTAGTATGATATGAGACTAACTATTTGTAAACATTTGGGAACCACTTGCTACCCCGTAAATTAGCGGAAGGACATGCCGGTGGACTAATCTTTTCCTCCCGCTTCCGAAGTTCAAGTATCCAAAGACCAGCTACATTGCCAGATCCGTATTTTGTGACTGCCAGGAGTGTTTTATTTGGGTAAGTAAACTCGTTTTCGGATCTTTTTAACACTTAATTTTGCACTAAGTTAACTCTTCAAAAATGATGTCCGAATTCGGCTTCAGCTCAGCAGTAGGCCTACAGCATTCAGCTCCACCCGGTCACTCGACTCCCAGTCGCCAGGCCGAGCTCCCTGTGCTGTGGCAGTGTGACCCACGTCGTTGTAGTACCGGTAGTATATCTACCGTTCATTTGGACATGTGTGGAGAAATGAGACCGCGACTGCTTTAGTAGAATTCAAATTATACCAATCCAGATACAATTTATGGCATAGATCTGCCTGTCTAAGTGGCGTTTGGCAAACCCGGACTTTAGTGCCCAGCTGAAAATCTCAGTTTATTATGGATTTAATATCAATAATATTAATTATGCTAATATATGCAAATATAAACATACCAAAACTTGATGATTTTTAATCATTTGACGTCATAAAAAGCAATTTTAAGCCAAAAATAGCAGCGAAGTAGGGGATCTCCTCTTTGCTTGATGCGAGATACTAGCGAACTGAAATAACCGAATAAAAACTATGGTGAACTAAAAAAAGAAAAGAAAAAATCAAACCACCTCTGAAATTACCTTTGAAATGTTTATTAATTTTTTTCTTCCGATATGCGCACATGATAGGGGCAGGTTGGGATGGGATGGGGGGGGGGGGGTGCTCAATAGTCGCCAAATTTGGGGTAAAAGGGCAACTGGCCTTGGGGGGGGGGGGCTAAATTTATTATTTACTTATTTTTCTTTGTAATCATTTTTCTAATTCTTTTACCCAAAATTTGGCAACTATCAAGCTCCCAGAAACCACCCATCCGACTCCCACCCGCCCCTCGATGCGTGCATGTCTATTCAAGATAAAGCGAGAAAAGGGGGGCGGCAGAGAAAAGAAAGAAAGAAAGATTAATAAAAAAAATAACCCTTGAATTTGGCGCCCCCATCAGGAAAGGGGGTTGTCATTTCGTCAAGCCCCCAATATTTCGTGCAAATCTGGTGAGAAAGAAAGAAGAAGCAGAATGAAGAAAAGAGCCCCCGGAAAAAAAAATAGAAAAATGATTACAAAGAAATAAAAGTAAATAATAAATTTAGCCCCCCCCCCCAGGCCAGTTGCCCTTTTACCCCAAATTTGGCGACTATTGAGCACCCCCCCCCCCCCCCATCCCATCCCAACCTGCCCCTATCATGTGCGCATATCGGAAGAAAAAATTAATAAACATTTCAAAGGTAATTTCAGAGGTGGTTTGATTTTTTCTTTTCTTTTTTTAGTTCACCATAGTTTTTATTCGGTTATTTCAGTTCGCTAGTATCTCGCATCAAGCAAAGAGGAGATCCCCTACTTCGCT